AAAAATCTCCTTCGCTGTGCTATTCGTCATTTCTATTTCAAATTTTTCGTTGATTGAATTTCTCATTATAAATATCCAAAATGTCTGTCAATGTTGATTATCAAAAAACAAGGAATACAAACTGAATGTTTTATATGATTAACAATTTCAGGAAAACCTTCATAGACTAGACTTGTTTTTTCGACTCTTCATATTTTGACCTTTTCACTTGATAAAATCACATGAATACAAACTTAAATGTCTGATTTCTTTATCGTCCTCATGGGAAGCAGGGTAAGATAGAGATTGTAGTACATTAGTAAACTCGAGTTAAAAGGCCATTGAAACACAAGTGAAACTCACTTTTAATGTGAACGACTCAAAATGATTCAAATGATAAACATTTTGCTCTTTCACCTGAAGACATTGATAGCCAATTGACCTCTTGAGATTGTTACCTGTAAACTATCCTGAAAAAGGCATTAATTTATTTCATTTTTACTATTAGACTCCAGAGGAAACATGTTTAAACAGCTTCGCAATGATAATAATCTGTGATAATCATCATTAAATCAATAGTCACTAAACCTTTAGAATCGCTTGTTGTTTAAAATTGAATAACTTGGTTTCAATGGATAAAGAAAGCTAGAAATTGAGAGACTTCAGTGAATCCAAAATCAGTGATTATTAAATATTAAAACTGCTTTTGTGATCAATTCAAAGTGATATCAACTGTTGCTACTGTAAATTGAAAGTCAAATGATAATCTTGAATAAGGAATCAACAGAATTTGTTGTTTCCTTAATAACAATTGGTGTATCAATTTCATTGTTGACTTCAAGTAAACTTGACATTCATCAATATAAAGTCAATCATTTTACTTTACTTTCTCATCGTTTTCCATCTTCACCCTGATTGAGCAAAATTTTATTCACGTTTCAAATTCCCTTGAAAATTGATTCAAATGTAACCAGAATAAATAAAGGAAATGTTGAAATTTGTGAAAATTGAAAGTTTCAAATGTTTATTGAAAATGGTGCCAAAATCATGAATGCTCATCAATGCAAATTACTATTAATGTTTTCCCATGAAAAATGTTATCCACAAATCTTTTCATTTAACATTAAAATATTCATTCATTTAAGGATAAAAAATGCGAAAAGGTTCAACATAAACTTGAAAATACATTTCAAATCTTATTCTAGACTTCATTTTAAATTGTAATATTTTCCTCTTAACCATCAATAAATCTTAACAATACTCATGATAATTGCCAGGTTTAAATGTTTCCCTAAATTAGAGTCATTATTATCCAAATTGCAGGTCAAGAAGCTGTAAAATGTAATCTATACAATAATACAAAGCCTTATGCCTTGTACAAAGCCAATTGTATCAAATTTTTGGGTCAAATTGTGGCCAGACTGAGCGGTTTCTAAGAAAAAGAGTCGAACCAAATGAAAGCCTAACTCAACTACAACAATGAGAAATAAGAAACATCGACTCAGAATTTAAATCTATGAGAAATTCATGAAAAAAGCAATAGATTCAGTCATTAGATAAAGATTTAATTAATTTATTTTGAGATTTTAAAACAACCGCTAAAAGTATACACTTAGCAACCAGATTGCTAAACCGTTAGGTTCATTTTTCTTCCTCTTTTTAGGGCCGATCCGATGAACCAAAAAATGTTTAAAATGTTGTTTAAATCTTTGTTAGTAGGCAATGTTTGTTTGATTTTGTTACGTCATCAACATTAACACTGTCCGATCAAAAAATTAACAATCATTTTATTCATGCGCCTTTACATTTTTTCAGATTGCATTTCTTATCTTTTTGATTATAAATTATTTTTAGTTATCTTTTAAAATCATTAAAAAACAAAAGATGGCGCTTTCTAATTAAGATTTAAAATGACATTAATCAAAATTGATTAATTTTAACAAACATTGCCAATAAACAAACATTTTGACAAACATTTTAGTTCATCGGATCGGCCCTTATTTGTTATTTGTGTAATTTTGTTAATTCACATTTCTTTTGTTTTTTTGTTAATGGTTCTTAATTCTGTATTAACTAGTTGGACTTAATTTCAGCAAAGATCCCTGTGATTCAGATGTTAGTGTCTTACTTTTGGCTTTTATCGGAATCGATTTATTCCTTTGGTGTCTGGTGATACTTCAATGTCTTACATTGTTAGTAGGCTCGGTTTATTTGACCTTTGGATTTTCAAATCTGATCTACTGTTAATTGCTTTATGAGAGATTAATCAACTGTGATTATTCCAGGCCTGAGAATATTCCATCAAGGGTTTATGCCTCAACTCTTTACTCAACTTGAGTTAAGAGATTGCCTTTGGACCTCTGTTGTCGTCAAGATATTCAAATGTCTTTTGAACCAGAAGTCATAACAAATTTCATATTTTATGACGTTTAAGTTATAATTGAATCGAACAATCAGATTGATTCAGTTGATAAAGAAACAATTTTCTCTTTATTTTCGTATTTTCAAATGTGCAGACTGCCAAAATCATTAATAGCTGGTCGTATTTTCAATAATTTTACTTCCATCTTCACATTTGGCCTGGAAACTCTCAATTCTGGTTTTCTAAATCTTTAATCATCTGATCTTGATAATCGGACCAAGTTTACCTACTGACTTATTTCAGTGTTTAAAATAAGTAAACTGATTGCTCATATGACCAGTTAACTTTGATGTTACTGACATGCTAAATTGATCATGATGGATTCAGTAATAAAAATGTTGGAAGTTTATCGCTAAATAATATATTGAGTTACAGATGATTCTTTTGGCTATCGTAATTGCCATTTTTTCTCGTTGCTTCATTTTGCAATGAAAAGTGGTGAAGGAATAAAAAACTTGACTTTAGTATGCTGTTGGTAAGAAAATTACTAGACATTGCGATTCTAAGAAAATGAATATCATTAAGATTGAGAAAGCAGTGAAATGTTTGAATAAGATGATGTAAAAAGAGGCAAATGAATAAAAAAAGATACAGTTGCACTAATGGCTTGTTCACAGATTATCTTTTTCTGGCTTTTCATGATGGTTACCAGCTATTTAATAAAATGTGTCCTTTTTACGAGAAAACAAAGTTAAAGAGATTGCTGTAAGCAGGTTACAGGAAACATGAATACTTGCAGGGAGTGAAAAGCTGAAGGAAAAGGAAGAGACAGAAAAAAGCAAGTCCAATGGACTGTTTTTCAGAAAATGTTACCAAGATTATGAGGTAACTTCAGGGTCTGCCTGAGGGTGAAGATAGACTCTTTTGTGACATTTTCAAAGGTACAAGATAGTTTACCAAATAAGTTGAAAATGATTGACGAAACAAGTGCAACAACATTGATAACAATTAGATGAAACTAGACTTTTCAAATAAAAGGCAACATTTTCACCTCAATAATATCCTATTTATTTGATTGATTGGTCAAATTTTTTACTTTAACCTAACAATTTGTTATCCGTTTCTTAATAACAGGTTGTTGAAGAGTCTATTGACTAACAGATGACCATGAAAAGGTTAATTTACTTGAAATAAATTAACCAACCTTTTAACCCAATCCATTGAAAAACCTAGAGTTACCTCTTGAACCCAATTTGGATATGCTCATCATTTCAAGTCAAATACCTTGATAGCTAAAGTTAACCTAAAATTTAAACTCGACTAAACGAAAAGTGTGAGAGCATCGAACCTTTTTACACATTTGTAAAGAGCACGAATCCCCTTAAGTTTCATCTGTGATTGATGACAAGACATGGTTCAAACACGGTTTATCTTTCGGCCTTAATGGCCGAGCCTCAATGCTTTCAGTTTTTATTTTCAAGTTTAACAGGTTCTTTCGGAAAATCATCATTCGTTTTCGAAAATTCCATTCATGTTACATTAAAAATACAAATGTGTATTCGGATATTTCATGATTTTCAAGGATTTAACTGGAATCGTTTTATTATTTTAATATATTTCCATTAAAAATTAAATTCTTGTAAGAATTTGTGAATCAAAGAAATTTTTCGTCTTTTCTGTATTTTCTGAAAAGCTTTATGATGTTTGGGTAAGCTGAAAGATCGAAGCTTTAATTTGGTTAATGATTTGAACTGCAATTATTGGATTCTTTCTTTAAGATGAAGAATCAAAGTTAACTCAGTAAACTGATCAATTCATGAAAAACGCTGAAGCATCGAGTTGATTATTTGATGGATCGAAATAAAAATCTGTGAAAATTTTGAGCTCTTCCAAAGAGCGCTTTATTAAAAGGTGAAAATATTAATGAATCCAATGGCTTGATATGAATCAAAAGATTTACAGATTCGAGTTTATGGTTAACATTAGATAAGATATGATTTTCATGTTTTCACGTTTCAGTGAACATTTCAGATTAACCTGTTAACACCCATTCTTTGATCATTACCAGCCAAGCTTATCACCAATTTATCGTCGATAACTTTTCGATGAAAACAATTGATTTGAACTTTACAATAAACGATATAAGAATGTTAAAAAGGAGAGAAAATGTTTTGCTTCTGAAATTGGTGAAACATTTGAAATGATCTGTAAAACGGAGACAAAAACTTTACATGAAAGAGAATCGTTTGACAAAATGTTGGTTAATTTATTTGAATAACTTTTCACCAAACAGACTGAAAATAGCAATTCCATTCCCTGTTTATCCTTCAATATCATTATCACTTTTATTCATTTTTACACATCAATTTTGATCTCATCTCGATTGGGTTTACCAAATGAACACTTGAATGTTTCCTTCATATTTCTCAAATTCTGGTAATCACAAATGAGAAAAGAAAAGCTGAATTAAGTAAAGAGAAAAGAAAATTTATTCCCTCAATTGGGAGTTTATCGTTACAGAATCTGATAATGTTGGAGAGAGAGAAGAAAGTTTTCTAGTTTTCATGTTGTCAACATTTGTCCGCCTTTTTAACCCATTTACATTCACTGGTTCATAATGATGTCGATGATAATTTCATTTTTCTCTTCCTTCTCTTAGCGAATGGATCATCTCATATGATTAAGCCATCTTCAACTCTCTGGAATGGTCTGCTCATCATCATTATCATCACTTTTACAACTTGGAAACCATCTAATGGATTGAGTTCGCTGTGAAGAGACAAACGATAAACCCTTTTCTATGTATCACTATCCTTGGAGGTGAAAAGACAAAAAACTGATGAAAATTACGAATGGAAAATGTGAAAGTAAAAATGTGTGTTTTTCAAGACACAATTGACATTTAATCTGATTGTTAGGTGCTGAAATTGGTTGAAAGATTAAAGGCTTTTTCTAGATTCGCTAGGCTATTGATTGTTTCTTCACTGATGTCATTATTTAATGGTTGATATTCAGTTGAAACTGACAACTCGAAATCGACAAAGTTGAATGGAAAATGGATTCTCAATTTGTTTTTTTCATTTCCATTTGAAATGATTAACAGATGGAAAGTCACTCCAAATGGTGGAATCAATCACAACCTTGCGATAATTTATAAAATTGATTTTAACACATTTGTAAAGAATAAATTAATGAACAATTTAGTTAATTATTATGGACATTATGAGTTACCTTTCCTTATTTTTCCCTCTTCTTCACACTTACCGCATCGTAATTCCTGTTAATCATGTTATCTCATTCCCAGTTAACCTTATTTAAGGAATTAAAAAATCATTTCTACTTCAATCAACTTTTCTCTTTTTTTCAAATTTTTATAATATTTCAATCCATTTACTGGAAGACTAAAAATGGATTGTCAATAATGGAATTGAGCTTCAACGGGGTAAAAGTGCAAAAATATTCAATTTCAATGTTTTTGACTTCAGATTTCTCAAATCGTCCATGAACCATTTGATGTTGATTTTGTCCGCAAGTCTTGGTTCTGCAATTATATCTTGATTTGTCCCCGAACTCGTTTGCAATCAAATCGGCATTTAAATCTTTCAATTATGGCCTAAAATGACCAAGATCACTTTCTTTGGATCAACATTTCAAAAGTTAACGGGAAAAGATATTCAAAGACTATTTGAAGCTCCGTCTGAAATGTATTACAATAGTATTGTTGGAATAATTTGTAAGACAAACAAGTCCAGAAGTAACTTTAAAATGTAAAATTGTTATCTTTCGAATGGAAGCTCCGTACTTAAAGGGAGATTAGCAACCAACATGATATTATAACACCAATCGAGAGATTTCACCGAGTTGGTTCAATCTTTTTACTTGTTACCCGAAAATTATGTCTCCTTGAAAGTCAGCTACATTTGCAAGCTTTTATTGATATCTCTTTGGTGCGCTCGAAGGATCATATGAAACCTGATTTTTCAATAACAACTGAATATAAGTATTAAAAGGCATTGGTCGTTTATGGCATAAACCTGTCGTTTCTCGAATTATTCATCCAATTGTAAACTTAAGCCAGTTCTATAAACTCACGATCTATTAATAAACTTATTTTTAGATTAGCTCAGCAATTTAAAAAGAAGACAAAAGTATGACTCCAATCCAATCCTGTGAATTATACTCTTTAACCCGGTTATTCAAAAGCTGCATTCGATCTTGGTTTATTTCTCGTGATCATTCGACAGTACCAATAGAGACAATATCTTCCACATGCCACTTTCAAGACACATTTTGTGATTTAAGAGCTTTTGATTGCTACAGTGTCGAAGTCTGGAAAGAGGTCGATTAAGCTGTTTTTGGTATATTTCAATATTTCAATCTACTTTGACATTTAAGTACCAATACCGAATAAAAACAGTAATTTGAAAGCAAGAAAAATGAAAAACTGCAATGGATTCGAAGAAGGAATCTTTTTGGTGCTAAAAATGAGTGGAAGGGAAATTTGAAGTGAAAAACAGATTGAATTTGAGTAAAAGGTTGAGATTTGAAAAATGAACATCAATGATGAAGATAAATGGTTAAGCTGAGGGTGAAACTCATAATGGTATAAGATGGGTGAAATGAAAGATTTCAAGGAAATTAAGGGGACAATTAACAGGGAAAATAAGGTGATTGGGTGAAAGTTGATAAAAAATGACTATAAAATGTGCGTCTAATCATTTACTTACACCAGCAACTCCTTAGGGTAATCATGATAAAATAGCTCTTTGCCTTGATTACAATCATCTTATTGTTTCAAAATGAGTCGCTTTTAACGAGGTGACAAATTACTGTGTTATTGTGTTAACAAGACAATTAATTGATGTTGGAATAAAAAAAAGAGAGAAGAACCATTTTCTTAACAATTGATTGTAAAGTTGACATTAAAATGGATTCCAAGGATCTTTTACTGATGATAACAGAAACTTATCCAATGTATTACCATTACATTATCATCATTACATTATCATTATAATATTATCATTATTATATCCATTGTAATAATCAGTAAGGCATAAATAAACATGTAAAGATAAATTGTTATCGGTTATATATTTATATATATTCGTATGTAAATACACCTTTTGATGAGAATGTAAAACAAATATAAAACAAGGTTACATTGGATTTACCGGAAATTTAATTTGTCTTGTTTGCCAATTTAACCAGTTTTTTGCTTCATGATTGTTAATGTTGATTAGCCAAATTTTGATTCACATTCAACTTGATTTTAAAAGCAGATTATTTCAATTTGAAATGGATCCTAATTTTTGCTGGCAACTTTCCCATTGAAGTTGAATGCAAAAAATTAAGTCTACATAAGGTTAATCAACTTGTTACCAAGTCTTGATGAGATTTTTGCTATTTTCATTTTTTCTTCCACTCATTTGCATCTCTTCATATTGACTTGATTTACCGGTTAATTTGAAATGTAATTTACAGTTGCTCAAGTAATCAGTTAATCGCAACTTATTACAATGGATTACATTTGATCTCAGAGACGATTGAATAATCATTTTATCATCATCATCATTATAATCACTATCCAGGAGTAAGAGAAAGACACTTTTTTTCTGTAAGATTAATTGTAATTAGTTATTGGAAACTGAATAAATGATTAGTTTAAAAACGGTAACTAAAGATTGGTTTGATTTAATGTGAATAAACAACATTTTTGTTTCTTTTTATAACGTTTAAGGTTTTTTTGGTTGTTGTTTGATTGCAATTAAACAGGTCTATCAAAATCCTTGGCTTTTTTATATTAGGGGGTTAATTTATATTGTTGATTAAATATAATTTACATGGACAGTTTTGTCTAACAATTAATTGATCAAATTAAATTATTTGATTATGGTTAACCAATGATAATGATCGACCAAACTGATGTCCAAAATAGATCAACACAAAAACGCAAGACAAACATGAACACACACACACAGTTGTAATGATTTGACTATCATCAAAACTAGTTGGGTTTTCCTAATACAATCAACTTAGTGTTCAATCAATAAAGTGATTGTTTATCAATAGCTGCAAGAAATCAACTTGAATATTTTAGTTGATAAAACAAATCTTTGGCTCCCTTAAATTTGATTGTTTGTAGTCACGAATCAGGGTTACCGCTAAAACAAATCATTTGGTAGTTGACCACTTTACAAATCAAACAATGTAGTCTGTGTTTCATGTGTGTGTGTTGTGTGTGTGTTATGTGTGTGTCAATGTTCGTGTTTATCTTCTATGAGTACATCGTAGGAGAAAGAAACCGATAAAGGTTTGTTGACAACGATAATTAACTAGGTTAATCTAGGAAATAGCCAGCAATTTGAGGTTTCTGTGTTTCCCCTTTAAATTGATTTACCCAGGTAAAGAGAAAGGGCTTGTAGGTGAAGGTTTTTTGATGACGATGAGGTTGATGATTGTGGTGAAGATGATGATGATGACGATTATGATTTTTTTTTGTTTTATGATGATCAAAAAACTGAACGCGTAACTTGTTAAATGGTCTGTGATCCATATAATTTACATTTATTTGATTTTTCTTTTTAAAATTTTATCCATAATAATCCACAAGACATCTTAGGATGCTGTATAATCTCTCTTGATAAACCATTTCAAGAGGCTTACAGGGTCACAATAATGCTCTCTTTTTCTTCTTTTTTTCAATTTCTCATCCAGACAGAACGTTATCCAACAATTTTCACAGGTCTACCAAAGTACATTTTGAACTAATAACGTACAATAACATAAATCATCGTAACATCCTCTTAATTCTGTTTTCCATGTACCAAATGAACCTTTTCCTTATCCTTTTTATTTCTTTGACACTCTACACTTTTAATGCACAATTCCTTGTCACCGTTAATTTAAAACATTACAACAATTTTTTGTCCAATTAGTTTTGCGTATCTAATCACGTAATAACTTATATTCATCATCCATGAATGTGAATGCTTGTCAGTTGGAGTTCTGATTTGGTTTGCTTTTTACAATCAATATTGATGATTCGTTTGGTTCAATGGTGTAGATGGAGTGATTTTGTTTGATGATTTTGGTCTTTTCAAAAGTCCGCAAATTCTTTTGCACATTTTTCTGTACTGGATATGCGAAGGGTTTCCTCTTCATAATCATCAAAATTACTTGTATCTCCAGCTCCTTTGCATTTTGGCAAAAAGGGTGCTTCAACCTTTAGATTGAATAGTTTGAAACATAGAAAGGAATAGAGAAATAAAATTAATCAATGAAAGTGAAAAAAAGTAATCACGATAACGGCATAATAGATGAATTTGATCAAAAGCAAATAAGAGAAAAAGTTTTGCTAACGATGTGCGTCTATAAAAACAGAGATTGCTAAATAAGTCAATATTTCATGACTAGATATGCTAATAAAAATGTGTGAAGGATTGTAAAATGAAATATGTTTCATCAACATACCTTTTTCTGATAAACAGCAATCCAATCTGTTGATGCAAACCATCGGTGATTCTTAATGTCGTTAACACCGTTCTTCAAGTTACCATATCTTTTGGTTAAGTCTACCTGAAGTAAATTACGAAGCAGTTCTTTCAATTCGGAACTGAAGTGTGATGGAAAGCGTACTTTCCCAGAGACTATTTTCTCATAAATTTGAATAGGTTGGTCGGCAAAAAATGGTGGGTAACCGGCAGCCATTTCGTATATAAGAACACCAAGGGCCCACCAATCGACTGCTTTATTGTAACCCTTGCTCAAAATTATTTCGGGTGCAAGGTATTCAGGGGTTCCACAAAGGGTCCATGTACGGCCCTTGACTTTTTTTGCAAAACCAAAATCAGTAACTTTTATATAGCCCATTTGGTCGATAAGTAAATTTTCTGGCTTCAAATCTCTGTAAATCAGGTCTAATGAATGCAAATATTCAAAAGCTAAAACAATTTGGGCCGCATAAAAACGAGCCGCTTGTTCACTAAATCTCCCACTTTTACGAAGATGGGAGAACATCTCACCACCAGGAACATATTCCAGGACCATATATAAATACGAATTATCTTTAAAATGTGCTTCTAATTTCACCAAAAACGGGAAATCAACTGCTTGTAAAATTCTTTTTTCATTGAGGGTGTGTTCGACTTGCTTCAATTTGACTACCTGTTATTGGAACCACAAAAAAGCCGAGGTAAATAAATCCATTAAAAGAGTGAAAAGAAAGTCGTCGAATGCATTAAAACAGGAACGAACATAAGAGGTGAATCCATACATAAAATGTATGAATGTATAAAAGTTTACATGACAGTAGTAAATATGAAAGTTGTATAAATAGAAAGGCCCAAGAAAAGGAATCCAAGAATAGAGATTGCAGCAATAACGATTAAGATAATGAGCGTGAATGTGATTTGAGAAAAATTTTCAAACGAATGCATGAACAAATGTTTTCCACAAATTTGATTCGTTATTTTATAGGAAGGTGATGATGATGTTGCATTGAATGTGTCAAGTGAAAGTGAATAAAGTGAAAACAGGCAATCATTTGAAACAGTTGATGTTGTGGTTTCATAGAAGATGTTGATAAAGAAGATGATAGTGATGATATTGATGGTGATGAGAGTGTTGTTGAGATGTTTTTTATGGTGTTTTGTTTGTTCATTGAAGATAGATTCCAGATGATTCACAGATCCAATGAGGCGGTGCCGCGGAGCAGAAGGGAGAAAGAAACAGAGAGAGGGAGAACACATGAAAGAAAGATGAATGAAAAAAAGAGAAAGAATGGATTAAAAGGAGAAAAAGATGACAAGAGAAAGAGTAAGAAAGAGAGAAGAAAGCAAAATATAAAAAAATAGGATTTTGATTAAGCGAAGTAATGAATACACACTTTTTGCTTGTCTAATATTTTCATGGCATAGTATTCTTTGTTTTGCTTCTGCTGGACAAGCATCACACGTCCAAAGGAGCCAGTCCCTAAAGTCTTAATTCTATCATAGTCGTCTAAGGAGGCAGTGTTTCTTGAAGGGTTATTCCATTTACGGTCGAAGTCCGCTCTTGCTTGTTCCAGGTATAACCGGACTGTTAAGAGGAAGAAGAGAGAGGAAAAAAAAGACAAGGTTACGATGGATGTTGTTTGTTGTCAAGAAAAGCAGCATCACCATCAATGATGACTAGTTCTCATAGTAGCTTGTTTACCTTCCTCTGCAGGATCACTTTTACCCTTAGGAGTATTGCCCATCCTTCGATTTAAATTACTCAATTAAAATAAAAAACAAAATTTAAAGGTTAACTGTTTGTCAGATTTACTCTTCGTCTTCTTCTGTTTTGGTTTTCAGACTTGGAGATACATTTAGCTCAGACTCAGTACAATAAAATCTCAAAAGATCCCCTTTCCAAAGATAATAACATCTAATAGATGGCGTTCAACACACATACTCTTTAAATGTAATAAAAGAAGAGCCAAATTTAAATTACTATTTAACAAGCCAAAAAACTGTTTAAATCAACAGAGAAACATGGCAAAAAATCATAACAATTAAAAAAAGACGAAAAATGAAAGACAATCTAAAATTGTACCAAAATTTTTCCATTCAAAATAGGAAACTAATGGCAATCGGAAATGATAATTGATAAGGATAAGTTGAAGATGTTTAAGTTTACTGAATCAACAATATTATGAAAGCAAATAAATGATAATACAATGTAAGAGGAAGGAAAACATTGATTATCAGAATATTTAAATTGTAATCATTGATACAGAATCTCTACAGAATCTCAACATTCTCATCAGATGGAGCAATTATTTTCAAAAGATGGTGCCACTTATAATCAAGATAAAATGAAAGTCTAATGATGTTAACCCAAATAAAAAAAGAAACACTGAACAATTAATTAACCAAACAATCTGATGATTGAACTAATAAAGTTATCTAACCAATGAACCATCAATGGTAAACAAAGACAATCAAGAATTGGAAAACAATTTTTGCTTCATTTCCAATTGCATTTCAGTTTTTCGTTGAAAATAAAGTCTAGAAATTCATTTTTTCTGATAAAATCTCAATTTTTGATCCAATTTTAAGGTTATTTCAATGTCAAAATCAGCGAATCAAATGAGAAATTTAATGAATGCTTTCATTTCTTGATTCAACTTGTAAATGGCAATTGTTTTGCTTTCAAAATACACCGAAATATGATTTGCTGAATCAACAATTGGTTATTTAAATTAACATTGTTTTAAATGTGATCTTACAAAGTAATCTAACCTGATTAAGGAATGGGAAAAGTTAGCTTCTCTGTAATTACATTAATTGACATTAATCTGTGTTCGGTGAGGGAATCAAAAATGGATTAACCTGAGCAAGGGAATTAGATTGAAGCATCAATAGTAATTATCTTTTCTTCATCGTCTTCATCAAACATGATGATGTAAAGGTGAAAAGAAAGAGATTCATGATGAAACTGACATTGTGAGTAAATATAGATTTTTGTGTTCTTTTTTTCAGGGTAAAATGAAACTTGATTCTTGATTCTAATTTTAGTAACACCAAAGAGACAGAAAAGAGTGAGAAGAAAAGGTTTCAACTATTGAAATATGTTTTCATGTGTTACTCGATTCAATGAGAAATTATTCATTTTATTCTCAATTATTTTATTCTAATGATATTTAATTCTCTTGCCATTTCTATTTACTTGAAATCAAGTGCAAATGGATATTAAGTTGAGTTGTACTGAAAATTGAAATGAAAAACCAATCAAAAAGGTAATTGCATTGAAAATATAAATAACAAACAGATTAATGTTTAGTGAAGCTAATTAATCAATTTCAGGTTATCAGTTTGAGAAATTGCTATTTACATGGGAAAATTAAATTAAGGATAAAATCATTAATAAAGCCATGATTTATCGTTATTTTTAATTAAACCTTTGAAGCTACTCAATTTACCTTGTAAAGGATTAAAGAGGAAAGTTTTTTTCATTTCAATTATTTGCTTCATTATTTTGATTTGCTTTAATTGCTCCGATTGAACGTTTTAATTGTCGCTTTTATGTCAAATGAAACATTAAAATTACATTTGGAATCAGCAATTATTGGATTTGTTTTAAAATTAAATTGGGTTTTCCATTTTTAGAAGCAGCAAATCTATTGTTTGATATCTTTTTGTTGGTTTATTTACTTGCAATAAATTGTGATTTTGATTGCTGTTAATGTTGGTAATTGATGAGTTTACATTGTATTCAACAAAAAGGATTGTAATTGTTTCAAGATGATCACTGGTTCAAGTGGGTTCACAGTAATTGTGACTTGAAACATCTTGAAAATTGAATTAATCGGGAAAACATTTCAAGTTTGCTTTCCATGTAAACGTAACCATGAACGGACTTTTGTATTGTTAATGGTTACCAATCAGGTAAATGATGAAGCAAATCAAATCTATCAATTAACCAGCTAATCATTAAACACTACCTGACTGGAAAATTGTGTTTTTTCAATAAAATATAATAATTGATGATTAAGCAGAAAGTGTGTGTTTCTCCTTGGCTTGGAATCTTAATCATTGACATTGGTTGGAAACGATTCAGCATTGAAAAAATGGTGATAACTTGAAATCATAAAAGAGACAAATCAAATTGCTGATTGTCCACCTATCAATTAAGATTAGAGATGAACTTGGAGCTTAAGAGATACAATTTTATCCAGGTAAGTTAACAAAGGTCAGTGTCAGATATGAGTAGCAATTTCAATGAAGATTGTATTTTGTACTTTTGACAAGTCGATATGTTACAAACTGCAATATAATAATAAAGCTTTAGTTAATAAGATTAACTGTTAACACTGGATACAATTTCAAAGGTTTTCAAGTTTAGCTGGATTTAATGCAAGTGGTAATGTTGATAGGTTAGCAAATAGAAACTTAGGGTAACTGAATAAGCCAGTTAAAATGGCACAGTTACAATTAGTTAATCTGTTTTGCACCCAATATGATAAACGATAAACCAGTTTTAAGCCGCGTTTATTTCCAAAATGTTAATTAACCACCAAAGAGATAAAGTTACCACCGCACAATAAAATGAAATCACATTAAATTAGAGGAAAATATTGAAACCGGTGAATGGCAAGGTTACACGTTGACGAGAAATCGGTAAAATAACTATTCCACTTTTCTCTGAATCTTTATTACCCTGAAGAATACTAATCAGTTTCTCATTTAATTACATAATTAAACTAAAAGTTTTAAGGCTAAATTACTAAAAAAAGCATTTACCAAACTCATGTTCAATGAAAACAAGCGGTTTAATGAAAACCACTGCAAGTTCAATAGATGGCGTTCATAACAAATAGAGAGCCAAATTCAAAATCTATTCAAACAAACCAAAAAAGTGAAAAAACTCATTTATTCTGAAATATATTCACAAAACATAATAACTATTATCAATAATTATCATGAAAAAAGCGCTGAATAATAAGTGTGAAATGACAAGAAACACAATGACAATGTAAGCAAATAAATTACTAGAATAAAGAAAAAGAAAAATTGATTATTAAAATATCTAAATAGTTATTACATTTTCATTGGAGATTCGAGTGCTAACCATGATTAATTCAGTATTCAGGTACAATAGAACCTTCAAAAGTCATGTAATTTTACCAATAAAGATAAAGAAATTTAATGACACATTTCGATCAAATTTATTAGCTAATAAAGCCGATGATAATCAAGATTCGAAGTGAAATTAGGATCGATTTTACATTAAAAGTCAGATGAATAAATCTCAACATTAGCTGTATTTAAATGAGCCTTAATTAGAACCCATGAAATTGATAAACAAATTGGTTCCTTCATTGTTATGAAAGTGAAAAAATGGACAAGAGCAGTTGAAAAGATTGAAGATCAACACTGAAGTTCAATTGAGTTGACAGTCTATTAAAACAATGGAATAACTCATTTAAATTGCTAACTAATCAGACCGTTGATGGTTTATGATTAATTGTAACCAAGTAGCAAGGTAATGAATTTTGAAAAGACTAATCAATCTGATAAAACTGTAAACTGAAGTAATCTTGCTTTGGGTGTTTAAAAGGGTAAAATTAAAACAGGTTTTTATTATTAATAGCTATGAATTAAACAGTTATTCAGTTAAATTGTTTTACTTTTCATTGAAAATTCAATAATTCATGAAAAATGCAATTCATTTGATACGATAAAATTGATTATTTTCAAAGTAACGATTGGTAATGTTTGGTAATGTTTATTTGATGGGAATAATGAAAATAATTTTCACTGCTTTTTCAGTTTCTATATATTGACAGATCTTAAAGTTTATCTAGAATCAACAATTAACACACAATTGATAAAATTGATTAGATAATCTGGAAATGTTGAGTCGACATAATTTGTTATTGATCCAATATTTATGAAAGGAAACCGGATATAAATTGATAATCATCTGAAAGCAATAACACCGTCAATGATTGTTTCAACGTCTAAATTTACATGTGAGTCTGATGTTGACAAAAAGTATCACTTGAAACGCTATCTGTAAGGGCTTTTTTAACGTTCAATTGTCTGGATTTATTTGAATTTTCATTTGATTAACTATCAAATCCATGCGTATTTCATTGTAAATTAAACTTTAAACATTTATCTCAAGGAAAAGAGACAAAACCAGTGGAAAAAAATTGATCATAAAATGATGGAATATATCGATTAATGAGAGAAATTAATCGAGAATGAATTAATCACTCGTCTCTTTCATAAACACCTTTAACCTGTGGCAATAATAGAGCTTACATCATTAATTACTGTTGGGTTGCCTTAAGTGTGTATAAAATGACAAAACTAATTGTCTGATTGTTGTGTGGCAAAGATAATGTTGATTGAAATGGATGGTAAAAGTGAGTGCAACTTGACTAGTTGTTGATGTGTGAGTGTGTTGTACTGTGACTTACCATATTGCGTTGTCCCGGTAGCTCCATGTAAAGGTACTAGGTCAGTTGCCTGTGAATTGGTTGAATCCTCAAAATTATTATCCATTGAAGGTTGTTCAGGTAAATTACGGACTGGACCAGAAAGGACGACTTTTCATTTAGAATCACAAAAACAACATAAATAATCCAAACAATGGGGTAGATATGAGTATCGATGTGATTGAAGTTGCAGTTGTTGTTGTAATTGGTAATGTTGATGTTGGTAATCAAGTTGTTTAACCATGTTTACGGAGAGGGTTAACAGTCGTAAGTAATATCCAAAAATAATTGAAAGAAATGACAAAATTAAATAACTACTATTAAGAAATGATTAAGAAAAAGCATTAAACCTACCATCACTGTTCTTGTCTTTCTTTTTACTCAGTCGGAATAAACCTTTAAACGGCATCTTGTCGATTGTATATTAACACTATGTGAGAGTGAGGCTCTCGCAATGTGAGTGCGAGTCACTCATTTAACACAGACACAGATAACACTCATTACTCTCTCTCTCTCTCTCTTCCACTCTCTGTCTATCTCTCTCAGTTCTCTTCTTATCGTATTCTCTCTCCTTCCTTTTCTCCTTCTTCTTCTCATTCAAAATAAAAGGGCATGAAAAATGTACATAAAGCCACCAGGTAAGCAGGTAAACAATTGATTATTCTTGTAGCACAAATACTGTCGGAGTGAGAGTGAGATGGTGGGAGGAGGAGTGAGCTGAAGGATCATCATCTGATGATGATGAAGAGGTAGAAAGGTAGGAAAGAGAGAAATCATTTTTTTCCTCTTTCTGTGTTTCTGCTTTTTTTACCATCATTGTTGTCAGTGTGTGTGTGTGCTTTTTTTTGGGACTTACATTTTGTTTAAAGTGATTGGTACACAAAAGGCGTGTTTATTACAATGAGATGCTGATGTTTGTTGTTATTTTTTGCTTATTTGTTGTTGTTAATCATGATAATAATGATGATAATGATGATAATGATTAGAAACGATAAAGGGAGGAAGAAGTGAAGGTTAAAAAGTAAAGCATATTAATAATAATGTTTACACCTTGAGGTTTTTTTTGTGCTGCTGCCATCAAGGTGTTCATCATTGGTTTAAACTTTGATTAACCAGAAAAAAAAGAGTTGCTCTTTTATTCAGATTCTTAGTTCCATGTCTTTGGCTTTTTGTTTATCATGGATGAAGTTTCATCTTCTTTTTCTTTTTAACCAATCACTTCTGTCTATTTTCACCATCACCATCATCTTTATCATTATCTTGATCATAATTTTCATGTTTGGCTTGCTCTTTTCATCCAGTCTCTTCAATGTATCATTATTGGCAACTTGTACTTTCACTTTTAACATGAAAATTTGTACAAAATATGAATAACGTTTCATTGTTTCTGCTATTTGGTGAATCATCCATCAAATTGAAATGAGTTTTTTGTTCCGATAAAATTGCATCAGTTCATCAGTCTTTTTGCGTTTTTTATTCATCTTCAATTTCATTCAATCGTTTATATTTTTTTGATTATTTATTATCATTTTGTTTTCTTTTTTTTTCTTGCTGTTCTTTTCCTTCTTTACCTCATTTTATGGTTACAAATATTAATTGAAACACTTAGAAATTGTGCCAAAAAGAATTGTGTGAAGACAGAGAAGATGATGAAGAAGGGAAGAGAAGAGAAGGTGATGATAATCGGATAAGAGGCATGACAAGTGTTAAAGCAAAGATGATTGATATAACCTCGAAGATCATCTCGCCATTTCCTTTCAAATTCAATTCAATTCAATCTTTACTTTATCCGTTGATAGATCGCATTGATAGTATCATCTTTGCTCTCTTCCTTAACATCATCTCAGTCATCACCACATTCAGCCTCTTTAATAACATTTATTATTATATAAATATATATATTTTGTTATTACTAGTAATATTTTAATTATTATTTCGGTATATTTATTATTAATTATCATTATCATTATTATGATGGTGTTGATGATGATCAAAATACTTCCTCCTCTTTATCCAGTTTAGTTGTTCAATTGGGCTCTTATTTCTTTGTGCAAATGGCATAGGAAATCTACATAACTGAGGGCGTCATGACCCACGCTAGATCAGGTTTGGGAAAGATACAGATAAAAACATTAGTGATATTTTTAGTCTACATTTGGTTCACTTTGAACATTCAATTCTTACCTGTCATGGCCCTTTTTGTCCTCGTAGAGGAAACTCTTGAAGACAATTTCTGTCTTATCCAAACCTTGGCGAATGATGTGAAGCTGTCAAAAATAGGATTATAAAATGATTATTTTGTAAGGTAAATTTTTTTTCAAATAAAATTAATGCAGATGAGGTTAATAAACATAAATCGATATTTATAAGTGAACAAAATTTCCTTGATAGTTAAAAGTCACCTTGATAGTAAACTTTTCAAAAGGTATGACACGAAGTTTTTTCCAAATAATTGATCATAATTTACTTGATAAAAATATAAATTAACATGGAATATTTTTCGATCTCATTCATATTCTTATCAACTTTTTACAGGCCGACATTCAAAATTTGACGCCAATTTTCAATCATTCATGCAAATTGTTGGAACTTGTTGATTTGGTTGAAAAATTACAAAAACTACAAAATGTAGGACAATCGCAGTAGCAAACATGAGTAGTTTGATTGGAGGCAGTGAGGTTTGCATATGCATATTGATATTCAATATTCAATAGTGAATATTGATTGAATAGAGATAATTTGAAATGAAGAATAAAACAGTAACTCAAGAAAATGAGTGAATCCTTGTAAAAAAAGGTAAAATTATAAAACAAAAGGACTCCCTTTGCTTGATTGATTGATAAACAAGTTGACAAGACAAACGATTCTCATTGTGTTTGAGAGTGTTTAGCAACCATTTCTGTTCAAAGCCTGTCGATATTCTAACATCATCATTTCAGGGGTTGTTGCTTCTTTTTTGGAAGGAAAATCGTGGAAAAATGAAAGAAATGTATAAATTTATAAGGTTTAAGTGTTAGCGAGAGTTCTAGCAAATCATTCATGATGTCTTAACGTGATCAAGTTCAAATAAACAAAAAGTTATACAGAAAATGAAAAACATAAAAAAAAAGATTACGGAAAGGCCGGTAAGTGGAATAACGCTCTTTTTCAGAAACCTAATTCAATTGACGTCAGGCAATGACAATCTGAATTTAACAACAAGGAAATGAGAGAGAAAAAGAGAGAGAGAGAGCGACGAAGATAGCAGTTAAAAGGTTAGTAGCGCAATTGAATAGATATGCAAGTGAAGCTTTTGTTTTCAACAGGGATGAAGCTGCTTTTTTTGTCAAATCATCGTAACATATTGATAATAACTCATGTCTTAAATCAGTGAGTGGAGAGTAACTACATAATTGTGTAAAAAATTGCATTTATAATAAACTCGTAACTACAACAATGAAATTTTGCCACAAATCAACTTTTTCCTTCCTCATGCCTGTAATTTACAGATTTCTTAGATTTTCTTATTCTTCTTCTTCTTCTTTTACCAAGTAAATTATGATATCTTATATCAACAATAATTATGATCAATTTGTTCTATCACCATAAAGATAAGATAATATATTACCTTGATTGCTCTTCGCCGTCTTTTACTCATCTTCTCAATTAATGTTTTGATAAATTGAGACTCCATTGTCATTAAATTCGGTAATTCCTGGTAAAAAGATAGTCCAGAAGAAAGAGGAGAGATAATAAACAATTAAAATAAGTTACAATTAAGGGCAAAAATGGCATTAACACACAAGATTAATTGTGTTGAAAGTTAAACTAACCGTTTCAACTGGAATTTTTTGTAAGGAATCAACACCGAAGACGTTCCACAAAAATTGTTGGTTCTTAGTGTTTGGCAAAGAAGTTGGAAGGTAAAGGAAATAATGGAATCCGGTTTCTAAAAGATACGCCATTGCCGAGTTGTTATCCAATCGATTGGACGAACAACGTATATGAACAGCACGAAGGTTACCTTCATAATTTGGATCGTACTGGAAATTTCAGAGTGGAAATAAATAAAAGAAAAACGAAATTTCAGTTTAATTGTGCTTTGTCATAAGATTTATGTTTGCTGAGTTAAATTAGCATCAAAGTGAAATTACCTCTATGCACAAAAGTTTCGGGTACAAAATGACTTGAGTTAAATCGATAGAGGCACCTGAAAAGAGAAACAGAAAACATATTAGAATAAATAAGAAATGATTCGGATAAATGCAAAAGAAATTTCACTAAAAAGTTGAACTTAAAGGGAAAAATTCAAGCAAAATCGACAGGTTATATGATGAGTGAGTTGATATAAACATGAAAAGAACAAAACAATCAGAAGATTGTTTTCCTCTCAGCATATTGTAGTCAAATCTTGTGCTAATATCCGTTCAAGGTCAGGTGATTTTCAGCAATAATCGTTAATTGAATGCTGATTATTCTCCAAATCAATGCTGTCAAACTTGATTTGATTGAGTTGTTAACTCTTCGGTGTTTAAATGCGAATAAAAAAGCTCAATTCAAGGCTGGTAATCATCGTTATAACATTAATCACCAGCAAAAGGGAAAATTACTCAAAAAGTGATGGCATGACTATGTAAGTGAAATACTCGCTCAGAATGTAGACCTTAATAATGAGCTAACTAAATGATGGAGATGCAATTTTTAAATATGAAATAGATTAATATAAAAGTACCCAGAGTAACAATTTGAGCATAAGCTTTTTCATCAGGAGAGAGCTCAGCTCCACCATTAATTGCATCACATTTAAAGGCGCCAATCGTATAAATTGGAAGTAATTTCAAAGCTTCAGGTAAAATGAGTTGACCTAGAAATGAATAAAGATAAAAAGAGTTAGTACGAGAGAAAATATGGAAACAAATTAAACAGGTGAGAGCATTCACCAAGGACAATGAATAAAAGTTATTAATGTCCTTTTAATTTAGACGCACCTAAAGGTGATCCAGGAGAAGCACAATGTTTTCGATAAGAGCTTAGGATAGCAACACATCGAGAAATTAAATGTTCTTTGATCTGTTGTGGAGTTTTTGTTCCATTTTTCAACTGAGACACACCTAGAGAAAGTAAAAAAAATAGAAGTGAATGATGATGACACTTTTAAATAATTTTATCAATGAAAAAAGGTAATTAGATACCTACCAGATCGTAAAAATAAATTCATTATTGTGTCACAACAGCAACTTTTGTATACAACAGCAGCTTCATCACATACACCAAAAGCCGCATTATGAACACGTATACGTCTTTCACCGCTAATAGAAGTGTATAGTGTGGCAGTCTATAATAAAATAATTGAAAGATTATTAGAGTTTTTCAATCGAAATTATTAATAAAATAGTGTTACTTACTTGAATAACGACATATTCGTCTTCAGGTAATTTATCATCATAACGAAATTCAACAACAATACTAGCTTCGGCATTAACAACAGCTGATTCGATGTCCGAAGTGCTTCTAGAGTAAAAATTGCCAAAATATTCAAAAGGTCGGACACCAGTTGAGGTTCTGACTGGAATAACGAAATAAACAAGACACATTAAAATCATAGCTACATATGAAGAAAAAAAATTTGATACAAACCTTTCATAACAGTATCAAAAGCGAAACTAGATTTCAATGAATATTTTAAATCCGTAACAAATCTATCGGAAAAGTCATTATAATATTTATAAATTCCTCCACTTCCAGTGAGACGAACTAATTCACTAATAGTTGCTAGATCAAGATAAGGACCTGAAAAGAAAATTGTGAAAATACATTGAATTTCGGTAAAAAAAACAGATTCAGATAGAAGTTTGATTATGAATCATACCGTTTACTGGAGGGAAAAGGAAAAGTTCGACTCCACTTCCATATTGAGTCACACATCTCGAAGCAAAATTGGTATAATGTTTGCTAGGTTCAGGTGTCAATATATTTTTCTCTTTGTCAGTTCCAAGTAAACGACGAGCATCATCTTGATTTGATGGATTCCAGCGTATTTTTAGTCTGCCGGGAGTTTCATTGTCTCTACCATAAGTTGGAAGTGTACAATGGAAAAGGTATACTTTTCCCGCTGGGACTACTTTACTAGGATCAGGGGTTGCATTACTCCCTGTTTCTGGATCAACGAACCAATTATTTTTATCGACCTGACAAGATTGAAGAGCAGCCTCAATGACAGGACCTAATATCGTTTCAGTTTCAAGCTCATTATCGTTGTATAAAGCAGGTAGAGACTGAAGAAATCTGTCAACAAAAAAGCAAAAATTAGTTTAAAAACATATGGGAAAACATAAATCTATGGCTGCAAACAAAATTAAGTTCTGATACTTTTTCCATTATCGTTGACATAGAGAAACAGTTGATTATGATTACTATAACTTTACTTTTTATAACCGATTGCTTTTTAACGCCTTTCATAATTAATCATTTGAGTATAATTTTTGATAAAACTGTTTCTTTAAGCATGATGAAGAAAAAACGTACCAGGACTTAATTTTCAAAGCTGCATAAATACCTTTCAATTTGGTCTGCATGCGTAACAGGATCTACTAAGAAAGTAGTTGAGGGTGAGAAGGTTTCTGCAACGTCACTAACTATTCGAACTTGATTATTATTAATTATATCGTAAACTTGAATCTTAGAATTATATGTTAAAAATCCGACCAAAGGAGGACGTGATCCTGGATTTTGAATGTCACTGAAGAGATGAAATAATTAAATGAGATGATGAAACACTGGAGGCGCATAGGCTTAAGCTTACGTGGGTAAATGGTTTTTGATGACATCAGGTAAATGCTTCGATAATTGGTGGACTAATAATTTTGAGTTGACAGTCATCTCGAAGGCAAATATAATATGTGGACGTCTACAGTTCAAAATACCTGAGTGTGAAAATAATTAAACATTAATATTTTATCGAAAAATGTGTTTCAATGCACATACCATTCCGACAATATTCAGCTGTTCCTCTGAATTCATAACTTCCAAGATTTAATTCTGGCCTTTCAATTTCATCTAACCTACGACCTAAAACAAAATTATAAAATAACTGATTAGCCAACTCAAATAACTTAATAATTTACACGTAAACAAACCATTATGATCAAGGTGTGCAAAGTATGTGTTTGGAACTTCACTAATATGACGACAAAGTGCACATTGGAAACGTCGACCACCATCAATGAATCGCATAAATGGACTCATATATGCCTTGCATCTGTTACATCGGATTATTTCCGATTCTGAAACGGGAACATTTATTGTTTCATCAAGTTCCTCCTCCGCAAATGGTGTTACAACAATGCCAAATGGTAGACCAGTTGTTTTGAGTAAATCTTCAGAATTTGGAATTGAATAAAATGTTGATCGTATGTGATTTGGACGGGCACAGCCTCCATCTTGCATGGAAACTTTGGTCTCGGGATCTTTCAGTGTAGTTACAAGCGGAGGGACTGATAAAGGCCTTGTAGAAATAATATTTTCTTCCGATAATTTAGCAATATCTTCTTGAATGACATCAGTTACACTTGGCATAAGATTTGGATCCAGCTCACGGGATTGTTGTGGAGGTGGCAAGTGTTGATGGTGCATCGATGGCGGCTGGAATTGACCAGAAGATTGTGTTTGTTGGATATGCTGTTGATATTGTTGCTGTTGTTGTTGTTGTTGTTGTTGTTGTGGCGGTGGTGGTGGTGGTGGCTGATAATGCTGCGGTGGTTGCTGAAATTGACCAGAAGGCTGTGATTGTTGGACATTCTGTTGGTATTGTTGTTGCGGTGGAGCTGGTATTCGATATGGTACCGGCTGGAATTGACCAGAAGCTTGTGATTGTTGGACATTCTGTTGATATTGTTGTGGTTGTGGTTGTGGTGGGGGTTGATAATGTTGAGGTGGTGGCTGAAATTGACCAGAAGGCTGTGATTGTTGAATATGTTGTTGATACTTTTGTTGTGGTGGCTGCTGCTGGTGATAATGTTGCGGTGGCTGCGGTGGATACATTGTTGTTGTTTTTGCTGTTGTAGATGATGTGACCTAAAATGACAAATTGTCAAAACATCAGCCAATTCGTTTCCTTCCGGTGATTATGTAATGCCATCTATTAATGACGATTGTAATAATAAAAAGCGCCGTCTATGTTTTTATCTGCTACAATAACAACATGTGTTTAAATTCAACATCAACCTGAATGGTTTATTACAATGAACATCAAAATTCTGTTTCATTTTCAGCCTTCAATTTGATTTTATTGCTCTCCAATCATGTTAATTTCAATTATTCGATCTCAACTCTGCATTGAGTCTTGTATTCATAAATCTTATCGTACAGATATTAAGGTAAGACTACATTATTGCAAACATTATTTTACTTTCTTTTACATCGCGCTTTTGCTATTCATTTTGCTATTTACTTTGAATTTACAGTAAATTTTGATGAAATATATTTCTTTTTTGTTGCAGAAATTTATTTACACTGGTCAAAGGTATCTTCATCAGAAATCTCCTCTAGATAATGATCGTTCTATAGAAAGGACAAGACCCGAGAATCAAACATATTCATCTCAGTGGAAAGGCTTTTGGTACCCTTCAACAGCAAAGTTATACAAATTTGACAACATAAAGCCTGATGAATGGACCTTAGTTTATCGTCTCAAATGGTCAACTAAACTACTATACTCTATTGTATATATGCAATTCGCTTTATTAACTAGTCTAATTGTGGTTTTACACAAGGTTTTTATCAAGAAAGAAAAAATACACAAAGCTCCGGTTGAAGATGAAGATTATTTTCGTATTATTTTGGTTGGTATTAGCTTAATGATTTGTGGACTTGCATTTTTAATCATTAGATCATTTTCAAAAGTTGTTTTACGAGGATATTATTCACAAAAATATCAAAGATTCTTGTTTATTCGACCAACTTTAATGCAACCCTGGCAGATACGAAAAGTTATCTGTGCTCCTGGTCTATTAGAGCCTATCCCTGAATCAAGCTCAATGCTTATTGAACCAAATTTCAAGATCAAAGATACCAAAATTTTATTGTTCGAGAATAATTTTTTTTATCCTACTTATTTCAATGTTTTGAGTGGTTTCACAGGCTCTCATTCCATTGAAAATATTCGTTTCGACCCGGATTCATTATTTTGGCAATCTATGAAGAAGTCTTCCAGAGATTGAACTACTTTAAGCTTTTTTGGAAAATTTCATATTGTAAATTTAATAGAAATAACTTAATTATAAATGCAATGTTTTACAATGTCAAAAGCCAAGTTATATTGATATTTAATAAATACAATATGGTTAAGCAAAATAACCATTAATATGGCAAAGATGAAATCAATAAGAAGATTGAGCACTTGTCAAATAAACCATGTTAGCACCAGCCTGTTGAAGCCTTAATCCTTCGTTATGTGGAATCGGAACAATTCGGAACAATCGACTCAATGGATTGTCAGCGGTTGCAATTGCTCTTGATTTTGATTTTACCCAATCGGACTCTCTGAATCTTGTTCTGGCTCTTCAGTACCTGTTAGAGTCTCTTGTTGTTGAACTGGACCAGGACTTGATAATATTTGCTCAGCAATTGTAGTTGGTGCTTCAGTCTTAGTTGTAGTCGTAGTTGTGGTTGGTGTTGTTGAGGGTAATGAAAGAACTTGTGAACTGACTAATCTTAAAATAGCTTGAGAACGCAATCTTTGCTGTCGAACTGAAGCTCTGGCAGCAGCAACAGGAGCAACCCGAGACAAAGAATTTTTTACTGGAGAAACTCGAACTTTTGATGGAGCAAGAGAAATTAAAACGATTGATTAAGGTGATGGTGTTGCACTTGTACTGGTTTTTGATGGAACTGCCGTTCGCCTTTAAAAGCACCTCTTGCTGGAGTAGCTTCAGTTTGCAGATAAATGCCTGCTGGAAATTCTTTATTTGAATCACCAAGTCCAGGTTCATTTGATCTTATAGCAGCTCGGAATCCATTTTCATCAGCAATATATTCAACAGTACGGAACAATCCATCAGCATCTCGATAACTGTATGAACCTCTAACAGCTCCTTTGTTATCACCAGACTCTTGTCGAGCTAATTGGTTACCAGCAGCATCAGCTGTATTATATGAAAATGCATAAGGTGAAGGTGATGAAGTTGTAGATTCACTTGATTTTAATGAAGACTCGGTGGATTGGCTATCTGAACTGGATGCACTTTCATCTCCAGTAATCTTTTGTTGACTAATTTCACAAGAAGCCAGGGCCAAGCTCGCAAAAATTATTAAAAGCTAAGCAAAAGAAAAGGGAAAATGAACTAATAAGACAACTTTGCCCATTTAGAACATAACTTGACAATTTTATTAAAATTGTAAATTTAGGTTTGAGATTTGAATGACATCAGCGAATATTTTAAGAAAAGTCGATCAGATTGAAGACTCGCGAATTGCGAATTATTAATACCTTTCGAAAACGTCAACCACCGTTTTATACGAGTTAATGATTAGGATTAAAGGTAAAGATTAGAATTTACAAACGATTATCAATCATTGAATTGAATTCAACCTTTAATGATTTTTTCTGTAGGAAACGGAAAGCTATATTTCAACATATTTATCTCTTGTAATCAATATTTATTCAGCCAAATGATGAAATCTAGCCAATCATAGTTTTATATTCAGCAGATTGGTTACGAGAACCAAGAAATGTTTCCTGATAATTCTTCCACTTTATATTCAATGACGTTCTCATGCAAATTACATAAACACATGGCTGAATACAGAGAAGGATTTCATAAGTCTGTGAAAAGGATGAGTACTAACATGATGAGTTGTTGTGAGAATTGACAAATTGCCTTCAAAAAATTTTTAGATGCAAAATAACAAAAGAAACAGAAATGAATGGCTATTTAGTAAAAGCACATCATCACTTCTCGGTTCCATGTTAAATGATTAATAATTAATTCGAGGAAAGATGATAGTCCCATATGGTAGCATGAACGAAAATTCAATCTACTGTTTTTTTGTGTATACCAAAGAAAAGGATAAAATGTTTAATCAGATCTTAGCAAGTCAACTTTAATTTTAGCCTCACATCCCCAGCCCCAAATTGTTGAGGTAAAAGCTCAATAATAAAATTTACATATGCTAATCAGACCAATTCGACATTTGCAGTTTTGTAAGAGCTGTCGATAGTTCAAAGAATAAACAACACCAATGGCACATTAAATACATTGTCAAAGAGCCATATCAACCGATAGAGTATTATTTTGACTTTAAGATGGTCATGAAAAGTTGACAAAAATTTCATGCATTGAAAAGTGTCACTTTTTTTACTTTGAGCGGCTATCATTAAATCGCCGTGATATGCAGGTAAATGAAAGTAGCGACAAACAAAACTGTCACATTTTCTCGATAGAATCGCTGAAAAAGTATTTCAAATATCTGTTCCCATCGTGAAATAATGAACCTCTCAATAGTTCCACTATTGACTTTGACACCTAGTATAATGATAATAAGATGAAGGCTTGAAAAATATCCAATCATCACCTCTGAACAATTGTTGAGGTGATAGCTTAATGATTAGTACAATTCACATATGCTAATAGTTAATTTAACTAATTAAATAAAATTAACATATTGCTAACACGATTTGACATTTACCGTGTTTTGAGAGCTGACGATAGTTCAAGGAGATGCAAAACAATGCAATGAAACAATAAACCATGCTATAAAGATGAGTATAAATAGTGCTCGTCTACAACTTAAATGTATCATTTGAAAATAAAAGTTGGTTAAGTGTCTACATTTTACTCCGATACGTTGAAAAAAGTAAAACAACAAAACCTAGTGAAAATGAAATTTACTCCAGTTACATCCATTATATTTTGCATGGTCTTCGTAGCTATCTTTGGACATAGTTCAGCTTGGCGCATGAGAAGATTGAACATGCCTAATCGTCCAGCGTTTACATTACCTTCAGATGTGCTGTATACTGGATCTCCTACAACTCCTAATTATGATGGGACTTCTACTACTGGTGGGACTACTATCGGGACTACTGGGTTCATGAATATTCTCTAAAGCACATATGTTTGATGATCCTTGTTCTGTTAGATGAAATTGCTTTTAGTTTCATTGAACAGAACCTATGTGATTTTGACATTTGGACCCAATAAATTTAACTGATTAATTATCTAATTGTTTAAACTCTTATTTTGACGATTATTTTCTGTATCGTAATTTGATTTGATTTCAGGAATGTGAAAAAAGCATACATAGCGTTGGGAAAACATGAATTCCCCAATAACCAATGAATGAGAATAGCAGAAATATATTTTCGGTATAAGATTGCAGCGTAAATATTGAATATTAACAGAATGATCGGAAAGTTTTGTAGTTTGGGGGACTTTTTCCTTTTAAGCGAATAAACACAATATCTATCATTGACACATCGAATGTCACACCATTCGGTTGAATAAATATTGTATGAGATAAATATGTTGAGATATAGCTTTCTGTTTCCTACAGAAAAAAATCATTGTCTTAGTGTTACCCGAATGGATGATTCGGCTCCTGGAGTTTATTTTATTGTTAAGTTGTGTTGCAAAACAATTGAAAAGGTTTAAACTTGATGTTTATTAAAAAAAGGTAAACTTAAACTACAAATTCAATTCAGTTTTGCATCTTCTTTTATACTCAAAGAGTTACATGGGATCGTGAGATCGGTGGATACAAGGTTAAACAAAGGTGAACGGAGAGTAAGGTAGGACTTAGTTGAAGTTAACTAGAGGCTTGTAGTATTAAAATACGATGCTCCAATCGCATCGTTTGATGAAATGTCTGGTCGTATCAGTTGACACAAACAATGACTAGCGAATTGCGAATTATTAATACCTTTTGAAAACGTCAACCACCGTTTTATACGAGTTAATGATTAAGATTAAAGGTAAAGATTAGAATTTACAAATGATTATCAATCATTGAATTGAATTCAACCTTTAATGATTTTTTCTGTAGGAAACGGAAAGCTATATTCCAACATATTTATCTCTTGTAATCAATATTTATTCAGCCGAATGATGCAATCTAGCCAATCATAGTTTTATATTTAGCAGATTGGTTACAAGAACCAAGAAAGGTTTTCTGATAATTCTCTGAATTCTCTATCCTGGTCAACTAAACTACTATACTCTATTGCATATATGCAATTCGCTTTATTAACTAGTCTAATTGTGGTTTTACACAAGGTTTTTATCAAGAAAGAAAAAATACACAAAGCTCCGGTTGAAGATGAAGATTATTTTCGTATTATTTTGGTTGGTATTAGCTTAATGATTTGTGGACTTGCATTTTTAATCATTAGATCATTTTCAAAAGTTGTTTTACGAGGATATTATTCACAAAAATATCAAAGATTCTTGTTTATTCGACCAACTTTAATGCAACCCTGGCAGATACGAAAAGTTATCTGTGCTCCTGGTCTATTAGAGCCTATCCCTGAATCAAGCTCAATGCTTATAGAACCAAATTTCAAGATCAAAGATACCAAAATTTTATTGTTCGAGAATAATTTTTTTACCCTGCTTATTTCAATGTTTTGAGTGGTTTCACAGGCTCTCATTCCATTGAAAATATTCGTTTCGACCCGGATTCATTATTTTGGCAATCTATGAAGAAGTCTTCCAGAGATTGAACTACTCTAAGCTTTTTTGACAAATTCCTATTGTAAATTTAATAGAAATAACTTAATTATAAATGCAATGTTTGACAATGTCAAAAGCCAAGTTATATTAATATTTAATAAATACAATATGGTTAAGCAAAATAATCACTGATATGGCAAACGATAAAATCAATAAGAAGATTGAGCACTGGTCAAATAAACCATGTTAGCACCAGCCTGTTGAAGCCTTAATCCTTCGTTATGTGGAATCGGAACAATTCGAAACAATCGACTCAATGGATTATCAGCGGTGCGAATAGCAATTGTTCTAGGTTGAGCTTGAGCTTGCTGGAAGTTTAATGAATCATAAGTCAAATCTTCATCAAGAAAACGGACCAACAATGGTTGCTCGGTTGAAACATAGGAAGTTTGTGGGAAAATAGATTCAGGAATTGAAATTGGACTCTCTTGGATTGGACTTCCTGAAACTGGACTTTCCTGAATCGGGCTTTCTTGAATTGGGATTTCTTGCACTGGACTTGCTTGATCTGGACTTTCTTGAACTGGACTCTCTTGACTTCGATGTTCTTGAACTAGACTTTCTTGATTTTGATTTTGTTGAACTGGAATTTCACGCACTTGACTTCCTTTCACTGGACTTTCTTGAGTTCGCTGCTCTTGAGCTGGATTTTCTTGAACTGGACTCTCTTGACTTCGCTGTTCTTGGGCTGGACTTTCTTGATTTTGATTTTCCTCGATTGGACTCTCCGAAATGGGACTTTCTGAATCTTGTTCTGGCTCTTCAGTACCTGTAAGAGTCTCTTGTGATTGAACTGGACCAGGATTTGATAATATTTGCTCAGCAATTGTAGTTGGTGCTTCAGTTGTAGTTGTAGTCGTAGTTGTGGTTGGTGTTGTTGAGGGTAATGAAAGAACTTGTGAGCTGACTAATCTTAAAATAGCTTGAGGACGCAATCTTTGTTGTCGAACTGAAGCTCTGGCAGCAGCAACAGGAGCAACCCGAGACAAAGAATTTTTTATTGGAGAAACTCGAGTTTTTGATGGAGCAAGAGAAGCCAAAACGACTGATTGAGGTGTTGTGGTTGAACTTGTACTTGTTGTTGATGGAACTGTGGGTCGAGTTGGTGCAGCTGTAGCGAAAGTGTTTTGAGCTGCTCGTAGTTTAGCCGCAGAAGAAGCCGAAGCCACTTTAGAGGCGACTCTTGCTGGAGTAGCTTCAGTTTGAAGATAAATGCTTGCTGGAAGTTCTTTATTTGAATCACCAAGTCCAGGTTCATTTGATCTTATTGCAGCTCGGAATCCGTTTTCATCAGCAATATATTCAACAGTACGGAACAAACCATCAGCATCTCGATAACTGTATGAACCTCTTACAGCTCCTTTGTTATCACCAGACTCTTGTCGAGCTAATTGGTTACCAGCAACATCAGCTGTATTATATGAAAATGCATAAGGTGAAGGTGATGAAGTTGTAGATTCACTTGATTTTAATGAAGATTCTGTGGATTGGCTATCTGAACTGGATGCACTTTCATCTCCAGTAATCTTTTGTTGACTAATTTCACAAGTAGCCAGGGCCAAACTTGCAAAAATTATGAAAAGCTAAACAAAGGAAAAGGGAAAATGAATATTAAATGGATGGATGAACCTGAGTCTTGAGATGATACAAATATGATTGCCTTAAAATCACTAAATTAAGACATTTATAAAATTCGAAAGGATGATTGAACGCTCAAAACCAACAAAATCAATGAATAACAAATGAATTGTAAACATTGAAACAAAAAGCAAACTTACCTTAAACATTGTTAGATCCATTGGCACAAATAAATACAATTTTTTGTTGTTTACTGTTGATCCAATTGGAAATTAAATGATCACGGAAATAAACAAAACCAAAGTGAAAGTGATTTTGATTTTTTTTAAACATTTATATCTGTTCTCAATTTTGAGTCAACGAAAGATTGACACAATTTATGAAGATGAGATGTTAGGATGACCTGGTCATTTTAAAAGTGGGAAGACGTTTTAATGTGAAATGTTGATGGAGATGATCAAAAAAGTAGATGTTGATCAAGTGAAAGTGGTAAATAAGATTAAGCCAGGATAAATTGAAGATTAACTGATTCTAAATCCTTGAGGTGATCATCATTATACCGACCTCAACATGTTTCAATAAGCAACCTGAATAAACCTGAATCTTCATCTTTTAAGTTGATTTTCACATTATCAACTGATTGATTGATTTTAAATTGATTTATTTTCATCACCTTTTCTTTTAGAAATAATCAAATTTAATTATTCAAATAATTTCACACTAAATAGCTGTTAATTACAATTGAATCAATCGAGTGAACACTTAATACTGAAAATCAGATACGATTACATTCAATGCTTGAGGCTCAACCGGTCTTTCCAATCAACTTAAGTGTCTCTCACACCTATTCAATTGAAATACCAATATTTAACTACAATTTCATTTCTATTTGTTTCTATTTTCTCAATTTATAATCGATTTGATCAGCTGTCAATAATTTGATAAGCTAATTTTATTAGTAGTTTGAATTTCTGCTAATCAAATAAACATTGAATTGCACTTTTCCCTTTCATTATGAATCTTATAATAAACTTTGATTCTTTAAAAAATTACTTTATCAAGTAAAAACGATCTATTACAAGACATAATACAATAAAATGGTCTAATGATTACATTTAATACTATTGAATATCGCTCGTCAATTAGATCCCTTGCTCGATGTGATTTCCTCCGATGTATCACTTGATTCCTTTGAACTCGTATTCAATTCTGGATAAACTTTATGTCCAAATGTTTCATTTAAAGTTTCACGGAAACAACTTATATTGGAATCGGAACTGAAACGAGTTTTTAAAATTTTCAGTGAGGCTCCAGATGATTTATCTGCCTCATTTGGTTGACTCTCTAATTGCTGTCCTCTTGATTGTTTAGCTAATATAAACTCTTTGGGTTTCACGTAAGTAATTTTACCATGATAGTCAGCAAATGGAGAGACTCCATTTGTTTTATTGACTGTTCTTGGATCAATATTTCTAAGTGCTTTTACATTAAAGTGATGTTTTGATGAGCTATCACCTTTAAGGTTGGAATGAAGTTTAGAAAAATTAACATGATTAGAATTATTACTATTTTGATTCCTGGGAGAAACTGAATTAAAAGAGATTGCTTTTGGAGCTTTTGGATATTTTTTGTTTGGCATTTTCCTTCCCAAAGAATTGACGTATCTTTCCGATGAAATCAAGTCACCAGCCGAATGTTTGTCCGGAATTGATTTGACCATTGTGAAGACACTTTTAAGCTGATTCAATTCAATCTTTAAGATAAATAAATATTAGAACGAGTAAATTCAAAGAAAGTTCATACAAACCATGTCCACTGTTTGTCTAACGGTCGTCCATCGATTAGTATAATCTTTAATGAGAAACCTTCGGGCTGATTTATTGACATTGTAAAGGCTTTTTGCCTGTGGAAAGAAGCGTTTATGAAACGATTGACTTTCAAAAATGAGTAAATGATAATTACTATGAAATTTCCAGCTCCAGATTGTCCGATAATATCATCCAGGCCATTCATTGTAGTCTCGATCACTTTCAAGTGTAACTCGTTGAATAATTTAGGATCAGCATCAGTCAACATTTGCAATCCCAAAAGTTGAACAATCGGTTTAGTAGTTGATCCCTAATAATCAATAAAACACCAAAAAAGTAAACACTTCACACAAATTGACTATAATAAGCAAGTTAATAAAACATTAACATAAAAGCTTCTCAACAATTGTGATAATGTTTAATTCACAGAGTTACTCTGTTGTTGAAATGCACAAAATTAGTCAAGAACAGATTGAAAGATTTAAATCATTCTGCAACTCATATTGATCAATTGGATAATTCACTTCCGGGATATATAACAATTAATCATTGAGATTTGTTTACCTGAACAAAAACAGTAAATATAATAACTGTCAAGGTTGCTGTAACGAAAAGATCAGCTGAAGGCAAATCTCGAGGATCCAACATTATTGCCAAGGCAAAGGCAATAGCACCTCTTAGTCCACCATAAGCCATAATAAATTGTTCCTGGCGAGTTATACTTCGAAGGCGATTTGAAAAATTGTTGCAAACATAAGTCAACAGATAAATACCTAATATTTAATGTATGGAGATGAAAAACTGTCAATGAATAACTTGGACCTGACATTGATTGTGTCTCTAAACTTACTTGCGAATCGGTAAATTATGCAAAAAATAAGCACTGATATTACGAAAGAAAAATTCCATGTATGAATATCACGAATTAAAACCATACCCAGAAAGAGAAATATGATAACTTCGGAAATGCTACTCAAAGTTTTGACAAAATATTTTATTGTTATGTTTGATTTGCTCGAGATATTATGACGTGCATAGGCAGCTTGAATCAGTCCACAACAGGTCAGACAAATTATACCAGAAAAGTGGAGTAATTCAGCAGTAAAATAGGATAGATAAGCGCATAACATCACAACCAAAGGTTCAATTACTATTTCAGAAGAAGAAATAAATTGTAGAAACAACATTGACCGTAAATGGTGTTTGATTTACCTCGAACCTGTCCTGTACATTTGGTCACTAGTGAAGTGAAACCACCAAATATTGCTCCAATAACAATTCCTCCGCCTGAAACAGTTATGAAACTGAGAATTGCCAAGAACACATGTTTAACTTGGATATCAGTTGCAGCGGCAAAATTTGTCATTGTATTGTACATTGTGACCACAACAGCATCTTGATCAGAGAAAGTTAGAAATTAAACTCAAATGTCAATTATTGTTGAATAAAATTGTAGTTACAATGAATTTTGAACTTACCGTTGAGCAACGATTCGCCAAAAACTAGAAAATATAAAGCTTTATCTACATTGACTTCTTGAAAAATGGCAATAACCTGTGAATTAGAGAGATTGATCAGTCTTGGGTTCATTCATCAATTGTTAGCATAGACTTACCGCAACCGGATCAACGGCTGAGATTAATGTTGAAAAAGTTAAACATTCAATAAAACTAAGTCTAAAAGGTAAATAAAGTCCACAATTGGAGCAAACATAAATACTAATCCCGATTCCAATGATATTGATGATTGTTCCCTGCAGGTAAAATGTAAAGTTATCACTACAATAATCTTAATCGTAAAAAGACACAATCAACACAATTTTTCCGTTTCTACACGAATTTAAACAAATGGGCAAAAACGGGAAAAAATTAATTTCATACAAAACTAGACTCTGATAGTTTGTAGGGACACAAAAACCAAGTTCATTCAGGCGATTTTCAAGTTTCTCTGATCAATAGTTTTCGAGAAAGTCGAGTCCAAAGTTGTAGCTACGATTGCCTTTTGTTCATTTACGGTAGCTAACTTTTTCATGAAACTCATTTTCCTTATGTAAATATCAATGGCTAACCAGAAAATGCACTTATTTTGAGAAATAAAGTTTTATGTCTTTTGCAAAACAAATAAGTTCGATTTTTGCTTGAACCGATCGCTTTCTATGACTATAATATTCAGCGAGGTGAAAATTATCATTTGTCCATAAAAATTGTTGGCTCACATAATGGATCAAAAAGTTTCATGAATTTATAAGTAGTTCTCTTGATTTTGGCCATTGGACTTGAAACTTTTAGGCTCGATATTTCGAGAATGGCATCACATACAATCATAATTCTTTCGCCAATTTATCTCTTTCATAATGAATAATCCAATTCAATTTAATAAATTTCAATTAGCGCTTTTAGGTTATGAAAATCGGGCTGTTAATGTGCAAGAAACAACTTATTAAACAAAACAAACTCATATTAACCCATTTCTTGGTAAATAAACCAATTTTCTGGTTAAACCAGCAAATGTAATGCAAAGAATGCTGTCAAAGGCTCGAACATTTGACTAAAGAGTTGAAACTTGGTACGTTTGTAGCGGCATGAAAACTGAGTCCTTTGGTACTATTAAATAATTCATCCGATGAACAGTTTTTGAGAAAATCGAGGTCAAAGTTGAAACTTCGAACGCCTTTTGTACAGCTATGGGAGCAGATTTTTTCATGAAAACCTATCTTACTGATGTAAATTTTGATGCTGAACCAGAAAATGCAATTATTTTTTGAAATAAAATTTTCGATTTCCTGTAAAGCATATAAGTTCGATTTGCATTTAAACCGACCTTTTTCTGTGACCGAAAGAGTTAGAAGTCTGAAACTTCTTACCAGTCCATAAAAATTATTTGTACTTATTATGGATTGGATCATTTTTTCAATTTAGCAACGGTTCTCTTGATTTTGGCCATTGGACCTACAACTTTGAACCTCCATATTTCGAGAATGGTGTCAACTACAATCTTCATTCTCTGAATAATCATTAGGTTTTATTATGGGCTATGATAAAATATGACTGAATTTATTCAAAAATGAATATCCTTCTAACAATTAAGGTTTTGTTTGAGTAACCATTTAACTTTATAAACCAAGTTTCAAATCTGACAACATAATTAATACAATGTTATAACTTTTTAAGTAGGATCTCAAATAATTTACTATTTGCCCATGTCATAGGCCATAATAAAATCTAATGTTAGATCAAAGAATGGTGATTTTAGGTTATGTCATTCTCGAAATATTGAGGTTGAAAGTTTTTAGTTCCATGGTCAAAATCAAGAGAACCGCTCATAAATTGAAAAAAGCATTCAACTCATAATGTGTACATACAAGTTTTATATATCAATACCAAGTTTCAGCTTGCTAACTCTTACTGTCATTGAAATCTGTCGATTCAAACGAAAATCGAACTTATCTGTTTTACAGAAACACCAAACTTTTTTTCATATAATTTCATGCATTTTCTGATTCGCCATTAAAATTTACATAAGGAAAATGAGTTTCACGAAAAAATCTGCTTCCATAATTGTCCAAAAAGCTTTGAAAGTTTCAACTTCGAACCCGACTTTCTCGAAAACTATTGATCAGAGAAACTTATAAATCGCACAGATAAACTCATTTGTCATGCCCCTACAAACTAACAGTGTCTAAATTTGCAAGAAGCTGATTATTTCCCGTTTTCGCCCATTTTTCTTTCAGTGTTTTGTCAATTTGTGGATAAATGTTACAAATGTGTTAAGTGTGTCTTTTCAGTAACAACCAAGTGTAAGCAAAAGATTGTAATGGTCTTTGAAGGGATTTCATTGTAATTGAGTTGGAATAAACTTTTGGCTTATCATTAAATCTGACTTGGCCTAACTCAGCCAAACCCAAAGTCGTTAAATTATATCATAAAAACAGATTACAATCAAATAAATATACATTTTAAATACCAAGTTGTTATTACAATTATAAATTCAAATGCGAACCCTTTAGCCTTACAAGACAACGGATCAAGGATCAATAATCAAGTGAAATTCAGTTCTATTTTGTTTATGACCTCAAATTGACAGGTAATTTCACAATTTATTGCCAAGATTTCGATTCAAAAAGATTAAATTTTGTTTAACTTCTCAAAGTCTGAAATCTTGTGACCTGAAGACGATTCAAGCAAGTCTCTTAAGCCTGTAATCATCTTCCTGTGATTTCAGATGCAATAGTAGATTAGCAGCCGTAATTATCATTTTTGCTGATGATCATCATTGAATCATCTTCAAAATGACCCAGCAGAGGGATAATATCGTTAATCTTAATTAACCTAACCTGAAATCAACACCAATACAACAACCCAGTTGAATGTAGCTTGAAGTTCATTTTGAACATCATCTTCAATCAATCGATTTGTATTTTAGATCAATTTTTATTGCTAACTAATAATAGTTTTAACAATAAAGTTGAACTTCTTCATTAACCATAAATGTTACTTTAAATTGATTCAATACTAATCATCATCAGTCCAACAAAATCTGAACGACTTCCAAATTAACCTTTTTCAAATCATAAATGAAATTGCAAGTTAAATTGAAAGTGAAATTAAAAGCAAAACTAGTTAATCAAGTTAATTTATCCTAAAGCCAATCAACAATAAACTTCAATCGCCATTTAATCTCAAAAGGTCTTTATGATCTTTGACTTATAAACATTCAATTCGTAATAAAAGTTGCTTGTTAAATATTGGATATCATGCAATAACAAAATTTTCATGTTTAACTCATTGAATCCTTTAGTCGCTATTAATAGCAAATTAAATAACAGTAAATGTCAACCTGTATCTACAATTGTTGATAATTTTAATGACAATTAACTGTTAACTTACCACAACTGCTAATAACATGATAGTTCCAATATTCTTGAAAAAGGTTTTATCAAACAATTCAAAAGCTGATTCCAAGATGATTCTGGTGCAAATGTAAGAGAATCGTTGATTAGATTAATAGTAATTGTAGGTATAATCGAGCAGAAATAATGATACATGGGAAATGTAATAATCGATATCATCAAATAGGTTAATCATTCTTAACCTTGATGATTGTCAATCAATTTTTACTCACGGAGGAAGGTAAAAGTAGAAAAATTTTTCAGGTGTAAATTGAGGAATATAAGTGTTTCCAGGAATATCTGTTAAACTTAAGATATATAATATAATAACTGTAATATGGATAAATGTTTTGATAGTTAATGTACATACTGAAGGATTAAACCAACAAACGATCCTAGAAGTATGAGAACACTGAAAGACACAATCAAATCCAAATTACGATTAATCAAGTTTCCATTGAAATGAGCGTTCTTTATGAAACTACCATTTTTGTGAGATATTGAAGCTCTTCAAAGGCTTTGAGGTTAAATCAATATCGGTTGAAAATTATGAAAATCAAAGCATTTACTTCACTTCAACTTTGATTTATATTTAAACTTTGACTTGAATACATTTAATTGTATGTTTATAATAACCAAATCAATATAAATGGACAAAATTATCATAAAGCAAGAATTATGAAAATCTAATGATCTGATTGAACCCTTTGTTATAACCTTCTAGTAAAATCTAACCAAAACTTAGCTTTAATTGTCAACTTTGATCAAATCAACTTTTGTCATCGAAGCAATCATTAGGCCTACTTTAGGTAATTTAGATTGAAACAATCAGTCATTTCGATTTAGTTCAACTTTGACTGAAGTAGAAGAAAATCAGATTTTTAAGAGAATCAAATCAATCGATAACTTGTGATGAATTAAAGCCTTTTTTGAGGTCGGTTAGAGGTAAAAGTGTACTTACCATGATTCAGGGACTTGATTCCGTAGCCATTGAGTGTTATGGTAAGCTATTTTGGCAAAAGCCCCGAGTAGGAAGAAGACGAGGACGACGAGGTAACGTCCAATGACATCCCATCGCCAACCGATTAGAGTGATATGAACACCTCGACGACTCGAATTGTGGCCGATTAAACTTTGTTGAATTGGGTTAACACTCGGTAAATTACTGACAAAGGACAGAATCACTGTTGAAGCAAAATTTATCATAATATATTTTATTTTGAACTGACGTTTCTCTTTGACTTTATATTAGCTTAAATTGTTGCAACATAACAGAGATCAAGTTGAGAATGAAAAAAACTGTTCAACAATCGAAGGGTTTATTTAGTTATTTAACTCCCAATCAGGCTATCATTTTGTCCTTTTCACTCCCAATTCATTTCTCCTGTTTACTCATTGTTTCATTGAACAGTGTTATTCCTTGTGAACACGCCATTATATTGATTACAAGATCGCTCAATATTCAATCAAATAGTGTTAACTACCTTGTTTAACCTCATTTCAATTGTATCATTTCAATCAAATTGGTTAATGTTAATCTCAATCTGATCAACGTAACCAATTTCACGCAAGGTTCAATTGAAAGTTTTCTTTGCCAAAAATAAGTTCAAAATAACAATTAAAATTGACCAACAAAATTTTATTGAAACAAACATTGAAAATACATTGAAAGTCCATCTTTATTTGCTTTCGTTTTACTTTGCTATCGTTTAGTTGATGTCAAAATTATTGGACCATTTATGCGCCGGTCAACATATAAGTGCTAATTTTTGTTTCTATGGAAACTCAGCATTCTATTATCGGATTCATCTTTTCTTGGAGATAATTTTGATGATGAATCTTGAGTATAATTGAACATCAACAATTTGGTGTGAAACTGTAAATAGAATGAAATTGTTGCACTTTTAGTCAACTTGTTATATCAATTGTTTAACCATCAGCTGATTTATTGGAGGAAATCAAAAAAAAGGTAAGAATCTTGTGATTCTCATTCCGTTATTAATTCATTTTATTTTTGTAATATATTTTTACCTTTATTAGTTCATCATATTGACGTCTTTAAGTGTAACATTGTTCAATGTGAATCTGTTCCTAATCATTTCAATTTAAATCTCAATCTTAGTCCTTAATCGTAATCTTTGAAGGTTTAGAGGTTACATGAGAACGAAGATGTTATTGACTGTTTAGGCTCAAGTCAATTGTAGCCAATTGAGGTTAATTTTTGATTTAGATTGACTTTAAATGATTAACAGGAGCGTCTTAAAATCTGTTAATCATTGCCATTGTCTTGAAAATTGTCACATTATTTTTAACTCTTTCATGAGTCAAGTGAAATATCAAGTCTTTTTAAATTTATTTTTCAACGAGTGATAAGTCAATAGCTATTCATTAGCTAATGTAATTGGCGACACACAAATCAAGGTAGATTGATATTTAGTATATTGAATATTAATCTGATTAAAAGCTATCATTAATTTCCAAGCTCTCTTTCTCTCTCTCCAGTTATACTGATATGGATAAATCTTTGGCAGTTTTGAGCAAACATTGATTCAAATATCTATGGTGATTATTTGTTCCTTCAGTTGTTATATTCAATATTTTCCCGAAGTTTCTCAGTCCCATCTTTACTGTAATTGTCTAATTTAACAACCATTTGTTGGCCCTTTAATTAATGTGTTTTAATCTTCAACCAATTATCATCTAAATTGACTGTTGACTGTCTATTGATTAACTGAGAGGTCACTTGTGATTTATTGCTGTCTCTTGTCAACAGAAGACAAAAGTCATCTTTTGTGTCTTACTAAAGTCATCAACCAAAGCTGTTTTCATTTTCCTCTTTTAACCTTCATTTTAATTGTTACTCCATTGATCACAGTTTTAATTCAAGTGTCAACCTGTCATAATGCCCGGAACTTGTCCAAGATGTACAAAAACGGTTTATTTCAACGAAGAAAAAATTGCTATGGGCAAATCATTCCATAAATCTTGCTTCTCATGTGGTGAGTACCTTTCATCTGAGTGTTTCAATTATACATTTTTGACTAATTTATAGACCAAACATCATTCATCAGTAAATTTGATTTTTCAACTTCACAGCATGATTTATTAAACTTCATATTTTTGTATAAATTACCATTTTTAATCATTTTCTGTTAAAAGTTGAACAAATTGTACTTGTAAAAACCGCTTTAAGCAACAAGCCTTGTCATTGGTTAGTTTGAGTTAGCATGCAACATTTGATTATTCAAACGTCTTCTTGTTGTAAATCAATTACTGATTCCATACCAATTAATCATCCAGTCTCCATGCTCACCGTTAATTGAAATTGTTATTTAAATCAACTAATGTGCGGAAATATTTTCCTAATCTTGTTTCATCTTTCTATGGCTCAACAGCTAACAAAAGCTGCAATCGTAAACTTGACAGTGGCAATCTGACTACACACGATAATGAATTGTATTGTAAAGTTTGCTACGCGCGATTGTTTGGTCCTAAAGGATACAATTTGAGTGGTTTTGTGACAACGGATACAGCTAAAAATAGCAATGATTCAACAAATGGTTCGCCATCAAAACAAACGGTCATATCACCAAAATTGGAGAGCAAAATCGAGCCCAAGCAAGATGTCAATTCCAAAATTGAAAATAATGGCAGATCAGTAAACAATACAAATATAAGTGGAAATACATCCAAAAGACATAGCTTGACTTTTGACGATCGTGGTAATCGCATCGATATTTGTCCAAGATGTAATAAAAAAGTCTACCTTGCTGAAAAAATGATGGCTGGTGGTAAGGTTTGTAATTTTTATTGAAACATGCTTCTTTTACGTTCATCTTGATAATACTGATTGTCTCTAATCCCGATTTATATACCTTAATCGACAGGCTTGGCATAAGATGACTTGTTTCAATTGTCTTGAATGTCATAAAAGGCTTGAATCAACCACATTGTGTGAAAAAGACGAGGAAATTTACTGTAAAAGTATGTAGTGACTCAAGATCTTTCAGATTTGAATATCATTCTGATTTAATATCCTTTTATTTTTCTCACAGCCTGTTATGCAAAGAAATGGGGCCCTTCTGGATATGGTCATGGAATCGATGCTGGATCCCGAAAAGTTGAATAATAATCATGATAACAAAGCACTATCAAGGCTGCTTACTTAAATCGCACATCAATTACAATTCCAAATTATCAACCAGACAGAAATCAATGTGATCCCATTTATCGTTTTCCAAAGCTCTCCAGTGTTATATTTAGACGTTGAATATTTCGACTTAGACACTTCATTCTTTTCTTCATTCAATCTAATTTATTAATCCAATTTGACTGAAAGAAATTTGTCTTCGTAAATTAGGACTCTTTTCGTATAGTAAATGACTAAGCATCAAGTATTAATATTATGATGACTAAACTTTAAGCATCTCTTTCAATTTGTGCTTCGACTACTTCTAGTTATACTGAATTTGTATCGGAAGTGAGACTTTAAACGTGATAAAGAAACGCAAACTACTAAAAATGGCCTCAAAATTGGTTAAAAGTATTATGATGAAATGTTATTTTGACGAGTAAATAATAAAGATATTACAGTATTACTAGAACGAAAAATGGTCGAGATTTATTTCTGACTAAACTTATTTCCATAACTCTTCAGGTCATTCAATCACTTTATCTAATCATTTCGTTTAATAAATTTGCAGAAGTGAAATAATAAGAATAATAAACAGCTTTATTCCTGATAATCACAAGGTAATCAACTCGAATCAGCTAATTAACAAATTAATGAATACAACATTTGGCTCCATCATGTGGTTGAGATATTTACCATCAAAATATAAAAAAGTCTGAGATATTGAAATTTTGATAAACGGTGAGACTTTATTAAATCATCTATTTAATTTACTTTCTAGTAGATTGAATCTACAGGACTCAATTATGGTATTTAAGAATTGATTGGTTTGAGATTGAACATTTAAACTTTCCAATGAAATATTTTGGAAGGAAATGAATGAGTTTTACATTGTAATGCAATTTAGATTTTAAATTGTTTCAGAATAGTGTTGATCAAATGATCCGGGGCAAAAAAAGAGTTTGAAAATGATTGGTCAACTGAAAATTCATTGACAAAGCATCAATTGAAGAAACTATAATTAACTGATTGAGAACTGCCAAAAGGATTTGAAATAAAAAGATGAAATTATTGAAATTGTTGATGAGAAAATAAATTATTTTTTCCTTAACTTGTCCAAAATTAACTCAAATCAAAACATCATTCAAAATAAAGGTTTAAAATAGATTTAGAAGCAGAAGTTGATAGATAAATCAAGTTTGTTTCATCTAAATTTTCTTGCTTTTGAGTAAAATAATACTTGTTATAATCGAGATTAATCCTAAATTATAGTGAAAAATTCAAATCAGTTATAAACGGCAACACACTAATTTGAATCTGATAAGTGACAAAATGATTGGGAGAATGTAATTTAACTTAAATTAAATTTTACTAATTATATTTTATGCCAAGCATTTTGTTTTTTGAACATTCACAAAACACTTTCAATCTTTTGATAGCAATAGCATAATGGAATTGTTGAAATTAAAAAAAAGGTCGAGGAAAAAAATGTAGAAAATAAATGAATAATGAAAAATCACAGAAATTAACGAGAAATTAAAGTTGCAGAAAAGCTTGCCAAAAATTGATAGTCACAGTATTAAGACGAATAATCACAAGTTTTTCTGATATTTTTACATGATCAGAGTCCATTAAATTAATGTACTAAAGATTGTCGCAGTTGGATAGGACTGAATAGAATAGAGTATCACAATTAAAGTTGTAAAATTAAGTTTTGAAAGTTGATGTCCTTCCAGTTGATCGAGATTGTAGTTGTTCACTGAAAGAGAGAAAAGAACAAAAATTAGAATCAAATTAAACCAGAAGTATTCAAAATTTCAAGTCATTAAACATCTTAAGGGTAAAAAATGGCTCTAACTAAATAGAGAAACAAAAGGCAAAATGCTTGATTGTTGACAAATGAACAAGTGACAAGGAAGACTTGACTTTTTCTGAAAACAGTCAACAAGAATAGTCATTATTCTGAAAATGTCACATTGTCTCAGTTCCTAAACAAACAGCGTTTTTCGCACAAGATTTTTACAAAATTGGACCTAAGATTCAATGACAATAAGGTCTTTTGACGATAAATTAACTACGACAAAATTTCGATTAAAAAATCATAAAAAGCTATTTTCCGGAAAAATTCTGCGTGAATAGTAGAAGGGCCAATCCCACGAAGTGACATTTTTCAGAATAATGACTGTAGTTGTATTGAGTTAATAGTAGAGCCAAATAAAGTAACAATTAACGGGTTTGAAACATCAACAGCAACTTCCTACAAACTTGATACAAATGACTTGAAGGTGATAAGATGTTATTTGATTGTATGGTAAACAAATTGATGCTTACATTGAGAAGCTTAATTGTTGTAGCTGTAAGATTGAATAAAAGGAGGGAAAAGAGAGAGAAAAATCAACAATTAAAGAGAGGTCTTAATTTAAATGATGATAAACACTTACGCTTTCAATTAGTTTGGACATATTTTCCTTTGCTAAGCGTCTTCCATCTTCAGTATCATGTCTAAAAGAAATAAATAAATGTTTATTAATGAAAAATATCGTTTTCAATTTTCTTTCAACTTACAGTTCTTGTTGGTTGTTCAAATCAAAATGAAGTCTCGCAAGTTTTTCCTGTTGTTCCCGAACACTTTCCATCTTTTCAAATGTAATATCTTGACCTGAAAAAAGCATAGACAAAATAGATACGTTAGATGATACGAATATTAGATTAGAAAAAATCATGGAAAAGATAGAACCTCTAAATTAGAGGAAACTGTATACGATTCTCAATGAACCAGAAAAATAAGATTCAGGTTAATGAACCATTGATATCTAATAATCAACCGGTTTACAAACAATGGATTTATAGCAAGATATGAAATACACAGCAGAAATACCATGAAAGTTGATTCTGTATTTCTAGAAGTCAAAAAATTTGTTAGCAATGCAAATATTAATGAACAAATAGCAACTGAAATAATTACGACTTACAATAGTTGACTGATTATTGAAGCAAACATGCAAAGTCAACCTTTTACTGGCTCTAAAGCCTTGACTAATTTAAAGAGGAAATCATTAAATTATTATTTGATTATTGGTTATTGGACATTAGCTTAATGTTTAAAAATGAATCGAGAAGTTGGGTTAGTGAGTTAAATTAATTAGGCAATGGTTAATAAAATCTAAGGTAATTGTGTCGATTTTTACGGGCACTTGAATGCACTGGTAAATTGTTGCATTTGTTAATGGTTTAACACTTGACTTGATCAAAAGTACCATTATTGGAATTTTTCTCATAACCTGTTATCTATTGGGAAATTAGAAGTAAATTTACATTCTAATCATGATTGAAATTGAAAAGGCAGGGAAATTTTGTACAATCAAAATGACAGCTTCTTTGAAAAGGTTACCATGCTTTTGTGTATTTAAATGCTATTTAACAATGATTTCAAGATTATTGATGAATCTTGATGTCTATAAATGTTGGAATTAAGAAAAGCCTGAAAGAAATTGTTGAAATAAATTAATAAACTGGTAAGCTTTTATGTTGAGGTTAACAATTGACATCAACTCAGGCAACTGAAACGTATATCCGTAAAGTAGCTCATTAAGTTTCAATGAAATGATTATCTGTTTTTCACATATCTCATGCTTGTGAACACAAGTAAACAGAGTATTCATTGGTCTGTGAACAATAGAATGGCTTCCTTTCAGAAACATCAATTTGTATGATTACTCTCAATCAACAACAGGTTCGAAGAAATCATTTTGCAAAATCAGCAGGTGGATAAAGTCCTGTAAGGGTTGACTGGTCTTACTGTTAATCGAACATAGAAAATGTTTTTTTCAAGAAAAAATTTTGCAGCAAATCAGACACAATAATTTAGTAACTGGCTTGTTGTTTGGCCACTTAGATTGATTGCATGGGAAACATTCAAGTGAATTTTCACAATCTTTTTTTTTGTTCCAACTTGAAGATTAATGTATTTGAAACTAGACATTGAAAAAGTAATTACAGAAATAATTGTCATCATGAGAAACTCTTAGGATATAGACAGGGTTGATGTTGTGTTGGATGAAAGCATAAAATATGAAGGTAAGACTAGAGATCAGATAGCAATATTTGGAAAGTAATGAAGTACAAAATGAATGAGGTATATTCATCAGAGTCTCGTGATTATGGAGAGCTAATTTGCCCTAAATGGGAGAGTAAAAATTAATTTTGATATGTTCATTTTGAGACTACATTAATTTAAATATCAGAACAAATGTTTGCACAGATAATATAAATTAATGTTGACTCATCGAATGAGTTAACCCATGAATAAAACAACAAAAATTTTAACTTAGTTCAATTATCGCGATCATTGATCATTAGATATCATTTATTGAACCCAATCCTGTTTACTGTCCTTGTGTTTGATCATTATCAGTAAACGACAATTATCGAGATGGCATAACACGAGTGAAATTTTAAGACTTACCAAAAGCTTGAAGCTTTCCAGAATGAAAATCACTGAGAAGTCTTAATAACCCTTGTTCCATTTGTCTGACATCGGCAACATCTGTGATGAAAGAGTGAGTTGGACTCTCATGTCCATTAATTAATCCAGGAGATGAAGAAGGGGGTTTACCAATAAATCGTAAATTTGGATTACCGTAAAGATGGCGATAACTTAAATTGCCTTTTGGCACAATCATCAAATCAAAAATAAAACAAAAGCCAGGCAGAGGAAAATCGATGGCAAATCATAATATAAAGGCACGATAATGAAAAGCATAAATCAAGATGGCAAATGAAAAAAACAAAGCAAAACAAAAACAAAATTAAAATAATCTTGACAATACATATGAAAATAACAAAATGTATATAAAAACAATACTGTAGCAAAAATAGGTAAACATACAGATGAAATATAAAATAAGTTCTTACCTTTGATTCTTTTGCGTCCAGGATTGTTTTTAGTCGAATTCACCTGTGAATTATTTTCGATTGTTTGATCAACCATGTTTAAGAAGGAATAGAAGTTAAACCAATGTGTCAGTAAAATTATGGAACCCAATGTTGAAAAATAATTCTGTTATTGTTGATGATTATGTTTTTTTTGTTCCTGTCTAGCCCTAATTTTGATCTGGTGGTGAAATGATTGTCAACATTGAACAAGTAGACAAAACTAAGATTGTTGGTGAGAATTTCAGTTATTTGTTGATAGCGAGGACATTTACAACTCAAGTGCTTGACTCAACCAGATTCAAGACTGATTTGCAATTGTTTATATTGTGAATGAAAAGTGAGTATAAAAGTATATAAGAAAACTAAAAGATGGAGTTAGTAGCTGATACAAACCCCTCATAATTTAAAAAGAAAGAGATGAAACTCGTTGCTTAAGAGGATTAGCGTGTAAAGCTAACGGCTTATTATAAGAGTCCTCTGTCGGTTTATACACCCGACTCACCTCTTGAGAGGGTTTACTAATGCTGCTTTTAAAAATGTTTATTATAATAGAGCTTCTAAAGCTAAAAAGATCAAAATTGTCATCTGTTAAACATGATAGCTTAAATTACTAACCCAAAATTGTAAGCTTATTAAGTCAGATCAAATGAGATTGAGAAGAAAGGTGAAAAGTGTTTGGGGCTGAGTCGAGAACCCAAAGTTAAACAGCAATATTGCAAGTTTAAACATTAAATATAGTGAAGTAATGTTAATTTTTAATTATTTGTTGGTGGCCTCTGATTTTATTAATTTTTAGTCACTATCTGATCAACCGGTCTTATCTGGCCTCTTATTTTTCACGATTCGTGCTTAATGAACCAATTTAATAATTTAATTGTAACGCCGAGTTGAGTTTATGTGAAGTTCAAGGTTAAACTGGTGATTAGGTCAACTTTTGCCTTCAAAGTCGGTTTTAATTTTAGTTAAAGATTGAGTTGGAACAGAAAAGAATGAAAACTCATAAGAAAACAAGAATAAAGAATTTGATTCTTTACAGTTTTAAACCAGAGAAAAAGGATCCAATTACATAATAAATAGCCGCTCGGAAGGCGTTGAAAAAGTATGTTAAGATGATTAGTGATCAGATCAGCTGGAAACAATCCTTCTCGGTAAACTTTTCACTTTGGTCGGTGGTCGAAATTTATCTAAATTTCATGAATCGACAAAAAGACTTCTTAATCATAAACAAATGTTATTGTGCTTGCGCCTTGCTAGCAAGTAGTGCAGCTTGCTGTTTGTAAACCAGAGCCTCGATAACAGCTACAATGAAAAATGGATAAAAGTTAGAAATGGAAACAATTTTTGTAAGATTAAACTTACATTCTCTTATATTAATCTTCTCTTGCGCAATTTTTGCAAATTTTTCAATTTCTTTGTTCAAAAATTCAACTTTGCGTTTAAAATAATCGATTGTTGCTTCTCTGTTCCTTTCAATGTAGTAACCTGTACCAATATCTATCAGAAATCTATCATTGTCCACGATGGTTCCATTTACATACATAGATGCAGTTAGTGGTACTAAAATCTCCGAATTTTTTGGCACTTTAGCTTGACTGGAAACACATTCACCAGACTCTTGATACTTGATTCGAGCATTCTGTAACTGTTGAATAGATGTGGCGAGCAATTCGACTTCCTAAATAAACAATAGATGGATAACGGTCAATTAATTTAAGTAAATAATCCTTTCTCCGTAGGAAACCCTTTTATAAACAGCATGAGATCTAAGAAATAATAATCATCATTTCATACATCTATCTTACCTGATCAAGTTGTTGTTTTAAACCAGAGAGTTGAGGAATAGATAATTCTGAAGATAAATCAACAATTTTACCACTAGTAGCCATTGTTATTTAAATACTTAATGTAATTACAACGAATGTCTTGACAGATTGAAATACAATACAAACAATTAAACCCGAATCTAATTCAAAATTAAATAAGCAGGTTTTCTACTTTACTCTGTCCCTCTATACATAGAAGAGGCTTTAAGAAACTACAGGCGGTATATTCAAAATACAAGCTTCTTACAGATTGAAATTTCCATCTCAATTGTTGAATTTTAAATTTTAAAATAAAGAGATTTTAACAAGGAAAGCGTTTGAAATCAAATAATAACAATCTTTATTTGAAATAATATTAGTTCAAGTTTAAGTATATTTCTGATTAGTTGGCGGTTGGTTAAATTTAATCAATAATCTGGATTAAGCTTGTGATTGCTTTCTGTTGAATATGGCGGAATGCTTATGAACCGCGTTGACAAATGCATTAAGACATTGTGGATTTACATCAGGGTAAATTCCATGGCCTAAATTGGCAATATAACGTTTAGTTCCAAAGGCTTCAACCATTTCTGAAACGTACAAATCAATATCATCCACCTCACCATATAAGGCACAAGGATCGAGGTTTCCCATTAGAGTAACGTCTTTATGAACCTTTGCACGGGCTTTAGCCGCATCCATAGTCCAATCAATTCCAACAACATCGTACAAATTTGGATCTGCTCCTAAGGCTTCAATGGCGAAGTGTCCATGTAACCCGAAAATGATCATTGGCACTGGTTCCAAATTATCAGCTTTGAGTTTACTTTTGACAGTTTCAGCTATTTTTTTGAGGAACGGATACTCAAAGGCAGTGAACAATTTTGGACTCAAATAGCCGAGGTGAGACTCAAAAACTTGTAACAATTGAGCTCCTGATTTGGCTTGAAGGTATAAATGATCAATAATTTTGTCGGTAATCATTTCTAGTAGTTGAACTGATTCATAAGGATGTTGATATAACCATTTTTTAGCTTTTGAAAAGGTTTTAGACCCTTTTCCTTCAATCATGTACCCCATTAAAGTCCATGGAGCTCCAGCAAAACCAATTAATGGCACTTTACCTTCTAGCTTGTGTCTTGTAAGACGAATAGCATCATGGACATATTTTAATTCAGTAGCTATGTCAACTGTTGCATTCAATTTTTTTAAATCAGCAGGACCTTGAAGTGGTTCAGAGAATACTGGACCAACATCGGGTACCATTGACACCTCCATACCCAAAGCTTGTGGGATCACCAGGATATCCGAAAAAATGATTGCGGCATCAAGTTGAAACTTACGAATTGGCATAAGAGTAACTTCAGTTGCCAATTCTGGTGTTCTGTCAAATTTGAAGTGAAGTTAACATTAAAATAAATCAAGAAATCATGCTTAAGACTAAAAAGAAAATTAATGATCGCTTTACTCTGGATTAATTATAATTGATCTATTACTATGTTAGTTTTGGATTTAAAGGAAATCTTAACAGAGTATAGCAATCTTAACCTAATTAACTTTTTAGCTTAATACTTATATTCAACCATTTGAATCAAATTGGTCAATTTTTTCTAACCACTCAAGAATAAATTATATTGCATGAAAATGAGATCAAATTTATTCTAGTTGATAAAAAGAAAGATAAATACCTGCATAGATCAAAGAAGGCATGATGTTTACGGATTTCTCTGAACTCAGGTAAATAACGTCCAGCTTGTCTCATCACCCAAACTGGAGTAAAATCAGTTGTTTCGCCTTTAATGATCCTAAGAATACGATCATTTTTAAGAGGTGGCCATTCTTCGCCCATTTTGATCAAACGTAATAAACAACTAAACAACTAAAGATAAAATTAACTAAAATTGGCCAAAACCAAATAAAGAAACTAGTTTATTGAAGTTATCATCTGGATCAGAATCTTAGAAAGACTAGTTACGCAGTATTCGGTTACCATGTAATACTAACTTTGTCTATTTTTGAATTTCAATCTAGACATTGAGACGCCGATAAATGACCAAGTTTTAAAGAATTAACAGTGAATAATTATATTAAAGTTTCATGGTTCTGATTAATATGGAATCATATCAGTTGCATAATCGTTCTTTATCAAAAAGTTGGAAATACCGAAAAATAATTAAAACATTTGAATAAACCTCGCTCAAGTATTTTATTGAGACCGACCCTTTTTTATCATGAGAGCTTCCTTTGGGTGGAGTTTGCTGTTACAGCTGGTTACACCCACTTTTTTATACTTTCTGTGCTTTTCAAGCAGAGATTTATTTATATGAGTTATATGAATTGAAAATAGTCTGATTAATTGATTTGTTGATAATCTGTTTATTACATTTGATAAAATAGGTAAGTTTATTGATTGCATGTTTCTCTTAATTTGCGTTAACCCTGTAATTTTGCTCATTCACCACAACTGTTTATTTGTCTTTCTTTCACTTACTTTTCTCTTCTGCTTCTTTCTATTCAGTTATTATAAATCTTTATTGTTCATACGAAGGCCGTCAATGACTCCACCAACTCAACAACAATCACCAAATTCATTTCTCGCAAGCTTAAGTGCGAGACTCTTACAAAATCGCAACATGGGTGGACAACAACATTACCCGTTACCTAATCGTAGTGGTCCCCTGTCCGATTTGTTTGATGCAGCAACCGTTCACAATAACAATCTACTTGCCAATTTTAGAGCAGCCAATACTTCTCATTCCAATTTCGGTATTCCTACGGTCTCTGAATCAGGTCGAGGCCCTCCAAGTGCCCTTGACCTTAGTGAATTTCCGTCTCTAAGTGGTGGTAGTGTTAGCGGTTCCTTATTTAACTCTAATTCTGGAGCACCTGGCTCTTCTAGACCTCCTTACGTCGGTATGGTTAAGGATAATGTTCCAACTAGCTCATCGAGTGGTGAATTTACTATTCTTTCGGAAGATTTTCCAGCTTTACCGGGTTCCACGACAAATGTCCATTCGAATAGCGGAGGAAGCGGGGGTCATGATAATGTCAACCCTAACCAAAATTCAAGCTCAGGATTTAGTGGTCTTCTTAGTTCGTCTAGTTCGGTAGTAGGAAATAACTCGGTCAGTTCTGGTATCGGAACTGGCATAGGAAGAGACGGGAACTCTGGGTCTGGAGGTCAGTCATTGGGATCAATTTCAATTGGACCATCCAATGTTAATTCATCTTCAAATGAAACTTCGTCCACAGGCGGTGCTATAACTGGTAACAGTGGAGTGATATCATCTAGTAAATCCTTAAAACGTGGAATACAAACAACGAAGGAAGGTCGAGTAACAAATATACCCCCAGGGATGGTAACAGATCAGTTCGGAATGGTTGGTTTGTTGACGTTTATCCGTGCTGCTGAATCTGATCCTAATTTGGTCTCACTCGCACTCGGTATTGACCTGGGTACCCTTAAACTGGATCTCAACTCTGCTGAAAACCTTTACTCCACATTCTGCGGCCCTTGGTCTGATCAACCTCTGAAACCTCATGAAATGGACTATCCTGTTCCTCATGAATACTTGATAAACAGTCAAATAAGAGAAAAATTATTGCCTATTAAGTTAAGTCGTTATGGTGATGATACTTTGTTCTTTCTATTTTATATGTTCCCTAATGATCTTATACAAATTGCGGCAGCAAGTGAATTGTAAGTTCGTTTTGATGATTAGTTCTTCACTACATTTGCCAGCTGAGTTTTAAAACTCTATTTTTTCCCTCCTCTACCTAATTTTTTTTATTTCTTCCCTGTAGATACTCTAGAGATTGGCGTTATCACAAAGATGAAAAAGTTTGGATCACTCGAGCCCCTGGGATGCCACCAATCGAGAAAAGTCAAAATTATGAAAGAGGAACTTATTATTTTTTCGATGCCAGCAGTTGGCGACGAGTTGCCAAAGAGTTTCATCTTGATTACGACAGATTAGAAAATCGACCTGTAGCTTCCCCTTACTCTCATGTGGCTAATTTAGTGGGCCAACAGACAACACCTACCGGTAGTTTAGTCTCTCTGTGAAACATAAACTAATTTTCTTTTCCCTCCATTCCTTATTCCCTTTTTCCCTCCCTTACCTTCCTCCACTACTTTTTTATTGTCACATTTGTAAAAATCAAGGAATAGATGAGCATTTTATGAAAGATGCACTGTGGCTTTTTGGTCATTTACTTAAATCACATTTTTCGTCCTCTTCAACACCTAGAGCATAAATGCAAAAGAAAAAAGAACAAAAATTGAGACAATTTTGTTATTCTTCGTAAAAACAATCACTCTTCACTTCGTTCTTGTGTTATTTATCTTATCAGCATTTCATGTAATGAAATTGATTCATTATGAGTTATATGAAATGAAAACGAAATTGTTCGTGATTAATTTTTATCTGAAAAATTAAGTCAGTAGTGAAGTTAGCCCAGTTGAAATCGAAATTTTCGACAAACTGAAGAACGGTGTCATTGGAACAAGTTATCAATAATAGCGACAGTCAAAAAGTTCTTGCAATCATTTTAGTTTTCTGCCGATTACAATTCAATATGGAAGGAATATGATAAATAATCAAAAATGAAATCAGCCAAGAATGTGATTATTCCAATCATTCTTGTTTGATCAACAACTCGGTTTTCAAAATAGAGTAAAAAATGCAATTTGATTATCGATTAATTTTGGGAAATCGGGTAATTTTCTTAGCTAATAGTGATCTCAACAATTGGTTTCAAATTTTACAATCTGGACATAATTCTGGAATCTTGAAGAGCAATTAAATCGATGGCGGCGAAATCTTAACCAACTTTCAATTCAACCTTATTTCAAAGATTTATCTAGTGTAAAATGTTTATCAAATGATGAGCAAAAATGGTTCATTGATAAACTGTAAAAAACTAAAATTGAAATGATTTATCCATGAATTTGCCGTTTAGATGTTTAGGTTTATGTTCATCAACAAGCATTGGTTTAAAAAAATTCAATTGGTAATCCTATTCTCATCTTGATGGTAAATTCATTTGGCAACTTGCTAAGCCTGCGTCTATTTTCATCAAGATTTCCCAAAGACTAAAATGAAAATGAAAGTGAAAATAATGATGATGATGAAGATGAAAATAAATGGTGAGCTTGAGTAAGTTTGACGATGAACATAGCGAACGGAAGTAGAGTTTAAGTGACACTGGGAGTGTTTTCACTGTAAACAAGCTGAAGATATGAAAGAGATGATGAGTATGAAGATGAGAATGAAGATGAAAAAAAAGCGAGTGCGAGTTGTTACGTATAATCAGAATGGGCGATGAATATAGCTTTTGTTGTTACAACTAAATTTGGATTGAATCTGGAATAACTTTGTTATCATCCAAAAGCTGGAAAAATTTCTTCAATTTCTATTTCAGTTTCTTTTCTTCTTTTTTCGCCTTTCTTTTGCTTTCTTCGCCATCTTCTCAACTTTTATCGTTTGTTTTCACATTTTTAACTCAATATTTTTGACTCAATTTTACTTTCATTCAGCTAAATTAACAACAAGATCAACTGTGTTTACCTCGCGTACAACCGTTGCGATTACATATTTAAACACATCATATTTTTCACCTTGGCTTCCAACTTGATTCATTAAAGTGTTTCTCTAACCACATTTTAACCCAACGTTAACCATTTATCTAAATTGTTACATAATTATCAACAATAAATAAATTTATTTTGTTATTAATCTTTTGTTTATACCAATTATAACAACCAAGACCAACTAATTTTGTACATGTATCAACTTGTTTACCTCTCAATGATATGAAGTTACATCGAGTCTATAGGAATATATATCCTCACAAAATTTTACAAACATTGATTACACTTTTTTTATTAATTTGTGATACATCTTATGCTCGGAAACCAGCATTTCCCTCTGAGTTTATCCAAGAATTAACTGCCAAAGAGCTTGAGAATCAAGTTGACCAAGGATCTACTCTTCTTGTCTTCTTTTGTAAGTATTTTAACCACCTTCATACACAAGCCATCTAATTATTAACCAGTTCAGATAGACAAGCAATTAACATCTAAATTGAGTGAAGATCAGTTGAAAATATATTGATACATGTTGATGCTAAAAAATGTTTACTCTTGATAGAGATACATTTAGGTTTGTGTGAACTTAACAATGTGACTTTAACTGAGCAATCAATTTCGAGTAACAATTTTTTCATTGCTTTTCCTTTGAACATTTTAAAGACTTGAGTGACCTTAACTTGATGTGTATTTGTGAAAAATATGAGTTGCATATGGAGTTCAATTAGCAAATGTTAATCTAAGGTTAACCAGATTTACTAACCAGATTTACTGTTGTTAGACCAAAAGTAGGTTGAGATGAAACAGTTGAGCAAATGATGCTTTAAACCAAGGTTGTTCAAATTTTTAAGCACTCATTGAAATAATATCCACGAGCGACAATAAGATTAAATGATTGCAATAAAACATGTTTTGTATTTTTACACATCAATATCGTTGATTTTTAACAAAACTGTTTTCCAAATCATACCAATCAAATGTAATCTAGGAAAGGAAATTTGATTCATTGTTAAACTTGACCTTCACTGAAATATCAGTTCATTCAGATATTTTTCCATCTTTTTCACAATTAACTTACTTTTTTTGAACCAATCTGATTGTCGTTCATTTTAATTTCAGATACACGATCATGCACTGAATGTAAGGACTTGCTTCATGGATTAGAAAAGGTTGGAGTTTAATAAAGATATTTCCTGAAATGATTAACTAATTACTTTGGTTATTCACAGATTTATGATGATGTGGACAAACTAAAGGTCAATTTTGTTAAAACATCAGAAAGAGCTGGAGCTAAAAAATTTGACATTACTGAGTTTCCCAGTTTGGCTTACATTAAAAACAGAGAGGTTACAGTTTATGAAGGTAAACCTTTTTTTAATTTCATCTTTAAACCTTTCATTTTGTTGGTCAAGTCAATGGACTTGGTGGTTACTGCTAACATCTCTTAATAATTGGATTCGGACATTTTTACAGGAGATTTAGCCAAAGAGGACTTATTACTGGAATGGGTAATTTCAATTGACTCTTTGGATTCACCAGAGAAAATTGAAGAAGTCAATTCCAAAAATCTACAAAAATACATTGATACACATGACTACATAGCTGTTTTATTCTGTGAGTATGATTAACATTCACTATTGAATCTGAAAAAATAATCAATCCATTTTTAATTGCAATGTTATTCCCTTTTTTCCAGCTCAATCTTAGCAGACAATTTCAATACATTTCCTGCTCTCATTGAATCATTCATATCTTTGAACTGCAAATCCAATTTTACCCACCAACTTAACATTATGTTTGATTTAGTAAAATAAGAGCGCTTCTTTTGTAGGTTTCAAATTGAGTTACAGCACACAAAACATGCACTTTGTCCCAACTTTCTGATCATTATTCATATTATTATTATTTAGTATGATGAGTAGTTCAATAAGCTCAAAAACTGTGAAATTATCTTGAAGAGACAAAATCTTCGAGATGAAAGTTTAGTTTAGAGTCTTATTGTAAACTTAACTTGTCCCAGCTGATCCGCAACCCATTATGAACAAAACTGTGTAATGAACACCATAAATTATCCTGCAAAGATTATTTTATTTTTTCTTTGATTAATTACTTGTTAATACAGGAGATATTTATTTAAATTTGATTATATTAACTTACATATTTCATCTCTTTTTTTTGTTTTTGTCCTAAACTTTCCTTTTCTTGTTGGCTTCACTTCAACAGATAAAAATAACTGTAAAAAGTGTGAAAAGGTATTACATGAATTAGAAGAGATTGATGATGATGCTGATCGTAAAGGAATCAGTTTCGTCAAAATATCCGATCAAAGTTTGGCCTTTGAATATGGACTTGAAGATCTTCCTGCTTTGGTTTACTATCGTAAGAGGATTCCAATTGTTTATCAAGGTAAGTGTCTATCTATACTTTTCAGGTTTACCCTTTGCTTTACCCTTTGCTATTCAATTCTTCAACAGGTGACTTGGAAGACGAGTTAGCAGTTCTTGACTGGTTAGTTGACTTCCGTGACACCGCTGATGATGAAAACGAGAAAGATTCCTTGATTGAAGAAGTGTCAACCAAAGTACTTGAGTCTCTCATAGAAGAGTCTGAACACCTTGTCGTCCTTTTCTGTAAGTTGTTTACTATTCAACATAGGCCTTGCATTTACGCAGAGTTCATGTAAGGCTTGACATAGAGTTTTACTTGAGACTTGATAATTTTTAGAGCTTTTAATTTAATTTCTATTCTTTATCTAATTTTTATTCTTAAGATGATGACACTCAGGAAAAAAGCAAGACAGTTTTGCGAGAAATGGAAACCATTGATGATGATTGTAGGCAACATGGAATCTTGTTTGTGAAAACAAATGACCGAGAAGCTGCTCGGCAATTTGGCATCGACAATCATGAAATGCCTTGTTTAGTTTATTTTGAATCTCAGATACCCAACTTTTATTCAGGAGATTTAACTAAAGAGGACCAAGTTCTTGATTGGCTTGTTCATCAACAAGCTTCAGATGAGATTGAAGATGTTTCAGACGTCGTCCTTCATCAAATTGTCTCCAACAAATCTCAAGTTGCTGTCTTATTCTGTAAGTATCACCAACACAGAACTCTTTTTAAATGGATTTGTTGTTTGCCATTGATTGATTATTTTCTTGTCATTCAACATCGTAAATTTTATCATCTAATTAATACTTCTTGATGAAATTTTGATGACAACGTTTCTTATATAAAATTTTAATTAGCTTAGCTAGACTGTTCATAAAAATTTTAGATCCAAGGCAAAACTTGTTTCTGTGCTATTAAATTTATCGATTTCATGATTCACACCGAGATTTAAAACCTAAGATTAAGGAATGAGATAACTTAACAGATGATCATTTCAAGGATCCAGGTTTGTTTTTCAGTTGATATTCACGCCAATTTTTGGTTTTGTTGCAGTCAATTTGGATACGAATTGACTTGCTTTTTGAGTCTGTTAGAAAATGATTGAACTATTTATAGTCACTAATAAGGTGTCGTATCCCAAATTTCAGAAAGTTTGACTGTAAATTTTGTATACTATGGATGTAACTACTATGGATTTTGTTTAACCATTTGAAACAACAAACGATACACTATGTACTATGCTTAAAAATAGGTCAAATGATAGATTTTTCAGCTTAAATGTTGGTAGTTGAGACATATTAAGTTCGACTACAAGATAATGTTATTGCTTCTAAGTACAATGCTATTCATCTTTTCATCAGTGGTCTCAATCTTTGACATTTCAATACTAACTGTAGCTTATTGCTGCAACTTGAGCTGTAAAGTAATTTTAGATATTGAATTCCAGAAAAAAAAATCTTTGAAGCTGTAGCAAATGCTTTCTGTGGCATTGGCGAGACTTTAAGTTGATTTTACCTGCATTTTCTTAATCATTCAAAACATTGTAATTAAGAACATCTTAGGATGCAAATTTTTTATTTGCAGGTTTCATTCATCATTTAAAGCATTGAAGCTTTAACCATTTCAATTATAGATTCTTGTTTAACTAAAATGAAATTCATTTGACTTTATTTTTGTAATAGATGATAAGGATGATCAAAAATCTCTTGACGCCATCAGAGAATTGGAAAACATTGATGATGATTGTGATAAACTTGGATTACCATTTATCAAAATAGACGATGCTGCACTAGCCAAAGAGTATGGTATAGACGATGAGTTACCAGCATTAATTTATTTTGAGAAGCAAATTCCTAACCTTTATGATGGAGATTTGGAGAAAGAGGAAAAAGTCTTAGCATGGTTACAGAAGCAGCTCAATTCAGATGAAATAGAGGAAGTTTCAGATAAAATGCTTTACGCTTTGATCGAAAGAACTGCTCACATAGCAGTCTTGTTTTACGACTCATCGAATCGAAAGTCAGCTGAGATTCTTCGGGAATTGGAGCATATTGATGATGATTGTGACCGTAATGATATCGTCTTCGTGAAAACCAATGATGTTGAAGCTGCTGAAAAATATCATCTGAATAAATTACCTGCAGTTGTTTTCTTTGAGAATGAAGTTCCAGCGGTTTATGAAGGTGATTTAACCAAAGAGGAAGAAGTTCTTAAATGGCTGATTGAACAACAAGCATCAGTTGAAATTGAAGATGTCAATTCGAAAACCTTGGAAACTTTGATTTCCACTGCCGATGCAGTTGCTGTATTATTTTATGATCGAGACTCACCCAAAAGTGCCATCGTACTCAAAGAGCTAGAAAATATTGACGATGATGCAGATAAATACGATATACCGTTGGTAAAAATCGATGATGATAAACTAGCTAAAGAATACGGACTTATGGATGAATTACCAATTTTGGTTTACTTCGAGAATCGATTACCAACTGTCTATGAAGGTGACTTGACTAAAGAGGAAGAAGCTTTGGCGTGGCTGATTAAACAGAAGACAGAAGATACAATTGAAGAAGTAACAGAGGAAATTCTTGAAGATTTGATTGAAGAATCGCCTTATATTCTAGTCTTCTATGCACCAGACAATTGTAAAGAGTGTTCCCAGATTTTAGCAGGCTTGGAGCATATTGATGATGACACTGATGAACACGGAATCTTGTTTGTTACCACAGATGATGAAAATTTAGCTCGTAAAAATGGAATCAACACTTTTCCAAGTTTAGTTCTGTATCGTAACGGCAAACCAACTGTTTACAATGGAGATATGAAAAAACCAGATGATGTTTTGAAATGGGTTACATCAGAAGAGGCATTGAGTTCACGGGATTCTATTGAAGAACTAAACAAGAAAATGTTGGATAAATTGTTGACCCGATCACCTTATGTTGCTGTCTTGTTTATCAAAGACAAAGGTTGCTCTGAGTGTGAAAAGGTTTTGTATGAGTTGGAAAAAGTTGATCATATTGCTGAATCAAATGATATTGATTTCGTTCGCATAGAGGATACTGATTTAGCGAAAGAGTATAATGTTGTCGCTTTTCCTGCTCTTATCTTTTTCAAGAACCGTTTCCCTCAGTTTTATGAAGGTGATCTTAAAGATGAACATGCTGTTCTTGCATGGATGGTTGACTCGAAAGGATCTAAAGAAGATGTTATTGAACAGGTTGACAGGAAAATGTTGGAAGTTTTGATCGAAGATGTTCCTAATATTGTTGTATTCTTTTACGAGGATGGTGACTGCCCTGAATGTGAGAAAATATTAACTGAATTGGAAAACATTGATGATGATACTGATAAGATAGGAGTTCATTTTGTTAAAACAAATGATATCAATTATGCTAAAGAAATTGGAATCACCAAAATTCCAACTTTAGTCTACTTCGAGAATGGATCTCCAAGCATTTATGATGGTGATTTAACGATTGAAGAAGAAGTTTTAGAATGGTTGATTCAGCAGAAAAATGAAGACACAATTGAAAATGTAAATCGTGAAATATTGTTCAGATTAATTAACGAAAAGGAATATTTAGCTGTTCTCTTTTATAAGCAAAATGATGATGAAAGTGAAGAGATATTGGAACATTTGGAAAATATTGATGATGATTGCTCTGATTATGAGGTTGAACTGATAAAAATATCGGACAATTTAATTGCTAAGAAATACGGAATACGAAACCCACCGGGATTAGTGTTCTTTAGACGAGGTAAACCATTGAAATACGAGGGTGATTTATTCGATGAGGAAGAAGTCTTGGAATGGTTAACTCGACCTGAAAATATGGAATCTTCAGATGCTATTGAACGTGTTAATCGACGAATGTTTGAACGATTATTAGGACGAATCAATTATCTAGCAGTTCTGTTTTACTCAAGACAAGATTGTAAACAATGTGACCGTGCTTTGGATGAATTGGAAAAGATTGATGATGAAGCTGATGCAGCCGGAATCAAGTTTGTCAAAATCGAAGACAATGCCTTGGCTAAAAGCTACGGTGCTTATGCACTACCAGCTCTACTCTTCTTTAAGAAAGGAGATGAAAACGATCCCATTATTTATCCTGGTAATTGACCGAAATTTACATTTCATTCTAAACAGTTTTATTAATTACTTTTATTCAATTCTATTAGGTGATCTCAAGAAGCCTGATAAAATATTAGAATGGTTAATTTCAATGAAAGACCCAAGTTTGGATATGATTGAGGAAATCGATGGGAAAATATTACGAAAATTGTTGGCAACTCAAGATCATGTAGCAGTTTATTTTTGTAAGTATCAATGTTTAATGTTTGTTTAATTTTCAGCTAATCCATGAAAAATCTTGGTCTAAGATTTTTCAATTACTTGATTAAGATTCAAGTAAACAAATTATATTTATCTCTATTATACAATGTATAATAGAGCTATAATTGATCAGAAAGTTGGACTCGCGGTTTTACTCTATTATACAAGATCTATTGATTTGTATCTCATCAGAAAGCGCTCTTATTTTATAGAGGTTTTATGCATTCTCATTTTTTATTTTGGTTTGGTTTGTATCTTGTGTGTCCCCATTCCTTAAATTGCGTTGCTATTCCTTAACCCCTTAACTAAACTCACTAGACTCTGATGATTGTGAACAATGTCAAGCGGTTCTGGATGACTTGGAAAACATTGATACTGATACGGATAAACATGGTATAGCATTTGTCAAGACCAAAGACATGGACATTGCTGATGAATATGGATGTAAAACTTTTCCTGCTTTGATATATTTCGAGAAAGGAACTCCGTCAGTCTATTCTGGGGATATTTCTGCTGAAGAAGATGTTCTTCAGTGGTTGATTCAACAAAGATCAGAAGATACCATTGAATCTGTAAACAGAGAATTACTTGGACAGCTCATTTCATCGTCTCACTATTTAGTTGTTTTTTTCTGTAAGTATAATCATAATTTATTGTGAATTCGGTGAATAATTTTTTTTCTTCATTGCTTCAGACAAGCCTCACTGTCGAGCCTGTGATATTGTTTTAGAGGAGTTAGAACATATTGATGATGAGTGTGATATCTATGGTATTCATATGGTTAAGATTCAAGACATTCCTTTGGCTAAAAGATATGGAATCAGAAACTTTCCCGCGTTAATGTATTTCAGGAATGGAAATCCTCTTCTTTTTGATGGTAAGAACAAATATTATTAATAAAACGCCAAATATTTAATGTAATTTGCTTTGTTTAATCTTAGGTGATCTTCGTAATGAAGATTCAGTTCTTGATTGGCTTATTGATGATGATAATCGTGAGCTGCAAGATGAAATTGAAGATGTTAATGGACGTATGTTGGACAAACTTGTCGATGAATCACCATTTCTGGCTGTGTTTTTCTACGACGACGACTGTATCGAATGTTCCGATGTATTGAATAAATTGGAACAAATCGACGACGAACTTGATCATTACGGAATTGACTTTGTCAAAGTAAATGATCCAAATGCTGCTCAAAAATATAAAGCTCATCAAGTTCCTTCATTAGCTTATTTCCGTAAAAAGATTCCCATTTTCTATGACGGTGATTTAATGCAAGAAGATAAAGTACTTGCTTGGTTGACAAGTGAAGATGTTTTTGAACTTAAAGATGAGATCGAAGAAGTTAATCGAAAAATGCTTGATAAAATATTATCAGAAAATGATTTTGTTGCTGTCTATTTCTGTAAGTATTATCATCTCTATCGTCATCAAAAAAAGAAATGCTTAAATTGTGCTCAATGTTTCTTTTTTATTATTTTATCAGATGAAAATGGCTGTTATGACTGTGAGGAAGTCTTGAAGGAATTGGAAAGAATTGATGATGAAGCTGATGATCTTGATATCATGTTCGTAAAAATTCGTGATACTCGTTATGCCAGAAAGTATGGCATTGTTACACTTCCGTCACTAGTTTTCTTCAGAAAAAGATTCCCTTCTATGTACAGAGGTTTGTATTGTTGATCTTTTCTCTACTTTGATTTATCTGCTAACAATCTGATCTAAAAATTTATCTTTTTTTACCTTTCAGGAGATTTAATGAAGGAGGAGGAAGTTCTTGAATGGCTTCGTAAAAATCGTTATCGACACCCTGAGATTAACATATTTATGTATTGTTTGATTGCTGTGACTGTTGCCTTCATTCTTTATACAATTTTTCTTGTCTTTTTCCTCAGACACAAACAAAAGAAAGATTGAAAAAGTTTGAAATTTCGAGTGTATTTTCCTTTTTGAGTGGACAAAATGTGTTCAATTATTTCATCAATTATTCATCCATAATCATCATTTTATGATAACATAAAAAATGGCTAAATTTTGACGACGCATCAATGTTTACAATCATAATCTAATCGTCACTAGTCGAGCTCATTTCTGGTTTCATGCAATAAAAAATTTTTCTTGCTGTTTTTAATTTCATATTGCTAATTGTTTAGCATGTTTACAGTTTTTCTCACTTGATGTTGATTTAACCTTTAATCTTGAATATCTTTTGTAATTAGCCATTACATTTGAGAATTCCATAACAATGATATAATGTATTTCTTTGGCCATCAAAATAAGGCTAACATTCGAAGTGTAAACCGAAGTCTGGAAGAAGTTAGAGTTTAACATTGATTTATATCTAAAGTACAAGTTAAAATTGAATGTCAGGAAATCCAACTGTGAAAGTCCTCACCTTCAATATTTTTCAATCTTTGATTGAATAACAGGGCTTCCTAATCAAAATTCAGTAAACATAATTAACATAGGATTATCATCATTGGACTGCTTTGTCAATTAGGCTTTTCCAGGACAAGTGGGAAATAAGCTTCTCATGTCCATCATCGGCCAAAAATTAAATCTAAATGTCTTTAAATGTATATCTGACATTATTATTTGACTCTCTATGGATTCCCATGAGATTTACAATTGAGCAAAGTGTCATCAGAGATTACAATGAGCTATTTATGTAAAAAGATTTCATTTTTCTCACTACCAATTAAAAGCTCAATACGATTACCAGGATTGCAATTGGTATTAACCCAAAAACCCAATTGATATGAAAAATAATTTTCACTTATGGTCTGAAGCGATTGAAAATTACAATCAGCAAGTCGATTTGCCTTCGTAAAGTTCATTATCTTGACAATCAGAATGATGATGGTCATAAAAAATGATTTCCAATGCACTCTTACCAGTCATCTTTAACAGCGCTAACAACGATTGTGTTGAGATAATTGGTCTACAGATACGCGCCAAATCCTAGCTGAACTTAAAAGGTTTATATCTTGAAAGAAAAGAGAGGAAAACTCTGTTAAAACATTGAAACAATCAAACAGTATAACAAAAATAATCACAAACCAAGTTTCTAACCATTATTTCAAGTGCGTTTCTTATCAAAAAAGCGCTAAATCTAAACAAAAGCTTGCAATCTTTTAAAAAAAATGGAGCCTTTTAAGTCTATTCCTATTGGTTAATATGGAACTGATTTTACCGGTAACTTTCACCATTTCAAATGGAAGACCGGAAATAGTACATCAGCAACCAAATGCGGTACGGAAATTACGGAAACGCCAATTAATTAATTTACGATTTATAATTTTATCTTCTTCTATTGGTTAAGTAATTATTTATTTTAAAAATTGTATCTTTTTATGAGGGTTAATTATCAAATAAAATTGATAAAGCTTGATTGTTATTTACTTTAAGCTTTATAAAAATCTTCTTTAGAAATTTTATAGATGGCGCTATGATTGGATTCGCGGTTAAAATAATTTGGAAGCTGATCCAAGTAGGAATCTATTCAGTTATGTGAATCTCCTTTTGAATTATATTCATTAATCTTAATTTTTGTCTTCTTGATTTTCATTGCTTGTGCCGTGATTAGTAATCAATTACATTCCTTCTCCTTAGGACTACTTGTTTGTTAACTTTTAATTTTGTATTTAATCTATCAATATGAGTGACTCTGAAGATCCAAAGAAACAGCAGGAAGAGGAGGAAGAGGAATACATCGTTGAGAAGATTCTGGACAAAAGAACGCGGAATGGAAAAGTTGAATATTTTCTTAAATGGAAAGGATATTCAGAGGGTGACAACACGTGGGAACCAGTAGAGAATCTCGATTGTCCTGATCTGATCTCCGAATTCGAGGAAGAAAGAAAAAAGAAAAAGAATGAAAAGAAAGGTGATGATAAGAAAAGAAAGTCTACTGTTGTTGAAGGAGACAAAAAGAAGAAAAAAGCTGATGATGAACCAAGAGGCTTTGAAAGAGGTCTTGAACCTCAGAAGATTATTGGTGCAACCGATGCCTCAGGAGAACTCATGTTTTTAATTAAATGGTAAGCTGATTGTGTTATGTTTTTGTAAAATGTGCTTGCTGTCCTGACCTATGAGTGACTTGCTCAACTGTTGAAGCAAACGACTATAGACTATGCTGGCGTCAAATTTTAAGCTCTTTAGGTCTTTTTTTCATTTTTCAAGCTTTAAGTAACCAATCAAATAATTTAAACTCTCTTGAATTTTGTGATCTTGAAATTTTCCCTTTGTAGAATCTTATCCATAATCTTTTCTATGCACCCTTTTGCTCATCAGACTTGTTGGTCTGTTGCTCACTTTACACAAATTCTAATCGGTTTTTCTAAATTTTCTCTCCGATCTTTACAGGAAGGACTCTGAGGATGCAGATTTGGTCCCTGCTTCTATAGCTAATCACAAATGTCCCCAAATTGTTATTAAGTTCTATGAAGAGCGTCTTACATGGCACACAGCAACCAATAATGAGGATAAAGTTGAGGCCAAAGATTAGATCAACTGCGTTCACATTCTTTACTCTTTAATTGTTTCATATTACCTTATCCTTTCTTTTCTAAACATTTAACCCATCGCATTCAGTTTCCATCCTTTCATCAAAATATTAAACAAATATTATTAAATATCATTCCTGATCACTTTTTATTTCAGAACCTGTTAAGACTTTATTATATTACATAACCTTAAATACTCTTCAAAATGTAAGAATAAAAGATTACAAGTGAATTACAAATCAACTCTAATTCAGGCAAGGAATATATGAATTTATTGTTAACATGTTAAAGGTATACAGTGTAGAGTTGATTGGTCGATGTAATTTACATCAAAGGATAATGATGCAAGGTCGATCTAAGGTGTGTGATCAAAATCTGAGTTTGAATATATAATTTTGGTGCTCTTTGGGAAAAAAGTACGTTGATTGATAGGTTGCAAAAAAAGTTATGAACTCGAGTGTTGATTCGTAGTTTCTTTTGATTTGGCCATTGTCATTCTAACTTCTCCTAATACTTGGAGCGGCGTCTTTCCAGTAGCTTGAGCAACTCTATGTTCAATCAAGTAAAAGATATATTCATCGAAAAGCAATCGAATGAGATGGAATGAACCAAAAGAAGAGGCAGAACGAAGAGTGAGATCTCTCATCACAAGTGAGCTATAAAAGCCCCATTTAAAAAAGAATTGCGTCGCTGAGCGCACATCGTTATCTCGAAGGCATGTATCTAAAACTTGTTCACACCACATGCCCCAACGGTCAAATGGATTTTGTTCTTGGAGAAGAGATTTGAAACTTATTTCGATCTGATCGACAATGGAGTCATCACATTGGCACACCCATGAAGCCTGCTCTTGGACGTTTTTAAAATCAACACGGTTTAAGTCGCTTATCATTTGTTGTATTTGTTGTTGGTTTTGCAGAACTGCTTGAGCTGCCGATGATAAATGATTTAAAGATGTGTATCTTCGTAAAGTATGGCTAAAAGCTCCAACTGCAGCTAATTTAGAAGCAACAAATGTTTGGTCGTATCCAACAAGCGCTGCTCCCATCCAATTGTGTATGTTTTTGGCAAAATTACGAATCTGTTGAGTTAATTGTTGGGGAATGGGTTTCAAAAGGTTGGGAAGTAATAATGCAGATATTAAGGAATTGTAAAGTGTATAATCTGTTTGTAATATCCAATCACTCAGCGAGGCTAGAGGCTCTTGATCATTTTCCGCCTCTATACCAGGACTAGAGGTTAATTGGTGTAATTGTTCCAATGTTAAACCAGGAGTTCCAGCCTTACTATTAACATTGTTAGTTTTACATTCATTATCACTGTTGCCACTTATTCCATTTTTAGTTGAACTTTCAGCTTGCCAAAATGCTTTCCATAATCCTTCAATAAGGTGAAAATTTAAATTACCAATAGCATTAATTACTTGCTCATAATGTTTTCTATAAGCAGCAGCAAATCTGGTTGCTAGAGCACTTGGTGTTTCGGCATCATTACAAGGAATAGGCTCTTCCGGCCAAACATTGGCTAAAATTGACTTAGGATCACCTAGGTAGCTCTGTAGCAGCTCTGGTGAAGTTGCAGTTAAGGTTGCCTGGTGATTGTCATTTGTTGTCACAACATTGTTATCCTTGATTGACTCTACCCCAGCATCAGAACCGCTCGTTTTACTACGTTTGGCAGATGGCTGACCAGATTCAGGACTACTCACAGAAGTATTGTCAGTTATGCGCGCCAATGGAGATCCGGGTTTCACTCTAATACCATAGTAGTGATACTTTGAATTTCCTCTAGTTCCCAAGCGCCTTGTACGTAATCCGACAAAAACAGAGCGAATAAGTTTACCAAATGAAGCTGCATTCACAGGTTCAATACCTTGTTGTTGACAATGGGTTTGGTAGTGGGAATATAATGTAGATCGAGGCAAAGAAATGCCTTCCGCGGTTTCATAATTTTCTATGAGCCATCTAACCTGAATTACAAAAAGATGAAAATAGGTATGTTAGGGCAGGTCATGGCTGAGAATTTTAAGCAGAATAAGTGTACTTACATGGACAATGTCCGTGTCCCGGACATTTTGAATTTGAAAATTGGATGGAGCAGAAACTGTTCCAATAGGAGCTGAAGCAACAACGGCGATACCACCAGAATTACCTTCTGTTTCTCCAGTATTGGCACCAGTGACTTGAGAATAGATGACGGTTGAATTATTTTCAAAACAAGTGATCGAGGTGTAAGGATCAGTGGTATAGTAAATTGTAGTTAAATTATTATCCTCTTCTTCTGGATTCTTTTTGAATGTATCTTGGGGGTCGATCATCCTGTTGTCTTGTTGACGGTGTTCCAGGGTGACGGTAACCTTAGTACACTCTATAGCAACAATAAAAAAGTGTGGTTTGATTTGCTGAAGAAACCTTGAGCCTTGAGCAGCATTCAGTTGGTAAAGTAGATTCACTATGACTGTGGTGCCATCATGTGAGAGTTTTCACAAGAATTGGTTTTGAAGTCGCAATATTGGAGTTTATTTTCAGGTATTATTTATGCTTAAAACTCGCATTTTGACCGCGCTATCTGAATCCGTTTAAAATTAAAGATCTTACAAGAATGCAAATTATTAATCTTATTATTATATTCTTATAAAATTTTTGTATGATTAGCACTTAATAAATTTGAAATTGAGATTCTCTTGATTTGCGAACACGCATGTTCTTATTACACACTGATGTAAGTGTAAACAAAATCAGAATATTGAATTTATGGTCACAATGAAACAAAATAAGATAACTCAAGTTTTATCTATTATTAATTATTAAGAATCAAAGTATCTCTGGTAACCTGGATTGATTCGTCGTACATTTAGTTGATTCTTTTCTTAAGTATTTAGCACTTCAACTTTTATCTTGTTTCAAATGACATCTCTGTGTCTTTTTAAATTTCATGCTAGTGAAGTCAAGTTCAGCTATCTTGTATCAGTTTACGGTATGGAATGAAATAATATTAATGGATCATAATATAGTGGATCATAATATTAGCTGTTTACTTTATTATCTTGCCTAATATTTGTTTTTCTCTTTAATAATTTCTTCTTTCAGCGTAAACTTTATTGTTTTTGGATAAGCTAATCAATCAACTTTTACACAACTCTGGCTATGGTGTCAACAGAAAGATTTCAAACCTTGGAAGGCCATACATCTGATATAACCTGGGTTGATTTCAATGGAAATAAAATTGTCGCCTCATCATCTAATGATAAAACTATAAAAATCTGGAAACGTAAGGACGATGGACAGTTTGAAGAAAGCAAAGAGCCACCATTAAAATCGCCTCTAACTGGACACAATTATGGAGTAAACTGTGTAAGATTTTCACCGTTTGGAACAATTTTGGCCTCGGTTTCAACTGATGGATATCTAATTCTATGGAACTCACAGGTATAGATACTCTTACATCTCATCAGCTGTGACAGTTTAATAATCTCACGTATCAAATAAATTTGGCAGATTTCTTTCCAATCAAAGTTACCGTCATAAACCTCAAATGTTTGACAATATAATATTATTGCTAATCTGCCAATATTTGCTCCGATTAATTGCTAAGTTGACTAATTTTTTAATATGGTCTCTTTTTTAGACTGGTGATCAAGTTGTGCGAGTTGCTAATCCAACAAACTGTGCTATTCGCGTCTGTTGTTTTTCTCCTTCTTCGGCCATCTTGGTAACTGCTGGAGATGATGAAAGAATCTGTCTTTGGGATATTAGCACTCGTTCGTTAGTCAGATCTTTGAGTGGTCATGAAGCAATGGTCACTACTTGTGCCTTCTCTCCGGATTCTGCTTATCTAATATCTGGAGCTACTTCTGGAGAGCTTAAAATGTGGGACGCACGTCATGGTCATGGCAAATGTTTATTGACCATTCCTGAAGCTCATGATTTGGGTGTCGTCTCGTCTGACTTCAATCCTCAATACGAGGTTAACGGTGAGTCTGTAGAAGGTATAGATCTATGTTTTTTATTTTTACCTAATTTTCAATTCTTGCCAACAAAGTCATCAAAGTCAAATTGTACTTAATAAATCATTATTGAAAATTTAACACATAACAGCAAAAGTCCTTGGAATAAGTCTATTCCTAATGCATCAGACAATCGATTTTACCTTCTTTAATTACAATCCAATGGCTGTTAATACGCAAATAATCAATATTGGAAAATATTGCATTATACAATAAATGAATCATTGGTTGGAAGCAGTATAAAATCAATAATTCTTTCATATTGTTAACCTGTCCATTTAATAGATCGTTATTTTACACACTTTAAAATTGTCCTATTCTTAGTTTCAAATTTTCATAATTCTACTTTTTAAGTTACACACACAAAAGATACATTTTATTATTTGCTTAGCACTTGCACGGCTTTGATCACGATATCTCTTAGCAACTAATTTGTTCTGTCAACAATTAAAATTTTAAGCTAATTAATTTTTATTTTATTTTTTTATGTAGTAACAAATGGTCCATTACAAAGCTACTACTTACTCGCCTCTTGTGGTAATGATGATCTAGTCAAATTGTGGCATGTTAAAGGTGGTCTCAAGTGCTCAATAACTCTCTACCACAGTCTTTCAGGTCACAGTGGTAATGTTTATTGTTGTCGTTTCTCTAGTGATGGCTCATTACTTGCATCAGCGTAAGTCTCACGTAATTTAAATCAGATTGATTATCGTTTATCTATCCATTTGATTGCTCACACCATTGATTTGAGTCAATGTTTACTATCTTTTTCCAATAACTTATATGATTGATGATTGCTTTTGTAATATGTAAATTTAATGAATTGATCAAATATATCTTATATCTCTTATTTACCAGAGCTGGCGACAAGACAATTATAATCTGGTCTATCGAATCAGGAACAATCATTCGCCGTTTAGAAGGTCACAATCGATATGTAACTTGCTGTGCATTCTCTGCTGACAATAGTCTTTTAGCAACTGGTTCAAATGATAAAACTGTTATTATTTGGAATCTTCATTCCTATCTTGGTTCACCCGAACCCAATAATGATTCTGAAGCCAACGAAAATGCACCCATAACAAGCTCTCATAGAGTTTCTTTCAGTTTGGGCACAAACGCTAACCTAGTTTCTCGATGGTCGGTCGAACAAGTAGCACAATGGCTGGAAACTTTGGGATTACCTCAATATACGGATATCTTCATTCAAAACGAAATTGATGGCACTGAGCTTTTACATTTATCTCATGACATGCTCTTGACTATGCTTAAAATTAGTTGAGTATTTTTGTCTTTGCTTGGTTTTTCATTTTTCATAATTCTTTTATTTTGTTTTTGTCTAACAGCTACTCTTGGTCATCGAACCAAAATTCTGCGAGGAGTCCAAGCCTTACGAAATCCATTGTGGCAACATATCGCAAATGAAGACGATATCTCAATGCCCGATGAGCTTTTCTGCCCAATAACTCATGAATTCATGAAGGATCCTGTTGTTGCTTCAGGTAAAAAAATCAACAGAAAAAATTGAGACGCATCGATTAATTTCTTTAAAATCTTTTTCAGATGGTTATACTTATGAAAGACAAGCAATCACCGAATGGATGGAAAATGGAAACAACACTAGTCCAATGACAAATGAGCCATTCGAAGATAATCGATTGGTTTCCAATTTGACTCTAAAGCTCCTTGTCAAGCGATATCAGATTTAACTGATAACCGAAGCTCAGTTCATTAAATAACTTTGTCAAATCCACCATATCTTATCCGAAGTCTTAATTAGGATTGATATTTTACCTCAAGCTTTCTTTGGATTTGCTAAATCTGTGATCAACTTCGTGGTCTCAAAGTATACTTTCGCCTTGAAAATCAAATATATCATCGACATCCTAACTTTATTTTACCCAAGAGCATAAATTACTGAACTCAAATCCACAAAAATATTATCGTTGAAATAAGAAATGTTTCAATTAATTATTATTATTATTATACTTTTATGTCAAATGTTATTACTGTCATATATCAATATTTTATCTATTTTACTAACCAAAACCAATGCATCACCATTATCCTATCAAAGCATCAACAAAGTAACGAAAGTATTATTTGAATTATGTTCATAATGATCTGAAATAATTTATTCAATAAATTTTGGTCTTATTTTCAAATGTAAAATTTAAAAATAATGTTTATGCTTTTTCATTATTAATTCAATCAAAACAAATCTAATGTTGATGTTTATTTGATGATTTATCCTGCACATTCATTGTAATTCATTGTTTTCATAAGTCACTTTAATTGATCAGCTCACATACAATATTTAATTTAATGATGTTCAAATTGTTTTTTTTTCAAAGTATAAAATCCAAATAAGTTATCATGATTTTTCATTAAAGATTCAATTTCAACTCTAGACATCTAAATAGACAAAATAAATCGATACAAAAAATAATACAAGGCTGCAATTTTATAAGATTTTGTTTCCCTTGGAAATTAAATTAAATTACTGTTAGAAAATTTACATAAATTAAATATATTCTTACAATGTTGTTACAACAATTTAACAAATTTTCAATTGCCATTTATAAAGCATAATTTTCCAATTCCGATATAAAATAAATAAATTGCAAATCAATATAATTTTCGTCTTCATTTTGTCGGGTCCAAAATTTGATACTTGCTATCTTAGAATCATCCCGTTAAGACTGAAACCTCTTACATGTAATCGTATCAATGGACATTAGATGCTCCTTACCCAACCCGTTTACCTGGTTATGCCTTCGATGAACAGTCTAATTCCCTGATTGGAACATTTGCTCCACTCTTTAAAAGTCGAACTAATGTGATATTCCAAGGTGCAAATATATCTTGGGTTAGCAGTGATTCAAGAGCAGATTGTTTGAATGACTCTTGTTTCGGTGGACCTCGATTATTACAACTTGACCAGGCTGATATCAACTTTTCAATAATGGATTTTCAACTTCTTGATTCAGTTCAACCAAACATTACATTGACTGTTCCACTTGTTGAAGCTTCCTGCATCTTTTTAACCCACTATCAATCAAATTTAAAGTTAATTCAACTCGACTGTTTAACCAACATTGAGATCATTAATCTATGGCTATTTATTCCTTTGATAATTCTGTTTGTAACCTTAGTTTGGATGCTTAACAATACTGGACTCATCCAACTACCATCTCACTCCTCTCTATCATCATTCAAATTTTGGTTTATCACCAGTTTATCTAGTAATTTTTACCGGTTAATAACTTTCATGTTCAACAGTCAACATCCAGAAGCTTCAAGAACAAGTCAAAGGCTTTTAATTGGTTTCATTTTGATTTCCTTATTCACTCTCAGAGTAAACTATTCAGCTAATTTTCACACTGATCTAGCGGTAGCAGATAAACAGAATCCTGTTCACGATTTGCAAGACATTTTAAATTACAATTTAACTGGGATTGTTTGTGAAGCATCAAGTTGTTATAAGTCGTTGCAGCACTCATCCCATAAAAATAAAAAGCAGCTTCTTTCTTCGTTCATTGTCATGAAATATTATCTTGATTTACCTCTGATTTTGGACAAACTGACTGATTTTACTTATCTTGGACAAGACTGGGAACTGGATAGAGTAAAAAAAGATTTGATCTCATACAGAGAAAGCGATAGCTCTTGTTCAAAATTTACCGATCCTGAAGCTTATGAGCATACAGCATCTTTCGATAAGTCCCATGGAGCCATGTTGGTAAATGCTAATAGTCCAGCTAAGTCGTTCATTCTCTGTCGCTATTACATTGCCCTCGAAAGTCGTATTTACTCTCAAATTTACAAAAGGCTGTATCCATCCAATGCTGAACATTTCAGAAGAAAATGTCACCAGAAGACAAAAAATTATTCACAATTTGTATTCAATCCAATGGTCGGAAGAAATTATCATCTTATTTTAACCACAATTGCCCTTGTACAATTGATTAGTACGATTATCTTTGGAGTGGAATTGTTTGTTTCGCGTAATTGGACACTCAAATGCTCCAGAATATTTCCAAATCAGGTGTAATTGAATGATCATTAAAATCCTTATATCCTAAAATAATAAAATTGAACAACATTTCATAAATGCATCAAACAATTGCAGTTTATTAAACATTTTACACGATATTATTATTGATGGCTTGAGAAATCAACTTAAAAAATTGTTGAATATTGATAATTTATAGATTGAACTACCATTTGAATAAACATCATCAAGATGCTTAGCATAATTATCGAATAAATAAACTACAGAACCCAACATTTTGATCAATTTAATAGCCAGTGTCGATTTGATTGAGTAATTGATTGAAATTAGTGGATTATTTAGCACCATAAAGGCGTCAATTTGAAAAGACTTGCTATTATGTTACGATTTGCAACGTTAGTTTTATTGACTGAAGTTGCATTGATCCTAAAAACATTTTACTTGGTTTATGCTAAAGAGGAAAAACAAAATTGTCACATTTGGGCATAAACTGACATAAAAGGGTAAAAATAAATTTCTATCAAATTTAGACTCTGTTAGATAGTAGAGAAGGAAAAACTGAATCCATTCGGGCCATTTAAAAGTTTCTCTGTTCAATAGTTTCGCTACAAATCGAGTTCAAAGTTGAAACTTCGATCGCCTTTCGTTCAATCATGGAAGCAGAAGCTTCGATGAAACTCATTTTCGTAAAGTAGTTTTCAATGGGCAACCAGAAAATGCATTTATTTTGAGGCATAAAATTTTCAATCTTCTGTGAAACAGATAACTTCGATTTTCGTTTGAACCGACCGATTTCTATGATCGAAAAAGTTAGAGAGCTGAAACTTGCTATTGGCCCATAAAAATTATTTGTACACATCAAGGATTGAATAATTTTTTCAATTTATCAACGGCTCGCTTGATTTTGGCCATTGGACTTAAAACTTTGAACGTCAATATTTCGAGAATGGCATTACATACAATCATCATTATTTCACTAATTCAATTCTGACCTAATCAATAACTAAATTCAACTTAATATCCTTCCATTAGCGTATTCTGGTCATGATATTTGGCTTGTAAATGGACGAGAAACAACTTAACCTATGGGCAGAAAGTTTGAGACAAATATACAAATCACTTGTAAAGCTTTTTCTTGATAATCCGATTAGCTAGAGCGCCGAAACTTTCAGGAGACTGAGGAGGAGGTTCAGTTCATCTACAGTCAGAAATTCAAGATCATACAACATTCTGATCGTTTTAAATTTATCATTAACTCTTGCGACAATTGAATGATCTCTTGCCTCTCAGCATAAGAAAAAAATATTGGAAAAAATCAATTGATTTTAAAATCCATTTATTCAGAGGTTGTATAACATTTAAAGCTTTTTTAACTTGCTAACGCTTAAAAAACTCTATGACCTATCAAAATCTTATATTTTAATTATTATATTATGCCTAAGACGATAATAATTTAATCTAACAAATCCGAAAAAATTTAAAAATTCAACTTCAATCACCGCAGAAGGGTGCCAAAAATATAAAATTTAAAGCAAATGGTGCTATGTATAGTAGGTCATTATATATCAAATTAAACAGCAAGAGTTGTTTAATCTTTGATCGTTTGAACTGAAGAGTTAAGAAGATTTTTGAAAAAGATACGAGCAACTAAACATTTGTCTCAAACTTTCTGCCCATAGGTTATTAAACAAAACAAACTCATCTTAACCCATTTGCTGGTAAATAAACCAATTTCCTGGTTAAACTTGTAAACCTAAAGCAAAGAGTGCTACCAAAGACTCGAAAATTGAGTTTAAGAGTTGAGACTTGGTGGGTTTCATAGGGACATAAAAACTGAATCCATTGGAGCTATTAAATAATTCATCCGATGAACAGTTTTTTTGTAAATCGAGGTCAAAGTTGAAACTTCGATCGCCTTTTGTCCACTAATGGAAGCAGACTTTTTCATGAAACTCATTTTCCTTATGTAAATTTTAATGGTTAACCACAAAATGTAATTTATTATATGAAATAAAATTCCGTTTTTCTACAAAGCAGATAAGTTCGATTTTCTTTTGAATCGACCGAATTCTGTGACCGATAGAGTTAGAGAGCTGAAACTTATTATTGGCCCATAAAAATTATTATATTTGTACACATCAAGGATTGAATAATTTTTTCAATTTATCAACGGCTCGCTTGATTTTGGCCATTGGACTTAAAACTTTGAACCTTAATATGTCAAAAAACAATTCCATGTTTATGCTTTTTCATTATTAATTCAATCAAAACAAATCTAATGTTGATGTTTATTTGATGATTTATCCTGCACATTCATTGTAATTCATTGTTTTCATAAGTCACTTTAATTGATCAGCTCACATACAATATTTAATTTAATGATGTTCAAATTGTTTTTTTTTCAAAGTATAAAATCCAAAACAAGTTATCATGATTTTTCATTAAAGATTCAATTTCAACTCTAGACATCTAAAGAGACAAAATAAATCGATACAAAAAATAATACAAGGCTGCAATTTTATAAGATTTTGTTTCCCTTGGAAATTAAATTAAATTACTGTTAGAAAATTTACATAAATTAAATATATTCTTACAATGTTGTTACAACAATTTAACAAATTACCAATTGCCATTTATAAAGCATAATTTTCCAATTCCGATATAAAATAAATAAATTGCAAATCAATATAATTTTCGTCTTCATTTTGTCGGGTCCAAAATTTGATACTTGCTATCTTAGAATCATCCCGTTAAGACTGAAACCTCTTACATGTAATAGTATCAATGGACATTAGATGCTCCTTACCAACCCGCTTACCTGGTTATGCCTTCGATAAACAGTCTAATTCCCTGATTGGAACATTCGCTCCACTCTTTAATAGTCGAACTAATGTGATACTCAAAGGTGCAAATGTATCTTGGGTTAGCAGTGATTCAAGAGCAGATTGTTTGAATGACTCTTGTTTCGGTGGACCCGATTATTACAGTCAACCTTTCAATACTAGACTTTCAGGTGGAATTGTTTTTTTCAAGCAATTGGGCACCCAGAATGCTCAGGATGCTTCAGAATATTTCCAAATCAGGCGTAGTTGAATGAATATTAAAATCATTATATCCTAAAATAATGCAAATGAACATTATTTCACAGATGCAATTACAGTTTACATACTTGACGATATTATTATTGATGGCTTGAGAAATTAACTCAAAAAATTGTTGAATATTGATAATTTATAGATTGAACTACCATTTGAATAAACATCATCAAGATGCTTAGCATAATTATCGAATAAATAAACTACAGAACCCAACATTTTGATCAATTTAATAGCCAGTGTCGATTTGATTGAGTAATTGATTGAAATTAGTGGATTATTTAGCACCATAAAGGCTTCAATTTGAAAAGACTTGCTATTATGTTACGATTTGCAACGTTAGTTTTATTGACTGAAGTTGCATTGATCCTAAAAACATTTTACTTGGTTTATGCTAAAGAGGAAAAACAAAATTGGCACATTTGGGCATAAACTGACATAAACGGGCAAAAATTAATTTCTATCAAATTTAGACTCTGTTAGATAGTAGAGGAGGAAAAACTGAATCCATTCGGGCCATTTAAAAGTTTCTCTGTTCAATAGTTTCGCTAAAAATCGAGTTCAAAGTTGAAACTTCGATCGGCTTTTGCTCATTAATGGAACTAGACCTTTTCATGAAAGGCATTTTCCTTGTGTTAATTTCAATGGCCAACCAGAAAATGCATTTTATTATACGAAACAAAATTTCGTTTTTCTGTAAAACAGATAAGTTCGATTTTCGTTTGAATCGACCTATTTATGTGACCGGAACAGTTAGAGAGCTGAAACTTATTATTTATCCATAAAAATTGTTGGGTCACATTATGGATTGAAAAGTTTCAGAAATTTAACAGCAGTTCTCTTGATTTTAACCATTGGACTTAAAACTTTGAACGTCAATATTTTGAGAATGGCATTACATACAATCATCATTATTTCACTATTTCAATTCTGACCTAATCAATAACTAAATTCAACTTAATATCCTTCCAGCAGCATATTCTGGTCATGATATTTGGCTTGTAAATAGACGAGAAACAACTTAATAAACAAAACAAACTCAACTTAACCCATTTCTTGCTAAATAAACCAATTTCCTGGTTAAACTTGCAAACCTAATGCAAAGAGTGATACCAAAGACTCGAAAATTGAGTTTAAGAATGGAAACTTGGTGGGTTTTGTAAGGTCATAAAAACTGAATCCATTGTTGGTGTTAAATAATTCATCGGATGGATAGTTTTCGAAAAAATCGAGGTCAAAGTTGAAACTTCGATCGCCTTTTGTTCATAAATGGAACGAGACTTTTTCATGAAACTCATTTTCCTTATGTAAATTTTAATGGCCAACTTGAAAATGCAATTCATAGCAAGAAATAAAGTTTTGTGTTTCTATAAAATAGATAAGTTCGATTTTCGTTTGAACCGACTGATTTCTATGACCGAAAGAGTTAGAGAGCTGAAACTTGCTATTGGCCCATAAAAATTATTTGTACACAATATGGTTTGAATCATTTTTTCAATTCATCAACGGTTCTCTTGATTTTGGTCATTGGACCAACAACTTTGAACCTCCATATTTCGAGAATGACATTACATACAATCTTCATTATTTGATCAGACATTAGATTTTGTTATGGGCCATGATATAATATGACTGAATTCATTTCAAAATGAATATACTTCATACAATTAAGGTTTGTGTTTGAGCAACTATTCAACTTTATACATAAATCTAAAATCTGGTAACAAAATGGTACAATGCTATAACTCTGATTGTAGGATCTTGAATGAATTATTATTTCAATATATTATAGCTCATAATAAAACCTGCTGTCTGGTTGAAGAATGATGATTTTAGGTTAGGCCATTCTCGTAATATTACGGTTCAAAGTTGCAAGTTCAATAGCCAAAATCAAGAGAACCGTTGATGAATTGAAAAACTGATTCAAACCATATTGTGTACAAACAGTTTTTATGCACTGATTATAAGTTTCAGCTCTCTTACTCTATCGGTCACAGAATTCGGTCGATTCAAACGAAAATCGAACTTATCTATTTTACAGGAAAACGAAATTTTGTGCCGTATAATAAAATGCATTTTCTGGTTGGCCATTGAAATTAACACAAGGAAAATGAGTTTCATACAAAAGTCTGCTTCTATTAATGGACAAAAGGCGATCAAAGTTTCAACTTTGGCCTCGATTTTCAGCGAAACTATCGAGCAGAGAAACTTTTAAATGGCACAAATGGACTCAGTTTTTCCTTCTCTACTACCTAACAGAGTCTAAATTTGATAGAAATTAATTTTTACCCGTTTATGTCAGTTTATGAACAAATGTGACAATTGTGTTGTATCTTTTAAGCAACAATCATTTTACTTGCTTCTTTAAAGCTCAACTCGCAACTTTAACCATTGAAGGATGATGAGGAAGCTTTTGATGTTACATGAAACTCGACTTTTTAATCGATCGTTTGGTCTAGTTGAATAACTCTTGATGAAACTGAAGCATCTGGTTTTAGATGAAATGACTTGATAATTTTGAGCCTTTCCTTGGATCCATTAATTATTCAGAACTAATAAAATGATCCATCGAGTATAATCAATGGCTTCACCCTTTCCATGGTTTGAATTAGTCTTTGATCAACTCTTTAAGATTTCAATTGTTCACCTCATTATTGAGCCCATTTTTTCACCTGCAAATTATTTGTTGACGTGAATATGGAATAGCAATTAAGACTGAGTTTAGTTATAATATACACAAAGTTGTAGGAGTCTAAGAGCTGTTAATTAATAGTTAATGAGGTTGTCTTACGTGAAATGGTTGATCATTTTGTAAACTCCTTAATACAGATTAGTTAAGGACAAAATAATGGTGAAAATGATCAATCGATTTGGTTAGAGAAGTGGTTAATAAATGAGACTCTTTAATAGCTGTTAATTAACAATGCTTATTCTTGTTGATTATTTAGTTGATCAGTTTTCATTTTGTCCTTTCATTTCATTTCATTTCATTTTGGTGAATCCTTTGAATAATGTTGATATTTGACTGGATTGCTTACAGACCAACAGGGTTAAGGTAATTGTGCTCACAAAAATGATTAATTAATAGCAGATTTTTGTGGGAACAATTATTTTATTTCCTTTGATCTTAAATCAACACTTAAAATCAACATTTACCAATTTGATTGTCCCATAAATTCATTAATCTTTGAGCTATTTTTTGGGTTAAATACATTCTCATTCTGGTTAACCAGATTCAAGTGTCAAACCCTTCACCATCAATAACATTCAACTTCATATAATATCAATTTAATAATAATTCCTGACACTTAATATGCCGTGTAATTGTGATTTAAATGTGTTTAAACAGTGATTTAAGTGGAATATTATGTCAACTTATATTTCATCTGTTCATTTCTTTGGGTTTTGTGATTAATCTCATGTTAATAATTAACCAAATTGTGCTTTAAATGCTTTAATCTGATATGATTCAACATATCATTTTTAATGAGCTTTGAATCATAATTAAAGTTGAACAAAAGTGACTTGACTTGTTAGTTGTTTAACTGACAATAAAAGCTGGTTTATGCCGAAATCAAGTTTCGGTTTTGTCAGTTTAAAAAAGTTAAAAGGTTTGGGTTGTAAATACATTGAACCAGACGTTTACGGTTAATAAAGGTGAAGGTTGGTATAGCCATTGGACCAATAATCCAACGGACTTTGTTTGAGCAAAAGCGTCAAAAATCCGTTGAATAAGAAAAGAGGAGACAGAGGAAAAGAAAGAGAAGATAGATTTAAAAAGCCTGAGAAAATGATGGGAAAGGGAGTTAAAAGAGAGAGAAGAGGAAAAGATGCTGAGAAAAGAAGAGACGACTCACTCACAGTTCTACACTTGCAGTTACAAGCCGGTCAATAATAGTGAGAGGAGAGTGAAAGATTTTGAATGTATGATTTTTTAAATGTGTAAGAGTTTATTAGTTTTCAATTCAACTGATAATTCCGTTTCAAACTTGAAATCTGTTTTAGTGATCAAAAAGTAAATTTTTTATTGTGTCTTCGATTGAATAACAGTCATTTGTAACATTGCTATTTTACAAGTTGACTATTTTGGAGCGAAAATTAACCCATTTTTAACGTTTAACATTGGGTTTTCTTTGGTAAGAATTTGAATCAAATTTTATTTTTCTGGTGTTTTTTTGCTGCTGTCCCACCATTCGAGATAGACTGATCAAGATGCTGCCTTTAGACTCTAAGGACAAGAAACATTTACAGATACAATATCAAGAGTATTACACCTATCAACCAAACATTGACCTGAACATTGTCAGAAAAGTTAAAAAAGACAATCGTGATAAAGAGAAGGAAAGGATTGCTCGATTAAAACGAGAATACAAACAAGATTTGTCCAGATCTAAAAGAGCTAAATATTCGTCTGCATCATTGTCCGTCAATCGAGTTTTCAGAGACTTGAAAAGTTTAGCGAAAAAACATTTAAATAATGTCCAAGCTTCTTTTGACCATATTCTTCTTTATAAAGTAAGTATCAAGACTATCATTTTCAACCTAAATATCATGTTTGCGATCGATTGTCACTTCTTTCTTCCTTCAATTTTCTGGTTAAAAACCCAAATTATTAATATGAGTTTCAACAAAACTGTTTATTTCAATTTTAGGATTTATTTTATAAGTAAACGATCAATCATTTAAATGGGTTGTTTGAACCTATCATAATGTTAACCTTGTTTGGTTCTTTCGTGTTGATATAACCTTTCATATTTAGTTGTCATCAATGATGGTTTTGTGTCAGCTTGGATCGATAGATTCAATAGTTCTTTCACAGCTAATTGTTCATAGTTGTCATGAGAATAAGAAGAGTTTATGTCTTAGAATGAGTATCAAATTTCCGGTCAATCAATGTTCAACCAAGGATAACCCGCAGACCATTTGAATCATTTAATTCACTTTAATGAAGGACTCTACGAATGGTTGTTTATTTCGTTCTCTCAATGATTTCTAAATGTTGAAAGATGAATTGAGTCTAACATTGACATTGGAAACAATTTAATTTGATAGTCAAGGTTTTTTTTCATCCTTTACTAAAAGTCTACTTTTGGGTGAAGTGAAAAGGGTAAAAGGAAATAGAAAGATAAAAAGGATGCTGAAGAGGTGGAGGAGGAGGAGGATGAGGATAAAAACCCACGCAACGATTTTAATGATAAAACGAGGGATGAAGAAAAAATGAGGATGAAGTTTAGGAAACATGCTCCAGATCTTGAGTAAATACATGTATAATCGACCAAAGTGTGTCTAACATTATAACATTATCATATTTTCTGTGAACAATTTCTCTTTCCAATCCTTGAATCTGTCTGTTTCTCTGCTTCTCTGTTTAAGTATTGATCCTTAATTCTGTCTACCATAAACATTTTTATCATCAAATCTTAAGTGACGACAATTTTTAACAGTTTTGTCAACAATCAATCAATAGAGTAGCGCAACATCTTCTGCATCTCAGTTATCAATGAACAAATCTGTATTGAACTATTGCATCTTTTATACATCAATCTTAATATTTTGTTAATATCATTCTTGAGAAAGCACAAATTGATCAATTCAAATCAGGATTTCCCCGTCATTATCATTTCATTATATTTCAATCATATGATGTTTATTTTATCTCACTTCTCAAGATCGCATAATATTTATGAATTTTTATTTTTCTTACCCATTTCATTTAACTAATCAACCTTTTTTTGGTTCTTTCAACAGTTTGCAGGAAGCGCGTTTTTCAGTGGATTTGAAAAACTGAAATAAAAGGATGGATTTTGTTTACCAATGCATATTTTTTTAATTTTTATTTACATCTTCATCAAAGCAATCATTCAATAAGTATTATGGATGGCATGGACTTTTCATTGGCTGGCCAATAAATGAATTCTTCGGTATTGAACCACACCATTTAAACATTAAATGAATTGAGTTTTACAATCATTAACAATATTATCAAAAATAAATATGTATATTAGCAAAAAACATTGAAATCCTCTAATTTCCGAGTTTAAACTAATCCTAACCATTTCCAGTTTTTACCCCAATTTATCAAATAGTTCAGGATGTCTTCGATGGGAAAGAAAAGTCAATTATAAATATTGTAAAAACTTGTTAAAATACACATTGGAGTCACAAATGTTCAGCTCAAGTAAAAAGTAGCTTAGGATAAGCTCTTTTTTGTCGCACCAGTGTCGGAGACTGAGTTTATTGTTTACTAAAGATAATCTGAATTCAAATTGACTTGACACTTGTTAAAAACGAGGAGTCAGAAAACTTGAGCCTTCTTTGTTATGTTTACCAAGCTGGACGTGTTTTATGACTTGACTCCAAGAGCACCTTGTTTCGATTTGTTCTGGTATTTCGTTTTCCTGTTAAAAAGTCTATTCAACTTGTCAAATTGTTTTGTCCAGACTTTTTGAATATTTTAAACTAATAATTTTCAATCGTCTATATTGATAATTTTCTTGTCGAGTCGAAATATTTCAAGCTTTTGGTCGGTTTTCTAGATAAACTAAAAGTGAATGAATAAATTCAATTCAATCATCCAGCTTCAATGAAAAGCTAAGCGATTTAGATGGAGATTTATTATATTATTCATTTAATTTATTGCAAACATAGTTGATTCTCTTTGATTAGCCAATTAGATCGCAAACCAGTTTCGTATATAAATATATAAACAATTACATTATGAAGGTCAACTTTTCAATGATTTATTGCGTTGAATCGCGAGTCAATGCTATACTATTCATTTCAATTATAATTCAAATATTTATAAAAAAGTTATAAATGAAAGACTGATATCTCTCTGCCAATGATTTGGTTCCAATCTTCACCGTATTCCTTTTATGATTCAGCCTTTGATTGGTAAAACGAACATAATCTACGAATATGTTGAGTTAGTTGTTGGGAAGTAATAATTCAGGCATTAAGGAATTTTAAAGTGTATAATCTGGTTGTAATAGCCAATCTTTCAGCGAGACTAGAGGCTCTTGATCTTTTTCGGCCCCTATACCAGGACTAGAGGTTAATTGGTGTAACTGTTCCAATGTAGAATCAGGAGTTCCGGCATTGTTACTTTTCATTCATTATCACGGTTGCCACTTATTCCATTTTTAGCTGGGCTTAATTAATCGAGCCCATCATTTCTCAATAAGGGGAAAATTTAAATTACCAATAGCATTATCTGCTAGAGCACTTGGCATCGCACTTGGAGTTTCGGCATCATTACAAGGAATAGGCTTTTCCGATCAAAAATTGGCTAAAATCGACTAAGGATCACTTAGGTAGTTCTGTAGCAGCTCTGGTGATGTTGCAGTTAATGGTGAAAATGAGCTATCGATTTGGTTAAAGAAGTGGTCAACAAAATGAGTCTTTTAATGACTGATAATTAACAACACTTATTCTTGTTGGTTTGGTCAGTTTATGATAATATTATGACAAAGGTAAGCTTCTTGAGTGAATATATGGTTTTTCTTTTTCCACTGCTACTTCAAGTGAGTCTATACGTTTCCTTAATTCTTTAGTCGGTATTTCTTGATCATACTGCCGAATGTAATATGCACTTTTAATTTCCTTTTCAAAAACGGCATTTTTCATACTAAATTCTTTTTCTTTCCTTTCATCTTCGTCGTAAAACATTTCAGGTATTAAGTATCTATCGAAAATTCCTAGGCTGATTTTAGGTTGAAAGTGAGCAGTAACAGACCCGGTGAAGACTGAGAAAGCAGCAAGACCAGCTAATATTTTCCAATAACCTTTAGCAGCTGAAGTACCGTATATTTGCCAGTAAGGTGGCTTTTTTGGCCATTCGCCATCGTATGGTTTATCAGGTGGTTGCAATAATGCTAGCCTCGAATTGAATATAACTCTTTTACCTTGCACTGGTTCTTCTTTCGATTTAGACTCCGATGCAGATGTGGTTGAAGTTGAAGCTTGACCAATTCTGCGGTTACTAGTCACATTCACGTACTTAACCCTGTTCATCTGAGATGTACAAATCACTCGAATTTGACAGTTCCGGGAAGAAATTATTGCGGCCATTATTAAACCAATTATAATTCGTGAACTAGAATAAAAGAAAACCAGAGATTTATTAACAAAAATTCAACTGCAACAAACAAAAAAATTAAACCCTTGATATTTGTTTTAAAAACATTGTTTTTGTAAAACTAGACCGGTTATCATAACCGAATGATTTTGGGTTACAACGAGATGAAAATTAAAAAAGTAAGTAAATGAAAGAGATAAACGTTTTGAAGTAACCAAAGAAATTTTGGTTACTAAAGTTACAGTTACGCTCACGCTGAAGCACGATTGAGCCTCCATCTAGTACAATCTACAGAAAACCTATTATTGATAATAAAAAACAGTGAGAATAACAATAATTGTTTCTTAATTGTTTCCCTCCTGCGACGAAAAGAAGGCGATGAAGAGGACGCTTAAGACGATAATCGACTGAAGATCTTTTACATATCAGTGATCAATAGCTCTTAAATCAGATGAATTTATAATGTCAAAAACGCAAGAACTTTTTAGTTGAGCCAATATAAAGTGTCAAAAGCCATGAAAAACAATGAAACAGTCAAAATTTAATTTACATAAAAAATTTGAACACATAGAAAATAACTTAAATTTATTGAGAAATCAACTTTGAAAACTCATCTTAAATTTTTTCACTGATTTTTCTGTAGAAGATACGCTTTCCGTTTTCATGATTGATTTTTGAGATATTATCTGTTGGATCAAAATATCTCGAACTTTTTGTTTCCATATATCCAGTTCGCTGTTAATAAATTCATTCTCGAGTTGATCCCAATGATAATTCTGCCAATAACTGCTGTATATGAATTTATAATGATCAAGTATGGTGTTTGACTCTACGATATTCAATTTTTCAAGAAAGTCGCTTAATTTTCTCCATGCTTTGGGATTTTCTTTGTTTTCAGAGTAATCAACAAACTCCATCAGTGCTTTGCAAGCTTTTAATGGTTCAATTTCACAATAGTCAACCATCTCTAGGATCAATGGACAAGATGGAGATAGTTGAACTATCTTATCGAAACATTCATCGATAATTTCCTCGAAATTCGGCTCGGTATCACCATAATGAACTGGAATGTAAAAAACATAAAACATTAAAATTTTGAAACGATAAAGTATAGTTATATGTAAACTTAAAACTGAAATAAAAAAAGTGGGGAAGCCAAAGAAACTCTAACGTAAAACCTTAAAATTAAATCATCTGAAAGAAAAAGTAGAACTGCTAAAACTGGATTCGAAACTTATTATTTGATTGATTGCTGGTGATCTATTTCTTAGGTAAATTAAGATTTAGTCCTAATCTATTTAGTTTTCCCATTTTTTTCGTTTCAAAATCAGTTAACGATAGTCTAGATTAGTTCAAACAATTAGGAGTATAAACTTACTCATGAATTTGTAGATATAAATATAAGCATTTAAATTTTCTTCGTTTAAATCTTTATAGGAAATGAGACAATCGATGGCTTCGGTGATCAAATCTTTATGAATGAGGATATCAAGAATTCTAGGTATGAGAAAATCAAAAGGACCAGCTTCTTTTTGTATGATTGATAACATACTGGTGCGAGTTTGTTCCAAAATCATATCCAACTCTTCTTGTGAGGTGAATAATTCATCAGCGCGGTTGAGTTTTTTAATACAGTCTATGTAATTAAGAAGCGTTGTAAAGCCCATCGAGAGTTTTTCTATCACATCGACTGTAACGTAAAGAATGCTATGTCGATTCCAGGAATCACCAAATTCTTTTTTGCATTCTTCAAAATGACTATTCCCCATCAGAAGAGTCAGAAATTCAACCAAAACTTCTTGTTTAAGACAAACTGATTCGAAAAAAGTATCCATCAATCGTTTAGTAGAGTCACTCAAATTTGAATAGCCCTCTTGTATCATAGATGATATTATGATTAATGTTCCTCTTAATAGATGATCCTGGCTCACTTTTTCGTCGCAAGTCATGGACGGCAATAACAATTTGCACCCATTTAAATAATGAGATGAACATAACTCTGTAAATATATGACTTGTTGTACAGCTGACAGAAGAGTTTGTCGATACAAGTTCCACTTTTTTTAATACTGCAGATTTGACTCTTTTAGTAGCAATAAGATCCATGTTTTGAACAGGTTAACTTAAATGGCCAAAGATTTAATCAACAAACGGCAACAAAAACAGATCCAATAATTTCATGTTCAGTAGTGAGAAGCACGCGTTAATTTATTTACCCACAGCTGATGTTGAAAGGTGTAATGAGTCCAACCATGAGAACATAAGGACATTTGACATTAGGATTGGTGTAGTAAAAATAACAGGAAAAGCTTAATTTTCATAATTCAAACATCACTGAGGAACAAATTTACTTGAATTCACGTGGAATCAAGATTTGATAAACCGCGCTTTATCTAAAACATACAAGTGGCTATTTTTGTTTATAAACTTTTACTGGAAATGTCAACCAAGATAACGCCATCTTTTATTCATGGTAATAGACTGAGATTTCCATGTTGGGTAAAAACTTCAAGAATTGAATTTTTCTGATGCTAGATATAATTTATTATTTATTTACGTTTGCAATGAGAAAATATTTTAATTGCTAATACTCATTACAAGAGGATTGGAAATTTAACCTTTTTTCATTGCTATTCTCACTGTTTTTTACTTATCAATAATAGGTTTTCTGTAGATTGTACTAGATGGAGGCTCAATCGTGCTTCAGCATGAGCGTAACTGTTTAGTAACCAAAAGTAATTTCTTTGGTTACTTCAAAACGTTTATCTCTTTCATTTACTTACTTTTTTAATTTTCATCTCGTTGTAACCCAAAATCATTCGGTTATGATAACCGGTCTAGTTTTGCAAAAACATTTATCAAGGGTTTAATTTTTTTGTTTGTTACAGTTGAATTTTTTTTAATAATTCTCTGGTTTTCTTTTATGCTAGTTCACAAATTGTAATTGGTTAAAAAATGGCCGCAATTATTTCTTCACGGAGCTGTCAAATTCGAGCGATTGTAAGTCAAATGTGTCGTGATGTTATTCGACCATCATTGAGACGTCCTCTAAACACTTCTATATTCCAAGCAAGCCAGAGGTTGAAGATTGATAATTTCAAAACTGTTGAGACAATAAATAAAACATCTTACCGGATGCATGGTGGTACATCTCAAAGAAACAGGGTAAAGTTGGATCCTAAGGTCACTGAGCAGAGAGTATTGAAAATTTGCAAAGCCCACGATCGAATCGATGCTAACCAGGTAATCCTATTGACCGAATTGTAGACGTGATTGTTCAAATTTTGTTATGTCAGCTGGATCAATTTACAGTTTTATTTTGATCAATCAAGTAATTAAGAAATTAAGCCGTTGGAAGCTATAGTCCAAGCAAACAAGACAAATATTTGTGACTGAACAATCAAAACATGCTTCATTTTCCTTTGCTCTCTCTCTGGTTCAGTCTCGATATTCATGTTGCTCAAAAGCAATTTTATCAGCTATCTCTTTAATTTGTTTGTTTTAAAAACAACATGATTCCTTTCTTAACACTTCTGATCTTGCTGCCGAGAAAAATGGATATCGAGATTGATTTTCTCAATAGAGATATCTGATAAAATTGACTTTAAATCTTCTCTTTTTAGTTACTCAAAGTGGATTCATCGTTGATCACACTTTCTAGACATTATGGACACAAAGCTCCTCTTACCTATGATTTTGTTCGTGATAGAGTCTTACTTGTACTCAGATTATATGACAAAGTTGATCCCAACAAGGTAGATTTTGAATATCGTCACTGAATCAGCGAAATGAACTTCAACAATTGTTAAACCATTTGCTAACTTTTTGACCTTTTTTTAATTTAGCTTACACTGGAGTCACATTTTATGAATGACTTGGGTTTGGACTCATTGGACCACGTAGAGGTTATTATGGCAATGGAAGATGAATTTCAATTCGAAATTCCTGACCGTGATGCCGAAAAGCTACTCAGACCCATAGATATTGTTCGATATGTAACTGATAAGGATGAAGCATACTACGAATTAAGTGAAGATAACGAGTATCCTAAATAAGCATTTGAATGTTTAACCAATGTCTTAATTTGCAATTGTTGAAAGATTGAGGTAAACTGGATTTCCAAAGATACAGAGGTAACTCCTGTTTTCTTTGTAAAAAGTGCTGAAAAATATAGATTAATTGGATATTGTTTATGTAGTCCGATCATTCAACATGAATAAATCTAACCGTAACTTAATTTTTGTCATCTTTTTTGAGATTATATCTAAACTTAGAACCATTAAAAAAACCTTTTTTAACAAATTACCTAAAAAGTCAACCTTAATAGACGGTATCAGCAAAAATTGGCGATTTTATGGATTAAATTGATCGGAAAATAGCTAAAGAGCTTTAATTGTTGGTTCAAATAGGACTCATTTAATTGTTGCTATCGTCAATATTAAAAAAGGTATAAATGGTGTTTAAAATAAACGGGTTGGCTGATGCATAAAAGGCTGACTGACTGATCACATGATAGAGCAAGATCACGTGATCCTATCCTTTGAAAGACAAGATGAGATGTTGGAAAGTGTCTTTAACCTATTGATTTATTTGCTTCGATTATTCTAATCTATTTATTTTTTAATTAAATTTTCAAGTAAAACGCGATCATGTTGATGGACTGAGATTTGCTTTGTGTATCATGCCTTTGAGAAAGAGGCGGAAATCACGAACAAGCTCAGAATCATCTGGTCTTGGCCAATGTTTCATTTGTTTGCGCCAAGACTCAAATGAATCTTTGATTACTTGTCAATTGTGTGCCAATCAATTTCATTCTGTGAAATGTCTTCGTATGTTACCCAATACTGTTAACAGAATTCGATCTAATCAATGGTCCTGTCCCAAATGTAAATCCTGTGAAATTTGTGGACGTAAGACAAGAGCCTTACGGAGTGCAGCTGAAAACAATTTACTTCTATGTAAAGGATGTGATCGAGGATTTCATAGGAATTGTATCCAAACCGAGGATGGTATTAATATAGAGGATGAGAAAAATTGGCATTGCCTGAATTGCGAAGATGATCTATCACCTTTAAATGAAAACGATTCATCTGATGAGGTATTTTAAATAGAGTGCTCTTTTCCTACTCTGTTCTGTATGTTATGTGTATGAAACATTTTCCCGCAAATTTGATGGGAAAATCGCGATGATGTCAAATCTGTCAACTCCTATATCAACTCAATACAAAGATTTAACTGCTACAGAGAAAGAATTATTCTGATTTGAAAGCAAATTTTTATTAAAGAAATCATTTTTCCATTTAATTTTTATTTTCAATTCACAGGTTGACGAAAACATCTCAGAGAGCTCGGATGAAGATGAAGATAACAAAATCGAAGCTGATGAAAGTGACAAGAGTGGTGAAGAAAGTGCTGAAATCGAGCCAGATGAAATAGATAGTGAAAAGGAGGATGAGGAAGAGGATGAAGAAGACGAAGAAGAAGATGATGAAGAAGAAGAGGATGGCAACGAAGAAGATGAGGATGAAGATGAGGACGAAGAAGACGATGATGATGAGAGCGAAGATGATCAGTACGAAGGTAGCGATGAAAGACCTCAACCTCGTCTTACTCGTTCAAAAGCAGCCGCTGAGCGGTCTGAATGTGACAAAAATTCTGAAATTCAAGGTATAGAAGATGTTAAAATTTTATTCTATTTATTTATTTCTATTCTATATTTCTATCCTCTAATTGAGTGGATTTTGAAAATCTTGAATGGGATCTACTTTATATTATCCAAACTTATCCAACATTGAATCACCCAGAACGATAATTTTTTATTTTAATCTCTACCAGCTCTTCACGAGGAAACAAATATTGAAGATGATAGTGCCGATTCTGGCAGTGATAAAGCATCGAAGATATTGCCGCCTAAAGGAAAAAGAGGACGCAAGCGTAAGAATGGGCTAACCCCGAGTAATCTTTTAACACCAAAGAAAGTAAAAAGTGAAGATGAAAATAGTCGTAATGAGGAAGAAGAAGCTCAATGTCGTGTGCCTGGATGTGATTCCAAAGGACATTTGAGTGGCAAATATTCAACTCATTTCACGTCGTCGACCTGTCCCGTATTTCATAACTTATCACACGAAGAGTGTGAAGATAGATACCGAAACCGTCTAAGGCGGAAAGATGCCCGTGAATCAAATCAAAAAGTATCAACACGGAAATCTCCTTACAAGGATGAAAAACTTAATTGCCTGATAGAACAAAGAAAAAAAGAATGCAATCAAATTGCAAATGGACCTAGTATAAAAAAGAACAACTCTTCACATTCGCTAACATCGCGTGAACCTGAATTGAAATCATTGGCTCCTATTTTTGATTATGAAATGTTTAGAGAAGCTCAAAGTCGAGCAGCTGAGCTGATGCAAGAACAAATGAAAGAAAATCCTCCCAAAAAAACTGGCATCAAAACTATTGAGATGGGCAAATATGAAATGGATGTTTGGTATTCATCTCCATATCCTTCAGATTATGCTTGTCTACCTAAACTCTACATCTGTGAGTTTTGTCTAAAATACTTCAATTCATCATTGACCATGAAAAGACACTCTTTAAAATGTCCACTACATTGTCCTCCTGGCAATGAAATTTATCGCAAAGCTAATATCTCCGTGTTCGAAATTGATGGGGAGAAAAATAAGCTTTATTGCCAAAATTTATGTTTGCTGGCAAAACTATTTCTTGATCATAAAACTCTTTACTATGATGTAGAGCCATTCAGATTCTACATCATGACAGAATCAGATAATGATGGTTTTCATATAATTGGCTATTTTTCTAAAGAGAAAAACTCTTTTCTTAACTATAATGTTTCCTGTATATTAACTCTACCACCATACCAGAAACAAGGATTTGGTCGTATGCTTATTGATTTTAGTAAGTATTCATCTTGTTTCTTATTTATTTGTTTGCTATTCAACCAATAACCACCAACTTTCTTAATTTTTGTTTAGGTTATTTGTTAACTCGAGTTGAAGGTAAAGTCGGCTCACCGGAAAAACCGTTATCTGATCTTGGTTTAATCTCATATCGAAGTTACTGGAAAAACGTAATACTTGAATATCTTTGTAATTATCAAGGAAGTGAAATATCAATCAAAGATTTAAGTCACGAAACAGCTATAAATGCATATGATATCGTTAGTACATTACAAGCTCTCGGAATGCTGAAATACTGGAAAGGCAAACATCTCGTTCTTACCCGAAAAGACATTCTAGATGATTATAAAACTAAAAACAAGAAAAGGAAAAATACTAAAGCAATTGATCCGAGCTGCTTAAAATGGACACCACCAAACAGTTCTAATTCAATTAAATAATTTTTTGAATTTCAAGTAATTTGAGTAATTACTCTCGATTCATCAAATCAATTGGTTATTTAAGTCATCTAACTTCATCACATTTCGTTTCTTTTTTTTCATCATCATATTTCCTTTTAATAAAACTATCAATTTATATGACTGTAACTACGGCTATTCTAGCATCTTCATCATGTTAGTTTCATCCAACTGTTATTCAAACAAATCAAAATTGTCATAATTTTTACTCATCATCACCCACAACATTTATCCTGATTAATTTATTTAAACGACTTCACATATTCCATGTTAAAGTGAATTTGTGATTAATAAGCGTGTCAATTACAAAATAATTAATCAACAAGGTTCATTAAATCGAATCCTAATTTATAACTTAAATTGTAATACTAGTTTTTCATTTAATATTGGCTACAATCGCGATTAGATATATTAACAGTTGTAAATTTGATTTTGATCAAGCATTTATTAGTTTAACTTTTAGCTTTTCTGTTAGACTATCAAAGGCATATATAAATTACAAATGTAAATGCAAATCCAACATTGATAAGTTCATTTTTTGATGATCATTAAATAGTGTATTAATGATGATTATTTAACAGAGATCAGAATAAGTTGCATAAACTTAATAACACAATAAATTGAATATTATAATGAAGCCATTAAGGAAGAAAGTCCCAAAAATAATGTCGATTTCAAGAGGTAAACCCTTATTAAAATAAGATTTCCATTCGATTTACCCAATAATCATTGATTAGTTCCCAATAGCAGTTTGATTTTTGTAGCTGGTTGTATTTTTTTGTGTTAAAACAAAACCCAAAAAGATTAACCTTTGGTTTGATTGTTTCGCTTTAGACAAAATTTTCTCAATTTGTCATTTTTATTAGTCAAATGAGTCAATATATTGCCAAGTGAAGCAATCAACTATCAAGGCTTAATCTTTTACTTTGGCACCATGTGAATTCAGACGGCGTTTGTGTGTTTTCATGTAAACATGAGTAGATTATAGGATTTTGGCACTTTTGGAATTGAAGATGAAGTTTACCAATCAATAAAGCGTTCCGATAATGGCATTTACAGAATATCTTATTCAATGCAAAAATATTCAAAAGTTTAGCTTCGACAACCACAGATGGCGCTTAATCAAACGATTTTGTCGTCCAAAAATTAAATGTGAAAACAATTGATGTTGTATGCATTAAATAAGATTTAACTGTGTTCAAAGAGAAATATTTCATTACGCTTCGAAATTATTGTATTTACTGTGATAATGACAATGAAACCTTTTTTTGGTGATGATGATTGGTGAATTGTTGATGAATTTAAGCTCGCTTTAAAGATGATCCAGCAATCTCATTTTGTGAATAATAGTTTCGACATTCTGGTACTGAATCAGGCCAAATACAAATCTGAGTCTCTGGATCAAAAACAGTTTCGTATGGACAATTGTAATCGTATTTGTAAAATCGGGTTCCCATTTCAACACATCTGTAAAACTTTGCACAGTCCTTAGGATTACGGAACATTCCAGATGATTTACAAATAATTTCTTTCTCGTTGCCCGTCTCATTTTCCTTGTCCGATGGACTTGATGTTGAGGGTTTACTTTTGGCCGGTTCGGTTGTTTTCGTTGTTGTTTTCATCGTCGTGGTTGTTGTTTTTGGTGATGATGTGACTGTTGATGGAGAAGCAGTTGATACAGACCATGAAACAGTTGATGTTGCTTTTGGAGTTATAGACTTCTTCTCGGTGATCTCGGGTTCATCTTTAATATCAGGAATGTAACAGTTACCAGATTCTAGTTCACTTTTTATTGCTTTGATTAAAGGGAATTTAGTTTGACCACAAGTACCAAGGAAGTCATCTGTTTCAAGAGACCAAACCATTCCTCCAGCCAATCCCATTTGATTGATCAAACGAGTTTTCAAAATGATGGACTCAACATCATCATAACCAACCCATTGTCGACCAGAGTAAGCATAAGGGGCCATTATATGAGGATCACGAACAATAGTCCAAGATGTTTTCTGTTGTGATTCACATATCTAATAAAGAGTAAAGGATGAAGAACCAGCAGATTAAAAGTGTGAAAAACAAATGCAAATGATAACTCTAACCTCGTTGTATCCTAAAGAACCGGCTTCTCTAGTATAAGGTCCTGCTTGACCTTTTTGTGGCGCTGGCTCACCTAAACCGTTATCCTGCTCCTTTGCTAAGGTGAATGATCGACCGTACGTTGCCATACCCATGACCAGTTTTGATTTAGATGCTCCTTGAGAAAGCCAATAATTAACTGAAAAATTCTGATTATAAGGAAGACAAATGTAATCATTAGTTAGGATAAGCCATAATAATTTCAAGGCTCACGTTTGTTGCGAAAGAATCAAGTATTTGATACTCGGTACCAAATTCAATCAATTGTGTTCATTAAATTGGTGAGAACCAAAATATTGAATAAACATTTTTTTCATTATCAATTTGAAATGCAATTAAATTGGGTTTGCAAATTTCAAGTCAATATCAACATCAAATGGCTCAATAAAGATGTACGAAATATAATCTATCCATCAATTTACAACGGTTAGATTTATAAAGTTTCCACTTCGCCTTAACCAACAAAAAACTCAACAAGCTCACCAGTTGCCAATTTTTTCAATTGTGATAAACGATTACTTACGACATTATTCAACCTTTCATTGGCAACTTCACTTGGCCTTGCATATAACGGTGCATTATGACCAGTTTTGTCCTCCCAGCCTCCATGGTAATCATAGCACATTACATTAATGTAATCAAGATATCTGTCAATCGGATGGTTAAAGGGTCAATAAAAATTGATGGCGATTCTGTTAAAGTCTACTTACTCAGAAACTTTTGGAACATCATAAGCTGGATCAATGTTCCATTTTCCAGCTGAAACAGCCGCAGTCAATAGGTAACCTTTGGGTTTGAAAGCTTCTTTAAGATCCTTCAATAAGAGGGCAAAGTTTGACCTGTCTTCGGGTTTACCACCTCGAGAAGCTGGATATTCCCAATCAACATCGAGTCCATCAAAGTTGTACTTTTCCAAAAAGGCTAAAACTGATTGAACAAAGGTCGATCTCGCAGATGGATCAGCAGCCATACTTGAATATTTAACTGAACCTTCATTCCAACCTCCAATGGCAATCAATGTTTTCAATTTTGGATTCACTTTTTTCAAATTGACAAACCTAATGTATGCACCTTTACCATAATTATCGGGCAAATCATTCCATGGATCCAAGGGTTTAATTGCTTGATTGCCCAAACCAGCAAATGAATAGATGATATGAGTACACAAGAAGGGGTCAATATTTTCAACGGCAAATTTACCATTACCAGGTCGATAGACAGCCCATGATCCGTAATAACATATCAACACTTTATCTGTGACAGACAACAAAACAGATTAGACTTGGTAACCTAAAAGATGCGCTCAAAATTAATTACCTGAATCTTTTGGTGGATTGTCAGAGTTATTTGCCTCTGTTGTCGTTGTTTTTGCTGTTGTTGATGGCTTTGGTGTTGTTGTCGTTGTCGTGGTTGTCGTAGTTGTGGTTGTAGTTGTAGTTGATGTTTCATTTACCTTAGAATCGGGAATTTCTTCCCTTTCATGGGTTCCTTTTGGCTTATCAGTTGATTTGTTGATTGAAGTATTGTTATTGTTGTGGTTACACGCGATACAACTTGCAATGAACAACAAGGGTAAAGCAAACAATAAACATTGATGAAAATTGAATAGCTGCATCTTTATGTGTTAATCAACTGTTCAATTGAAACTGAACCAGCTATTGACTGAAATAATGAAAAAAATAATTTAAGTAAACACTTTATGCTAAAACAAATGTTAAGGCTGTTTTTTTGCTTCCATCGATTATGTTTTCAATGAAATTAACCTTAACTAATGTTGATATCAACCTTTAAATACGTTTTACTCACTCATTTTCATCGTTCATTTTTTTCCTCATCTCTTTCATTGAAAAGATGAAGATGACCGCTCAATAAACTCTCACTATTCATTTCTCCCTCAAAAATCTTATTCATCATCTCAAGAGAAGGATAAGTCAAGATGACTTTCTCTTCCGTCTCATAATCATCCTCTTCTTTCATCGTTTTCATCTAAATTTTCTTCCTCTCTCTCTTCCTCTCTCCAACACAAACCCTCTCTGTCTAAAGGGCGACAGGAAGAAAAGCTTAGGAATGATCATCCTCATCTTTACCATCATCTTCATCAGGTATCTGAACCTTTACTTTCATGAGGCTATTCAACTTTGGGCGATACATTTTTGTCTTTAAACGTTTCAAGTAACGGTGAAAATAACTGATCATCTAATCATTTTCATTTACTATTCATTAATTGCTTCAGGCGTTAACTTCACTTCCCTTTATCTTCCTACCTTGAAATGTTAGTTAATGAATATTTCAATCTTACCTCATCCCAATTGGAATCATTTGTTTAGCTAATTTCGGTTAAATTTGATATCTACTAAGCAATACATTCAAGTGTACAACTTGTCACCGGTTTTTGGCTTTTATTTGATTTATTTGGCCCATTCATTGTAACATCCATTTGTTAATTGCTTTCATTTAATCAGTGTAAACGTTTTACAAGATTTATTAGAATATTTGGTTTCCTTTCATGTAAACAATCATGATCTTGAAATCATCTATTTTGTCAACAATTTTTAGGAAGTGTGCTTTTACCCGGAATAGAATCCAGAAGTAAATTATCTACTCAATCGTTGAACTTTTAATAACACTAATTGTCTACTGATTATGCAAATAATTGTCGACTTCAAGTTCAACCTTAAAACCAGACAGATAAATAATAACCGCTTTCTTTGAGTCTAATTTTTGGTCAATAAATTACACAAAAAGCTGCTTTATCAACAACCTTTCCTGCTTTCAGTTGATTCAATGGCACTTCAAATAATCTCTCAAAAAGTCTTTTGTGGTTGAATTTCATCAACTGAACTGATGACTGCCATCAATTATCATTTATTATTATTTATTTATTTAGTTATTTATTCAAATCACTATGAATTATAAAATAAACAGACTTGTTGAATGAACATCTCACAATCTTGTTAGTTGCTGGATTCAATCAATTTACAGTAAAGAAAGTTGATCAAATCGGAATGTTGTCAAACAGTGCCATTGAATTTTGCAAAAGTATTCATGATGGTTTAGAAAAATAAACTACACTTCAAGCAATTAAATAAATTGCAATCAAAACCATCTTCACTCACTTTGTCAGTAAAGTTGTTTTCACAATTTAAAAATTCAATTTTTAAACACCGGATCGTAAGCGCCATCTTATGTTTTGCAGACAATTTAAAATTACTTTTAATGCTTGAAATTAAATTTAGGTAATTTAAGGCAACTAGGAACAACTTGAAAACACTCTTGTTGGTTCATCTTTGATATTGAATGAAAATTCATGTTTGATATCAAAATAGTTGCTAAACTTCATTGATTGATTATAAAATCTCAAGATCAGACACCAACTTAAATGAAAAAGAAACAATTTTCATTGTTCTGTAAAATCACAATGTACAATGTAATTGTGAAACTGATTGTCTGGAGCTTTACCAGCTTGCTGGGAACATTGTTTTGCTAATAAGCACCAAATTAAATTCTTGTATAGCTGAAGCTTCCTTTTAATTTTGAAAATTTTGTCCAATTTCATTGAATGTAAAAATAATTTAGTTTTATAAATCAAATTTTGAGATTGAAGAAAGCAGGAGAAAATATTGATCACTTTTTAATTGGAAGCATAAACTCGATATCTCTGAATGTATTGAATTTACCTAAATCCAGATAAAGTTTCAAGAGTATCCTAGGTTTTATCATTAAAATCAATTTTAACTCCATTCAATTCAAGGTTGCCTCGTTTACATGAACCTGATTGGGATTGCACCAGTTATTAAATACAATACTAGTACAGGAGTAAGTAGTATTAGTACAGGAGGGCTTACCCTGAGTAAGCACTACTGTATGTTGTCCTAACTTCGGGACATCGAGATTCGAGCGCTAACCCCACGGTAAAGATTACAAGATATGAAAAGGAGGATGTAAAGATGAATAGGGAAAATAAGGATTTATTTTGCACCATTTTTTTGTCTTTTTTATTTTAAATATGGAATCAGCAATGCTGTCAATTGTGGCTATGATATAAATATCATTGTGCGTCCCTATCTGGAACATGGTTAAAATAAGGACGCAACGCGATCCACCTAATTTTCATGAGGTTTGGGTATTTCGTACCATTTTTTCTCGTTTTTTTATTACCAATATGAGATCAAGCAAACATGAAAACAAACCTAGATCACTAAATTATAACTCTCAGTCATGAATCTCTGCGTTCCTCAATCCTCAAATTCCTTTGTTTTTTTCGTGAATATCTTTTGAACGTTAACTCTGACTAAAAAAATGATTTATTAATATTAATAATATATTATTGAAATCAGCATAAAAAATACACAAGAAAAAATTATTGTGAAAGTGAGCGGCAACTAGGCAACTTTTGACATCGTCCTTACCAGTAGAGATGGCAGCTCTTTTCCTAGCTCAATCTTCAATCAAAAAAAGATTTAAAAGTGAAGCATAAGGTTGACCGGAATGACAAGATTGGTTCGAACCGAACTATGAATTTTTTCATTTTCTTGCATCTGTTGACTCAAATGATTGAGTTGAGACCAAAATTGTCAAATTTCTATCAGTTTTTTGGTTATTTTTATTTTTTAGACCAGTCAATCTTTCGCGAGTACTCGAACCTTTAAAAGGTCAAGCGCAATCAGATCGGATGGGCAATAGTCGATTTTAGCTCAGATCTTAGCTCTCAAAGATCGATATTTTTCTGAAATCTCTAATTAGCAGTCTTAAAAATGCTAACTATTAGACTAACATTAAATCAACAAAACTGACAATGGCGACACTTGAAAATCAACTGAAAGTCTGGCCCTTTTTGGTTGACTCGACTCTGACTATAGATGTATTGAATTTTCAATGATTAAGTGAACATTGAAATCTTTGCTTGGCCAAAAGATAATCCATAACTAAATTTACAGCATGCAGCTTACAGCACTGTAGTAAAGTCTTGACCAGCCTTGATACCACAGTTGACCTTTCAGTGTAAATAGCTTTGACCTCAGCTTCAGTGTAAAGGATACAGATGATAAGATTTCAATTATTCAACACTATTCATTGAGTTTGTCCAGATTTGATGATTTGCTTATGAAATGGACAATATTGAAAATTAATCCAATTGTTGAGTGAAAATTAGCTTTGACAAATTTCCTTCAATGTGCCTGAAAAACTGGCATATTTTTGCTAACAATTTTTAAACTGGCAACTGTGAAACATATTTTTGAACTCATTTTACTGCTTTGGTTTCTAGGGTTAGTCTGAAAAGTGAGTTGATTGGTCAGGTTTTAAGGGCTTCATATGAGTCTACAGTTTGAGTGACCTTGAAATAAGCAAGTGTACCGAACAAGCCTGTACCTAAGCTAAAGTACATGAGAACCTAGAAAGAGACGAAAAGAGTCAGAGAAGATCTTAGAGAGACTCAAGGATTTACGATTCTAAAACTGGTCTTGTTAACATATACCTGTTTACTTTCTTCTTTGGTCCACCTTTTCTTCTCATTTTACCTTCTTTAGATTCTTTGGTCCATTGGACTTATTTCATCCTCATTTTGGCTTCACCGGAACATTTCATTGCCCAGTTTGTCGCTTCCAATTCCTTTGGTTGTTAACAGTAAACTTTTTAGTGCGTATTTCAATCAAAAAATCATCTAACAATGCGTTGTGTACTTGTTTTGGTTTGTCTCTTTGCTCTACAAGGTAAGTTGATCAATTTCGTCTTTTTAATTAATACTCAACAATCGACAATTCAAAGTGATTAACATCAATTATCAACTCATCGGACTAAATTGCTTGTTATCCTCCATTAGCATCATGTTTCCCTCATGAAAGCCGACGTGAAGAAGAAGAAGCTAGAATTTTGTCTGAAGTTTGGGACGCAATGGACAAACATAGAGGAGATGACATAATTGTGGTTCCAAGACATGACGAGTCTGGTCCAAGTGAACATCATTCAAGTGAAAGTCATTCAGAGAGCCACTCAAGTGAACATTCTGAGGGTCCTCATGATGGCCCCCGTGATGGTCCTAGCCACTCTGAGCCTGAAAAATTACCAGAACCAGAAGCTCACAAGCAATCTGAAAGCTCAGAATCTTCAGAGAAATCAGAGGAAAGCAAGGAAAACTCATCTGAATCCAAATCAGAGGGTTCAGACAGATATCGGCCATTTGACAAAATGTTCGGAAATCTTGATAAAATTGGTGACATGATGAGTCGGGCTGTTGACAGATTGAGACAAGATGACCAAGAAATCAAGGATTTAGAAGCTGAAGGATCATCATCGTAAGTGTTTATCAAAGGTTAATTTTATACAATTTATTAATCTATTCATTACTTAATCCACAGAAATGGACTTACAGTTTTCATCTTGGAAATTGTTGGAGGCGTTGTAGTTGCTTTAATTGTAATCATACTCGTTGTGGTTGGATCAGTTAAAGGAGTAAACAAATTGAAGACATGGAGAGCAAGACGAGAATCAGCAAGATTAGTTGGTAATGATTTCTTATGATTTCAGTAATTAACTTAACCATTCATTAATCAAATCCAATGCCCAATTGTCAATGGTTTACCATGCTAGTTTAATAATCGGGTAAATAAATTGAAAATTGAAACTCTTTCCATTCGTATCTATTATATTTGATAACATTAGATATTTAATTTAATCCCAACCATTGAAAATTGCCTTAATAGTCTATTGAAATAAAATGAGTATTGGCTATACATTTCCAGCTAATTTACAGAATTAGGAATGATTATGTTTGTTTGAAATTAAAACTCAAATGAGACAGCCTTGAGCTAACTAGTTTAGGTAATCAAACAACTTTCATTTGGAATCAGGTTTTCTTACAGTTAACTTGACCGGCAACTTTCTCAGGCAGAAGCTGTGCTTTTGTTTAGACTCATCAATTTTGCAGAGACATGTAAATTGATATTTAATTTGTATTAATTTTCAACCTTCTATTATTCAACTAAATCTGTTTAAATTACGAAAGCTCTAAATTACAATATAAACTAATTTGTATCATTTTTCCCTTTCTCATTGTTTAAGATCAAGAAAATCCCAATATGGATGCAACTGGTTACCAAAGTGGTTTTAACCCATGAATTGAACCATTTGATTTCATAATTGATGAAATGACCATCAATCGGAATAGACCCATCATTAGCTGCCAACACAGTCTTATTTCATCTAAATTTTTACAATTTCATGATCATGATTTGTCTAACAACAATTTAATAACTTGAAATACATTTGAGTATTACTGGCTCAGTAAATGTATTTTATAATTTGATTGAAATGAATGTAAAATTTTGCTTAATAACATTTTTTTTCCTTAAAATTGAAATCTTTATTGAAAAATTTCCAAGTTGGAAGGTGAGTCGTTTTTAACATGAAATTAAAGTTGTTAAAATAAGCAGTAAGCGTCACTGTTATAAAATTTAAAACATATGGAGATTATCCAGAGTCAAGGGGGATTATTTCAGAGTTTTATATCTTTGAGAACTTTAGATATTTGTTCATCTGAGTCGTGATCTTTTCTTGTATGATCATTTAATGGCCAAACTAATCGTTCAATGTGATCTACTTTTCTTGGATGAGCTCTGATAAGGCCAAGATATTCCAAATCACCAATCGCCGAGATAAATCTTGCAAGTAATCCTTTTTCATCACATTTGGTTGCATCTTTTTTCGCTCTTTTTCTTGGTGAAACTCTCGTTTCATGTTGAGAAACAAATTCTTTGAAAGTATCATAGCACTTTTTAAGGTTGGCAACACGATATAGATCACAGTAAATTGAATAAATAATTGATATATCTGGAGATAAACGGTTTAAAGATTGGCAGCATTTACAAATAAATACTTTCTCTGGATTTTCCAAGGCGAAGAGAGTATCATGTCTTGTTGTTGGCATGCTTAATTGTTCAAATTGTCCAATGTCATTGAAGAAAAATATTTCATTGTATGGCAAATGAAGAGGGTTTGATATTTTATCGATTTCTTCTCTCAATAAATCGAGAAATTCGTCTTTCCATTTTTGAAATTTTCTAACAACTTTTGGTTTTTGTTGCGAAGCAATATAACTTCTCAATTGCGTGCGCGAAATTTTTTTGTCATAAGGACTGCTAACAATCCCATTCTGAGATCTTAGGCGAGAACGAAAACCGTTAGGATTGATCTCATTTTCGTGATTATCCTGTTGGTCATCTTGTGTTTTGGTTTCAAAATCTTTGTAATGTTTTTTCAGACTCGCAAATACAGTTGATTCAACACTATCTATATGTCTCGATAGATTATCCATCAATGAAATTATAGCCTCACTATCCAGTCCACAGAATCTATCACATATAGCATGGAAATCATTTCCATCAGACAGCTTTTCAGAGTCGAGAAATGGAATCCAAGTATCTTCAATGAATGTTAATTTTTTCCAATAAAACAGCGACTCTTTGAGTAGATGATAAAACTTTAATTCTGAGTAAATATCTTCTAAATGGTCCAGAAAATTTCTCAACTCTTTTTTTAGCTGAGATTTAGCTATTTTACTTTCCTTTGGAAAATTGCGTCTTTGTATGGAATCTAAATCTCGAATAGAGTTCAACTCGTCATCAGTCAAGGTGGACACTGTAGAGTCAATTTCATCAGGAGCACAGCATAATTTTGCGTATTTTTTGTTGTAAAAATGTTCAAAAACACAAAGTTTTACACGGCGAAAAGCACCGCTGAGTGATGTGTCCCATAATTTGTAAACGTTAATAAGATGCTTTAAAACTTTTGGTCCCAGCTTGAATGAAGTCTCAGTACTGAAACTTATATCATCGAGCAATAGATAAAAGAAGTCCTTAGTAGGTCGACAGGAGAAATTCTCAACCTTTAAATTATTAGTAGCTTTAGATGGTAAGCGCATGTTGAGTGCAACGATATCTGAAGATTGACAGCAAATCAATATAACGGGCATTTTCTCAAGGTTCTCGTGCATCAGCATAAAAAGGTCACTTAACAAAGTTTGGCTGATGCAATCGAAATCTTTAAATATCACAACCATAGGAAGTTTTGGGTGTATTTTTTCTGTAAAAAAGTATGAGAAAAGGATCAAGAATGAGAATTGAATAAAACTTCAAAAATCATTTAAACGGCTGAAATAATTACCATTGAAAAATTTGGCAGTCACACTGTAGAAACTGTAAGGAAATTCAACTCTATCTATTCCAAGATAATCTAGAATGCAATCTTGAACAAGTTTCACAAAATCAGGAATACTTCTCACATCGTCAGATGTAACAACCAATTGTAAACTTGTAATCTCTTCAATCTGATCGATTAGAAGATCAGAGAAGCTCGATAGATTATTGATATTTGCAGACATCGAGACAACAGCACATGGTGTGTAACGAAATGAAGAGGACTTAGCAATATCGTAGACTGATTTGTGCCTTATCACAAATTCTTTCAACTCGCCCAACAGCTGGTCGAAGACTTCCTTCTCAATGTTGGAATAAGTTTTATTTAGTTTAGATATATAATGATGGTAGGAATCGTCATAACTCAAATCACAGTCTATCTTGTTGGTTGTTTTTGATTTTCTTCTATTTGGTTTGATCACTTTGTAGGAATGAGCTGATGATGCGGCAGTGTAACTTTCATCGTTCATCTTGAAGAGGTAGTAAGTCTCGGATGTCTGGAAAGAGTAACAAAGAAAAAAGGTTTTAAAATGCAAAATTAGAACACGGAATGATATCAGAAGTAATCACGAAGCCCATAAAAGACTGTTGGTTAAAATTGTATATTAAAAAACATATAAAAATTAAAAAATGACTTTAAAAACAAGACCAACAATTAAAAATAAATTGACTCTCACATGTCAGCTGCGTTAAGCTAGTATCAAGATCCACAAGTATGAGTACTCTTAAATGGCGCTAAATAATCGATAGTTTCCTTTAAACAAATTTATGACGATTGATTAGACCATTTTATTCATTTTAAATTATCTCATAATGTTTCGATTAATTTTATTTTTGCCTTGGCAAATAAAGTTATCTGTAAATAAAAGATATTTATTACTTTAAAAACATTTTTAAATATTTTCATTTCAATTTTGGCGCCTTCTGAGCCAGAAGCACGTCACTAAGTTTAGGCTGAAAACAAAACATTTGCAAGCGAATACATCTGTTGTAAATACATTTTTTGTAATTGTGCTTGAAATGGCGTTTCCTAATCAAACTCGTATTGTTATTGATTGTGATTACTCGAAACAGTTTTGTGAATTATATTTCAACAAATTTGACAAATCTAGACATACCATAGACAGACTGTTCCACTCACAAGGAACCCTTCTCTGGGACGGAAACAACTTTAATGGCGCTGAATCAATTGCCAGCTTTTTGAAAAAATTACCAACCACAAGCTCTACAATTACCAGCATTGATGGTCAACCTATCCTGGACTTACCATTTTTCAATGGACAACAAATGATCCTCATCATCTGCATGGGTAAAATGACCTTTGGAGAAAAGAAAGTCGTCAACTTTACATCATCATTTACATTAATTGCGGAGGACAGTGCAGAAGGAAAGAAATGGAAAATTCTCAATCAAACATTCAGAACATTTTAATTTTGTACATGTATCAAATATAAATTGATTAAATATTTATTCAACCGTAGTTTCTCGTTTTTGTTTTTTTAAATTAAATAATAATTTATATTCCCTTTTAATAGAGTCCAAATTGGCCACCATGGCTGGAACATGATCTCGACAGCTTTCCGCAGATCTCATTTCCACTTTTTTAGCCAGTTCAACCCATGGCAACTCTGCCCGTAAATGTTCCTCAGATAGCTCATCTATGTCAATTTCGATAAGTTCCAATATACCTTGAACTAGCTTCATAGTTTCCTTTGGCTGCCAGTAGCCTTTTTTGAATTCTATCCCCTTGTCGAGATCTACATGAGTTTTGATAATTTTTTGTACAGCACGTGGAGCACAATCGTAAGTATATCCTAACTTTGAAAACATATTTTTACATTTTTCCATAGATTTGGCAGTGTTAATAATTTCCTCTTTTTCCGATTCAGTGAGCTCACTTTGTTTTCTGAATGGATGAAGCAGTTTCCGAGCACGATGATACACAGCTGAGATTAAACGATTAGGTAACCCTCTTGCCAGCCAATAATAAAATCCCAAGTTCTTGACGTACTCCTTGGCTTTACGGTATTCCGCAACATGTTCTTCATCTTCAACAGTAAAACCAAGTAATGCACAGCGAGTTATCTGGTTGTCAGTTAGCTCATATTGTTCACAAAATCTGGCAAAGTTACGTTTTATCTTTTTGTCTTCTTTCTCTGTAAACATTCCCATTAGAATCTCAATATCGTATTCCTCGGCAAACGCTTCAAGAGCCTTTCTAGATGGTTGTCGCACACGCGGGAAACATAGATGTAGTTTAGGAATCTGCTCGCTATTCTGGCCATCATCTTCATTTGTCTCCATACTGTCACCAGACATTTTGCAGGTTGATTTTCAATAACAAGTCCAAAAATGATTAAACCTTAAGTTTCAAAACAAAAATACAAGTTTTGTAGCTCTAAAGGAAGAATAAGAATTAGTATTCTATTAACTACGCCTATATAATTTAAAGGGTACTTACATTTTTTTGTAGTCAGATCTTTCTTCTCTTCGCATAAACCCTTCCACGTCGATTTGTATATCACACGCATTTTAATTTAACAATGTTTACAAAAAAGTCATGTTTAAAGCGTGATATTATTTACAAATTGGTTTGCTGTTTTGGAAAAAACGGTTTAAAAAGAAAAGCGCCAAGTTTAAAGTGAAATCTAATCTAAAATCTAGAAATATCTTTAAAGCTGAAGTGATGAAAAGATGTATTGCTCTGTTTATTTGGATTACAATAATGACAAATTGAAATAGATGCCAACAAAATATGAATTATATTTGTACTGGGATTTGACAGTTAATTATTATTTGACCAATAATTGATTAAACCAGTAAATCAGTGAAGATAATCTCAACTCTATAAATAAGCAGATTAACAATGTGGTTAAAGAGTCAACATAAAAATACATACATTTAACTTTGTAGGATGAATATAAATAACAATTAATTATCCTAGTCATTAGCATAATCACACTCAAATTTTTGCAGTTTCTATGCCTATTATCAATTGCTAGTTTATCCTTATTAACAGAAAGTCAACTCACTGGCAAATGTTTATTCAAAATGAATTATTAATGTATTCATCTTGTCATCAACTTTTTATTCAAAATGAATGTTCTGTTTAACAGGACGATTTCAGCACTTTACATGAAACCATTGATGAAACATAAACCGTAAATTTCATCATTTAACTCTACAACATTAATATCACAACACGTAACTAAAAATTGACAGCAAATTGTTACATTGAATTAGATTTAATATAATGTTAGTGTGTTGTAAACATACTAGATGGCCTTACTGTGGGCTATACATTCATTTGTTTTTTCAAATGAAAAACATTTCTTGTTAAAAAAATGTCTGATCTTTCAATTTGATTTGTTTTTCAATTTACATTCAACTACAGTCACCTACCAGATACTGCACCTACCAGATAATGCACATAAATTTTTCAATGGTCCCTCAAAGGAGGTTAGACGTCATTTGTTTACATTTTACATATGTATTTTTTCTTGTAATATGAACAATGCCTTTGAGGAATCTTACATTAAATGAAAGAAATAAGTTAATTAATAATGTTCAAATTGATAAATTTAAAACAAAAGATGCTGAAGTCAAGTTTAAAGTGTCCAGATGGACAGTGTCAAGATGTTTAAATAATTCACAAGAAATTGATGAAGCTGTACAAAATGGACTAGGAAAGAGAAAGAGGTAAGACAATTTTTTTGTTCCAATACCAGCGACAAGTTGAATAATTATTTTTTTTTCTTCTCTTTTTTCCAGATTTGAAAGAAGACCGGAAGTTTTAGATCATGATGAGAGAGTCAAGAAATGGATATTGTCATGTCAAGACAAAGGTTTACCTTTGTCAGCTACATTGATTATTGAATATGCCAAAGAAGAGGCAGAAAATATGGATCGAGATGATCTGAAATGTTCATGGTCTTGGTTTTCAAGGTTTAAAGAAAGAATTAATTTGAAATTAGGAAGGACCAATGGTGAAAAAAAATCGGTGAATTTGAAAATAGTTGAATATTGGAAAACCAATGTTATCCCAAGGATCATGATTGACTGGCAGTCAGAATTTATTTATAATTGTGATGAGACGGCATTATTTTGGCGACAAATTCCTGTCAAGACATATTTTATCAGTAAACTTGACCATTCCGGAACCAAAATATTTCATGAAAGAATAAGTATTTTATTTTGCGTTAATCGCAATGGTGATAAATTACCTCCTCTAGTCATCAACAAAGCCAAAAAGCCACAGTGTTTTTATGCAAATTGTCTTGACAATTTGTTCATACAATTTTCTCATCAAACTAATGCGTGGATGAACAAAGAGCTTTTCGTTGAATGGCTAACTACTTTTCATAATTCACTGGCGGTCGAAGGAAAAAAGATTTTACTAATTCTTGACAACTTCAGAGGCCATAGAATTGTAGAAAGTGATTTTCCTCTAATTACATTTAAATTTTTACCTTCGGGTACTACTTCTTTGACACAGCCCCTTGATGCCGGTATTATCCGCTCATTTAAATCAAAATATCTATCTCTATTTGTAAGAAAAATTATTTCTGAAATTAATTCAACTAAACATATCACTGAAATAGTCGGTGCATTTAATTTACTTGATGCCTTAAACTGGCTTGATACTGCTTGGAAAAGTGTATCAAGCGAAACAATTGTTAATTGTTGGACCCACTTTGGTTACAAAGTTGACAGTCAACCAATTTATGATGATGATGATGGTACAAATAATCTATCTCATTTGTTAAATAATTTAACTATTGAAACTCAACCAAAGCATATTTGTTGGTGTGTTGTAAACATACTAGATGGCTTTACTGTCGGTTATACATTCATTCGTTTTTTCAAATGAAAAACATTTCTTGTTAAAAAATGTCTGATCTTTCAATTTGATTTGTTTTTCAATTTACATTCAACTATCTTCATCTCGTCACTCAATTGTGTTCATTAACTAATCAACTTACAAGCATTGTGTATCTTCTTGAGTGTTTACGTTATTAACTAATCTTTAATTGTGAATCATTTGTTTGATTTTTAACAAGCATCTTTAACACAATGTTTAATATGGTTGATATGGTTAAGTGAACGCGAAAATTTTCTAATTGCTTTTTAAGGTAGTAATTAAGGTTACTTGCTTGATTGAAGCTAATGACAAGCTTAATGAATTATTTTTGTCGTTATTGTGTACAATTAAGTTGATAAGCGAATTAAGTATTAACAAGATTCAGTATGATATAAATACTACTTGTTGACTTTTTTGGTGTAACCAAAATTGTCCTCTCATGTCTATACTGTAATGAATATGCTTTGAATGTGTGTGTTTTACCAGTCTAATGATGTCAATTGGAAGAAGAAAAAGATTCAGGATAAATTGGTTTATAAAACATGATCATCTAAATGAAATTTACTTTTTCAATTAAACGGTAAAAATTTTATTTAACCATCGCGAAATGATAATAATTGGAAAGCCTTGAGGTAATAATGTTTAACATTTAAACTGGAATCAGGAAAACTGAAATGAAAAATGAAGAGTTGACTTATTGTTATTATTGATAAATTGCTTCACTTATAATCACGATGTCTTCATGTTGACTCTTTTTGTATGTCACTTCAATTCAGTTGATACTTCAAGGTTGTGTATCGTTATATAATAATGATTGTAATAATGATTACAATCAAAAAGTTGAAATTTTCATCAAAACATTAATTTGATGTGAATTTGTATAAACGTGAAAGTGCAATAGTAAAGAAATAAAAAAGTGAAACCATGAGAAGTGAGATGAAAATCAGTGACAGATCAATGTAAATGTTAACGTTAATGGTAAACCAGTTTAACAAGTAAATTGACAGTGAAACTAAATCCCAATCAGCTGAACAGTTGCCATCATAAAAATTCACACTTTTATTAATTAATCAAGCCAATTAAAGCTTCACAATTACATTCTGAAAACACCTAAACCTAAATCAACCCAATTCAAGCAACTTGTCAATCAGACATTTCCATCTCTAATTAGCAACTTGTTTAATGTAATTTTTTCCTGTTTAATATGTTTTCCTTCCCATTGTAAATTAATAACCAATAATAAAACAAGGTTTGTCTGAAAGTTAATCGATTGATCATTAAACACAATTTATGAATGCAAAACACTAAATTTTTGTGTAAGCATTGCTGAAAGTATTGTCAGAGAAATGAATTTACACAGCCTGAAAGCCATGGTTGAACCACACGAAAAATAGTCACAGCTTAATCAGAATTCAGGTTACTGAGAAAATCATGTTAGAACAGGGTGGGGAATGAAGAATCCGTATTTTAAATTGTTGAGTCTGGGGGAAAAACATTTTGGTTATTCAGGTTTATGGTTTGTTGGATTAGGAGTTTATGTAAAACTGAGTTGAGTTAAGAGTAAAGAGTCAAGAGTTAGGTGAAAAAATCTGGTTGTACAAAAGGATAAGTTTCAAATTAGAACCCAATTTAGCAAAGATTTTCTATCAGGGAAATATTTTGATTGAACACAATTTTATACCCTAGCAATCATCAAAGTATCAACAATCAACTCGAAAAAAGTTTAAAGAGTGTTCAAGGAAAGGCTTTTCACCCCAAATTGAATCTTATCAAAGTGACTGATCATCAGCCATGATCGCAGCAGCAACAAAATTTTGTGTCAAAACGGTTACTAAACGGAAAGGGTGTTAAAACCAAATTTGATGGGCATGATTGAACTACAGCGACAAATGAGCTTTATCTTTGAGCTTTCTAGGAACTCAGATTCCTAAGAAAATCATCACAGTGGGAATAATTCGTATTCTGAAGCATTGGGAATGGGTAAAAATTATTTTGTTTAGTTTGATGAAGTTATGGTTTACTTTTTGATATTTAATAAATGCAAAAACTCTGATTTTAAAGTTGAGAGTTGCGACCTAATGGCCTTTTAGCGATACAGGAACTAAATCCATTTGTGAAATGTTTCTCTGATCGAAGCTTTTTGGTGAAATCACTTTCAAAATTCAAACTTTGATTGCCTTTTTTGTTGAACCAGATTTTATTTTATAGCTTTTCTCATTGACGATGGTTTTTGATTGCGAATGTAAATCTTTTAAATGTGTATTGAATTTATTCTGATCAGTGGACAGAAATTATCAGTCATGATCGCAGCCTCTAGTTGTGTTTAAAGTGCTACTAATCAAACTTGTAAAGTGGTAGCAATTGAATTTCTTGAGGCAAAATAAAATGCGAATAAAACACAGCATTTACTGATTATTATAATAATAATTATTTCAAGAATTAAACTGACATCATCACTTATCATCATCATGCTCATCATTATCTTATAATAATCATAATCAACGTCAGAATCAAAATAAGTCATGTCCAAGGTTGAACCCGAAATCAATTTTCACTTTTTTCAAAGCGCTACTTATAAATGGTAAAATGCATTGAAAGATCAAACAATTTAAACAAATTCACCAATCCACCAATCAAATTACACGTTATAGTTAAAGGTTTTCAATGTTGACCAGGCAACACTTGATTAGCTAAAATTTCAATTATCCATGAATATTAAATGTTTAAAAAAAGAGCAACACATTTTTTTGCATTAAAACATGAGTTTCTGGTTGAAATGTAATTTTCTCAGCTTTCTTTTGCAATTGAAATTGCCATTTAACTTTCAATAAGAGAAACAAAAAAAAAGATTTTCTTTCAAATAATCAACCTTGAATACGTTTTCAGAGTTAACCAGCATTTGAATCAACGTTTAGAGCGTTTAAATTTTAACATTTATCAAGTAAATTCATTGGCATTTTTCAAGTCTGTAATAAACATCAACTTTTTCTGATTCCGTTTGATAGTGCATTAAGAGTTGATTCAGCTGATTAGGTTGAATAATCTATACACTATATAAAGTCATTGTAAAGATTTCATGATCGCACCAGTTTCTTGTTCATTTAATAATGAAGATTCTCCTAGCGCATAAGATTTGTGTTTAGTAACCATTCAACTTCATGAATCAAGTCGCAAATCTGACAACACAAGTAATACAATGCTATAACTTTTTTCAGAATCTTGATTTAATATTCCAATATTCATAGCCCATAATGAAAGAAACAACAAATACGTCAATTTTTATCATAGTTACTCTCTATTAGACTATGGAGTTATCTTCAAAGTTTACCATTACTAACATACACATTAGTGCGTCTCTAAAACAATAAAACACCAAAGATGGTTTCATTTAAAATTGCATCAAGTTAAACCCTAATTTTTGCGTCAAGTGCAGTTACACTGGTAGCAAGTTAATGTCAATGGTTCTATTTATCTGCATAATTGACTGTAAATTCATGTTTTCACGTCAAAAGTTGATAGGATGGCACTTGATTCACAATTTGATTTTATACAATTGTATTGGATTTGCCATCAAACTAATTTTTCTGATTTACTTTTCTCTAACCAGAAACCAGAAAATTGCATTTGGAAGGCAATGTACGATTTCTTTCGATTTTCAAGTCAAAGTCGATTTGAAACTTATTTCTTATTAAAAATGGCTGACGAATATGAACGATATTTTTTCGAGCTATCGAACAGACCTCTTGCAAGTAAAGTTTTTTCCCTTATTCCTTGTTTTATCTGTTAGACACTCTTCTTCCAATTTTCAAAGACAATTAAGATTTTATTCAAGATATAACAATTGTAATATGCAGAGTCAAAACAGTAAACAATGCAAACAAAGCCTTTCACGTCACTAATCATGAAATAAACCACCTCGGAACATAATCAACTCTCTAAAGGTGACTTTAATAAAAAAGATGAACATAAAAGCTCGAATTAACACAACATTGCTCTCATATGTTTTAATTGTACCAAAATGTTGACTTGATTCAGTTGTGACTCTTTAACTAACAATTTAAATCACTTTGTTTAAATTCGTTACTGTTTTCCATAATAATTGTTAATCCTTTTACTGGTTCTTTTTGTTTTACTCTGTACTGATGAACAACATGGCAAGTAAACCAGATCTCGAGATGAAAACCAACTCGGTATTGCCAACAATCATGGAATCCAAAGCTAACGATAATTTCCCGAAACCTTGCATTCCGACTAGGTTTTACATTGCCTTTATGACTGCATTAACAGCATTTGTTATGTTTGCGGTTCGTAATTGTTTGAGTGTTGCGATAGTTTCAATGACTGAAGATAAATCCAATTTGAACAAATCAACTTCATATTTAGTGGTTGACAGCAACAATTCAATTACAATCAAACCAGTGCATGAAAAGGTAAGTTATGATAAAATTAGTCAATGTTATTAACAAATATCAATATTAAACACTTTGAATCTCAATATTTATCAATTGCTTAAAGCCTTTATTGTGATATTAATGTAATGATGAAGATCTCATTTTAAATAATGTCAAATTATTGAAACAGAAATCAAATAAACTCATATTTATTTAATTATCAAATCATCTATTTTACTATCTACGTTATACCAAAACTAATTTACGACTTAATTCACAATTAACTGCTACTATCTTATTTATGAGTTATTGCAGCCTTTCATTTCCCTCGTTCATTAATTAAAACATATTGATTTATATTTATACGATCCCTTAAGAAGAGACAGTTATTTACATATTATTAAGTGATAGTGATCTTATCAGTTTCATAAATTTAGGCCATCAATAGTAATTAAATTAAATTAAACATTATCTGTTTTGTCAACTTTACTCAATTCAATCAATAAACTAGACAAGTTAAAACATGATTAATTTGGTTTCAAATCATCCAGTTTGCTTGGACCGCAAGTCAAGAAGGTGTTATTCTTGGTTCCTATTTCTATGGATATGCTGCATTTCAAATAATCACTGGAGTTATATCAGATAAATTCAATGTTGTCTATTTGTGTATCATCTGTAACATTATCTCAGCCATATTATCGGCCTTAACCCCAATCGCTGCTCATGCTGGTGTTGCCTGCATATCGATTGTCCGAATACTCTTAGGTATAAGCCAAGCTCCTACCATTTCTTTGTTATTGGTTTTGGCAAGTAAATGGTTTCCACCTGATGAAGTAGTCTTGCCGATAAGTTTGCTCAATTTTGGTGCTAACATAGGCACTGCTGCTGTTATGCCATACACTGCTTGGCTTTGCAATCAAGATTTATTGGGAGGATGGCCTCTCGTCTTTTACTCATTGGGTGCCATTAACTTAATCATTCCATTTTTGTGGCTTACAACGATCACTGTAACGCCAAATAATCATCCATTCATATCTAAATACGAGATTGATTACATCAATAAAGCCAATTCAAATGTTGGAAATGTCAAGGTGAGTTTGAATCCAATAGTTATTCAAAATATTGCCTTTAACATTCTCATTCTTTAACATTTCTCCTTTGTTTTAACTCGAAGATGTCAGTACCTTGGTTATCTATATTCAGCTCAGTTCCAATTTGGTCAATTATTACTGCCAAAGGATGCTTATCTATGGGTGTCATGATTTTCAACACCAAAATTCCCGCTTATCTCGAATCTGAACTTGGCATGGACCTGACTAGTAATGGTTCTTTCAATTCGCTGCTATACATTGCTATTGCGATCTCAAATTTATCGGCTGCCCCCATGTTTAAATTTTTGATCAACAAAGGTTACGTTTCTCGAACATTGGGCAGGAAACTCGCCGAATCCATAAGTATTGTTTAACCCTCTTACGTTCTGCATTTCTCAAACTAACCTTTAAATCTTTTATCTTTCTTATTCAAGCTTTATTCTTACCTGCAATTGCTCTCGTGACAATACCATTCATCAAAGAGAATACAACTCTGATTCTGTGTTTGTTAGTTATTTCATTATTCTTCATGGGATTTCAAGCAGCAGGCGACTGGCCAATTGTATCTGAAGTGGCACCTGATCTAGCTGGAAGTGTTTTCGGTATTACTAATACAACTGCTGCTGCTGGGGGTTTCATATCACCTCTGATAATTGGTGAATTACTTGATAGTGGGGTTAGTAAATCAACATCGCATTATTAACATTTCATGAAACTCATCTCATCATTATTTAATTGCTTCTTGTTTACAGTTAGACCACAGTGAAGCCTGGAGATATGTATTTTTTATTGGTGCTGGTGTCATGACTTTCGGTGGTTTAATTTTTATCATATTTGCTAAAGCTGAACCAGTACCATGGGGTGTCGCTCCTTCACGATCAATTGATAGTCTGGATAACAATCTGGAGGGTAAGAGAAGGACGAGGCCACATAAGATTCGTGTTCATCCTGTTTTCACTCGACAAGCTTCGATAAATTAATCTTTATCGATGTCACACTTGAACATATCGATGACATTATGAAGCTGAGCTTCTTCATAATAAAACTTAAAAATAAATTGTTTGTACCAAAATTACACATAAACTTGCATTAATAAGCGATTTATTTTTCTCAAGTCAACTCAAAAATAAACTATAAAATATTCTAAATGAGATTTTTTACAATTCTGAGTAAGCTTTCCATGAAATATACAATTGATATGAGAAAATAATTAATTATTTTTCTTGTTGCGATTACGATAATCAAGAATATAAATGGGAATAGCAATATAGTGTTTCGATATAAGCCCATTCTTTGTGGCAAAGTTCAATTCTTTCAGTTTTTCCCCAATCATCAATTTTCAGTTTCATTGCCGACATGTTTTCTTGGAATGGTTTCCATCTAGTTTGAATAACGTGACCGACTTCTGATGCCAATGTGGTTTTCATTATAAAAAATGTTCACTAACAAAAGCCTAAAAACTGGTTTTCAAGTAAATTTGGTGTAATTCAAGACCTTTAGTCCTGGCTTTGGCTAAAAACCTTTGAAAATGGGTATTTCAGGTAAAAATTGGTTACAAAGTGACTGGTTATTTGACCAACAATGTTTACGATTCATTGAGCTCTAAATAGTTGTCATTATTGAAACACACACACATATACAAATTTGAATAACTGCAGTCCATTGTGTGTCCAAGTTTGTGTTGATGGACAATTTTTTTTTTCATCTCCTTCAAATGGTTTTGTCCAGACTCTTGATTTACATCAAATACTTAAATCCTTTGCTTGAAGATAAGAAATGATTGTAAGCCTTTTGAAGTTAACAATGAGAAACATTGATTGTGATTTAACTCTTTTTTTTCCGGGAATTTATTCATTGTCCACTCCTGTGCGTCCTCGATGGTCAACACCAGATGAATAAAAGATGATTGATTGCATTCAATATATTACCTCTTTATCCTTATCCTTTTCATCGTCTCTTTCACTGTGAGAATAGATTCAAGTATTAAAAAATATAATCTGGTTTATATTGTTTATCTAATTACCTAATGGTTGTAATCAGATGTTCCCAGAAGTTGAAACTTTACATTAACCAAACAAGTAAAAATCAGTGAATCTCATACCTTGATATCATCATGAGCCATCATTTCAATTATATCATGTTAGCTTTACAATTATCAAAGCTATCTTTCCTTTAACATTCTCATCTTTTTAATTAAAGACAATTACCTCAATAATAGCAGACTATTTAGATACTATTAAAGGTTATCAGAAACACTTACAATTAATACTAACAGCTAATAGTTACAACAGTTTTAATGTGAGAAACTTTTCATTCAATCACTTTCATTACCTTTTTATAGTTACATTGAAACTCTGTGAATTGACGATCAATGTAATATCTCTGTACAATATTTATGGCACATTTCAATCAATCATTTCCTTACGTACAAACTAACTGTGACTGTCCAAATGAATATAAACCAACAATCATTAACTGGCCTATTTATCCACTTATCTGAGGCTTATTTTGTGGTAATAAACTAAAACAAAAAAATAGAGACCAATGTTAAAGGTTAAAGTTTGCTGCAAGTCCATTGGTTTGGAGTAGATCTTGGGTTCCTTTTTTTGTTTCTTGACGACACATTTTGAGGAAGCAAAGAAACGATCTTGTTATTTGAATGTCTTCTCAGGAAATACATATAACCTTAAAGGTCAAGTTGACATCTTTTCAGCATCTTCATTTCCATATTATAGAGCGTTGTTTGTTTTCCTTTGACTTCACCAAATGACACCAAAAAATATCAAGTGAAACACTGGCCTGGTTTAGGTTTAAGTCAAGTTGGACAGGACCAATCAATGGACACACATTGTACCAAAAAGCTTAAAGAGACACTAATTATAATTAACAGATAAATAATTTAAAAAAATTAACCAAGATCCTTACCAAGACGCAGCTTAACAATGAGAGACACATACTGCGTATTTAAGCATGAAAACAAAAGCAACGTCCAGATCAGACACTTATATCCAACTGGTTTCACCTTTGTATACTAAATAGCTCATTTAATTGTCTCATGATGAACATTAAAACAGTCAAAAATGTATAAACCAATTGTCATTAATTAAAATGATGAAGATGAATGATTTAATGTTAATGAAGAGTGTCAAACAATGAAACAAACAAAAAATTGAATGAAAAATGAGCGCCTCTTTCAACCCAAAAAAACTATGGCAACCAGAAAAAAAACCTGTGGTTTGGCAGTTTTATTGGGTTTTCAACTTTTTTATTTTTGTTGTGCTAAACAAAACCAATATTTATTGATTGTTTGACCTGAGAAGGTTAATTGTTTAATAGCCAAACAAGTTTCAATTCTTAAATCAATCCATTTGATTATTTGAATAGTTATAAATTTTTCAACAAAAAACTAACAGTTAAGTATTGAATACAAGAGTTACCAAGCCATAAGAAAAGGTTTGACAAAGAGAAGGGAAAAAAGCTTTAAGAAATGTAAAAAAGGCAAAAAAGGAGGCGAGAAATAGGCCAATATGGCGGTCAAGATGTTTATTTTGGCCTGTGTTTTCCATGTGTCTTTATGCATTCAAACTGGTTCAGGTTTAAATCTTGTTTTTCAAAAAAAGGAACCAATAAAATTGGTTTGTTGGTAAACATTAAGCTGCTTTGAACGTAAGTTTCATTTTGACTTTGATTTTAAAAGCAGCCTTGCACTTTGAAACTGATCACTAGCTATTAACCGATAATCTAATAATTAATAGTAATTGTAAACATTAGCCTGAAATGTGACTTTAATAAAGGATATTTAAGCTAACAATTAAGTTGATTTCAATGAGCTTTTTCAATCGGGTTGCCAGATGAACGACAAGCAAGCTCCGATGGTTTGGCTAAACTTATTGTCATTTAATTTTCTCGTTGAACTTAAGCTTTTCAATTTTTATCAGCTTATGTTAATCACATTCAATGATAATAGTAATAATAATGGATCGGAAAAAAAGTGTTTTCACAATGAATCATGTCATGAAGAAGGAGAAGAAGAAAAAAGATTGAACTGAATAATGATACTAATAGCCAATATGAGCTGGTAACAGCAAAAAAGCCATTTATTGGTACCAACTAAGAGATCTCACAATATCTTATCAATTCAATGAATAACTTCTTTGATCCACAATCAAGTCCATTGTTAGTTGATTAAATGAAAAGAGAGAAAAAAGTAATAATAATTGAATGGAGAGCAAAAAAATTGACCCTGGCCCTTGAAGAGGATGAAGACGAGCAGAAAAAAATTAGACGATTCTGATAATAAGTACAATGCTAATGATAACCAAGACATTGAGATTGTTATAAAGCTTCCTGGTCTTGATTCCGGTCATCATCATTATGATTGTCTTAAAAAAAGGCTATCATTATAACCTTTAATCATGTTGGTGAACAGTTTAACACCTATTTATAAGGAATGACAATGGCCTAAACCAGGTAATAAAATGGGGATGAAAACTCAACGAACCAGCAACCAGAAACTGGAAAAGGTGAAAATGAGCAAAAAAAGCTGTAATCTTATAGTAAACAAATGATTACAGTGACGATGAAAAATATGGATTGCATGATCAACAATTGTAATGATTTAAATGAAATGATCCGAGTAAACAGAGAGGTTTGTTTTGATGAAATCAATTGTTTTCCTTGTTATACAAATGCCGGTGAATTAGTTAAACCATGGAAAGGAACCAAAAATGAATTCCTTTTTTTGTTTCTTGTTCACCAGTTTTTACCCGATGAAAGGATTGACTGATTTTTGATGGTGATTATGGCAATGATTATGAGTGCGATGAAGGTGAAGGTGAAGATGCAAGTGGAGGAGGAGGTTAAAGAGTTGCTGGAACTAAATATTATCAGGTGAAGAGGGGAAGATAGGAAACTCGGGAATGATGAAATGGAGGAAGAATGTGCGTTCCCTTGAAAAAGACTTGTCAGACTGGACGATTTACTTGCTGATCACGGAGGGAGAATCAAGGTGAGAAGATGATTATTATGATGATCAAGATGGGGATGAGGATAGATTATGTTGACCGGTCATTTACCCTGTATATAAATAAGGAAGTTTATATTTTGACGATTACTTTTTTTTCTTACCTTTCTTCTTCTTCTTCTTCTTCTTCTCCAGATGATGATGATTATGTTGAGTAACCTGTCAGCTTAGTTCATTCTCGTTCTCTCTCATCAAATAAACTCACTTGTTGTTCATTTGCCCTTTGCTCATTTGATATTTTACTTTGGTTAACCTTGCAACAATCAACATTACGAAAATAATAGTTGAAGGAGAAGAAAAACTTTTACCATCACAAAAAGTCCAACACACTGATAAACATTTCAAGTTTAAATTATTCTCCAAACTTCAGTGTCAATCTCAAGGATGAAATTTATACTGAATTGGTGTTTCATTTTATTATTTGTAACCATTTGCTCCGTTTACGGTAAATCCGAATCCAATGGGACAACCAGCGCCTTGAAACCGTACACAACGAAAGATTTAATCATTGATCTGTACAAATCGTTTACGTCCGATGGTTCATCAACCAATTCATCATCAACAGCAACCTCATTGAAACCCTTCCAACGCGATGTTAAAGCTTCAACCTCATCAGTTTCACTCTTAAGTTACGGTAAGTACCAGAAACGGTTAACCAGAAAATGAATCATTGAATAACCAAATAAAAGACTAAACTTGATGATGACGTTTAAATGTTTTTTTCCTGGTTTGCTTTTCTTGAAACAGGCAACTTGGCCTTACTTGGAGCCGTAGTCTTAGGTGGCCTTGCCTATGTGGCACCAACCCTGATGCCCGACTATAGACGAAGAGCAGGTCCAATGCCTCCAATGCACCCAGTCTATCCACATCGATTTTTTGACAGTTTATCCGATTTCTCAGCTGATATGATTCCTTACATTGAAAATGAGATTCAACAGCAGGGACACAATTTTTACAAGCGCAACAAGCGAGCTGCTACCGGTACTGAGGAGCGATTGAACCTTCAAGATTTCCTCTCTAAAAGGTTCATGGCCGTCTCAGAGTCTGTCATGGTTTGGGCTGAACGAACATTGGACAATTTGCCCAATTTACCTCGTCTGGAAGCTCAGGCTTGTATGAAGAGGTGCATTTGTGAAGCTCACAATCAACCCAAAAAATATGGACTCACTGGCCTGGTTTTACAATTATTTTTCCCGTAAGTATAATTTTAACTCTTCAAGTGTTGAGACTCTTGTTCACACACAAACATTATCAATCTTGAACAATCAGCTTTTCTTGAAAGAGGTTATGAAGACCATTTCCGTTGATTATAATGATAATTCAATGTTAAATTCAGGTTTACAAGGTTTCTATCAAAAAAGGTTCCTTTGCTTTCTACTTCAGCTCTTTTCATTTTTATTTCATGAGAAATGAAAATCCCGCTGAGCTCAATTCTTTATCATGATAATTGGTTTACCAAGAGTTAACCAGTTTCAATTGAATCAGGCAATCCGTTTAACAATTGAATTGAAAGCAAAAGAAACAAAATGGAAACAAACGTTTCTTACCGTTTGGTGAATCACAAATGGTGAAAATTGAAAATATGAAATTAGAAAGAAAAAAAGAAATGAGATAAAAATCTTTGAAATTAATTCCAAGCGATTATAAACTATTTGTTAGACATTTGTTGATTAATAAGCTTATAGTTGCTCTCACTATCACTGATTATCAGAAGTTTTTTGTTGACAAAGGTCGTTGCTCTGAATTAAGAGTAAATAATTTCAATTTTGGGTTTCACTTGTAAACCCAAAAATGCTTCGGGTTATCTGATTATTTTGCGCTTTTCTTAGGAAAAAAACTTGATTCACAGAAATAATCATGGTCATGAGGAGAGTGAGAAACAGGTAATGACTAGGATTCCGAAGGAATTGAACTTCCTTGAGGAAAGTTTTGAGCCCCAAGATTTAGCCAATAATTAGCCTTAAGGATAATTGAATATTGAATAGCTTTAAAAGGTTGCCCTTAAGAGTTCAATTGTGGTTCGCAAAGTTGACCTGAGCTTTGAAGGCCTTAAAAGGGCCATTTCTTGGGTCAATGTTTCTTTCAGTTTCCTGATTTATCAAATGATGAAATATTTCCAAGACTTTACCATTTTCAGTTTTGCCATTTCATTTTCATTACAACGACACAACTCGGAAGTTAAATGGCAACAATAAAATGACGATGATTAGTGAACAACACTTGGTTTACCTTGAATGTTCAACAGGCAACAACTAATTGACTTTGATGTAATCTAATTAAATGATTTTCTTTTTTCTTCTTTTTCTTCTTTTTCCACTCTCAGACCTTACATTGAAAGTGATACTCCATCCAAGATAATATCTAAATATCAATTGGCTGCTCGATATGGAAGGACGGAAAACGCTAATTGTGCTGTTCAATATGATGATTGTATCGTCAATTTTCTTGATCTTGTTCAAAGTGTAACCAATTTGATTCTGTAAATGATTAATTATTTATTTAGGTGCCAATCAACAACCACAATCACCACCAATCTATGTATATTTATTGCTATATTTTTTTTCGACGATTTACCCACCCACAAAGAAAACACGAAATTTTATACTAAAAAATAATAAAAGACAAATTTGCTTCATTTTACCCTTGATTTTATTTTTGTTTTGGGCTTTTTGTTTGTTCAATCATGAAAAGATGATGGGTGAAAAAAATGAATTTGATAGTTTAAAAAAAGACAAAATGGAAAGGAAATAAAAATTATTACAGTAGTACATGCAGTCAAAATTGATTGTTGTCGTTAAGAAGTGATGTTAAGATCAATCCCAGTTCTCATGGAGTGGCTCGGAGCTTCCGGTGTTCATTTGATTACCAGCATTCATTATGTTGTTATATGCTGACGGCCAGTCGACAGATTGACCATAAGGTGGATCTCTAGTTGTACCAACTGTGAATCCAGGTAAAGGTGGATTTGCAAAGCCAACTTCCATTCCTTTTTTGTGACTGTTTTTGTGTTTACTGTGCTTTGAAGCTGCTGGCTGGCTTGCTTGGGCAACGTTTTGAGCTGCTTGGACTCCATTGTACATTTTAGAAATGGCCGAGATGTAAATGGGTTTACCATTGGCGTCAAAATGTTGTTTCATCACTTCATCAATGAGATCACGGAAATGAGATGGTTTCATGTTATTGGCCACAAAATTTAGGATAAACCAGTTACCACATCGGGCTGTTAGTCTCTCCAGAAACTTTGTATCTGTTGATGGTGCAATGGCACGGAGCCGCCATAACCTAAGTCTGGGGCATACTATTAGAAGTAACCGGTAAGCCAAGTAGATACCAGTTACGATGAGAAGGAAAAGAAACCAGAACCAAAGGATGACATAGATCTTTTCGTTGACAATGTTTAGAGGAAGAAAACAGAGAACATCGTGAGCCTCAATTGTACCCGAATAACCATATTTATGGAATGAGCATTTGGTTAAACGAGGAAAAGTTCGGATCAAAGGATCATGACGATTATCCTCTTCCATATGTGAATAGGACATCCACTCGATGCCCAATGAAAAGAAGTATCCACCAAGGAACAGATTGGTGAACCATATTTGGCAAATAAGATGAATAAAATAGATAACTTCACAGAAAATGAAAAAGTAGAAATACTCATTACTAATGAGCAGAGTGTCAGCTAGATCTTGAGCTAAACGCAGACGATCATATTCTGACATTTCTTTAATATGGCGAATACGCAGTTCAGTTATAAGAGCTCGAAGACGCTTAGCTTCTTTAGCTTTCCACAAATATTTGGGAACGTAGAACATTATAGCCTGTAACATTAGCACAAAATAAACCCATTGATAGTATTTGTGGTAATTTTTCCTATCTCCTTGGCTTTGGATTAAAGGCTTTACTCCAGGGTAAGCTTGATCTGTGGTAGATGATGTTGGTGATAGAACTGAAAAAGTTGACTCAAGCCAACAATAATGCTGTAATAGAGCTGGTGTAATGTCAGATTTACCACCCATACATTCAATTGGATCACCAAAATATTGTCTCATTGTAACGAACATGGTTCCCACCATAAGTATATAAACAGTCACCATTGAGTGAAGTCTGAAAATTATGTTGTCAACCTTGACTGCATCCGATTTGAAATCAAATAAGGATGAGAAGGCAGTTAAGGCACGTATTTGTTTCAAATATTCCATGGCCGAAAGCGAAGATCTTGAAGCCGATGCTGAATAATTTGCTTTCATCCTTTAACGTCACATCTTGGGGAGGAAAGGGGCACGATTGAAGTAGAACTACACAACATTAGAAAACATGAAATTAACACATAAAAATCAACATCAAACTAAGTAAACCCAAGTAACACAAGTTGATGTAGAAACAGGTATAGAGAGGGGAGTATCAAAAAGATGTATACACACACAAAAAAATATATATATATATAAATATAAATATGTATCTAGTTGGAATAAGTTTAAGTTAGATGTTTAGTTTAGTCTTGTTGATTGGTCCAATTCACAATGATTATTGGTATAACCTATTTGTGATCAATGAATTTTGATGATTTAGGGTTGTGTACAGGGCAGCTAGAAAACAAATGAGGACAACGATGATGTTTCGTCAAGTCTGTCGGAGACCAAAGTAGAGACTGGTGCAAACCTATCAAACTATCTTAACACTCAAAGTTATTGGAATGTAACTAAAGAGCCATCTAGGGGTAAAAGTAGTAACCATATAAAAGTACTAAAGCAACAACGAAACGGAAAACCGGTTTTGGAAGACAGAGAAGACAGAGAAAAGAAAGAGAAGAGAAGGGAAAAGAAGGCGGAGATGGAAAAAAAGAAAGGAAGGGAAGAGAAATGCGAAACAAGAAGAGAAGCAAGAAAAAAAAGATGAAAGATTAACAAAGAAATTTGGTAAAAGAAAGAGAAGAAAGAGGAAAAAAAGGACAACAACGATCAAGAGTGAGAGTGACCTTTGTTGGTTAAAAGAGACAGAAATGCGAAACAAGACCAAAAGACGAAAGAAAAAATAGAAAGGTAAAGAAGATAAAGAAAGCCCAAGAAAAAAAGATAGCGAATGACTAAGCCGAAGAGAGCAAAAAAACGCTCAACTTGTGCGTCTTTTCAATACAAACAAATGAGAAACACTTTTCACCATTTTAATGCAACAATCAACTGATATTAAAGTGCTCATTGGTCAATACGCCGTGTTTGACCTTAAAAAAGATTTCTTTTTTTCTCTCTTCTGTTCCAATCGTTTACAACTTGTTCAACTTTACCATGTAACTTGTTTCATCTTCACTTTGAAGAGTGGGTATTGAAAGATAAAAGGAAATGAGAAGAAGAAGCGCAAAGAAAGTAAAGTTTCAGAGGAAAAAAAAGGCAAAAAAGAAAGAAAAAGAATGAGGACAGAAAAGATGAAGACGAAGATGAAAATATGTTTAACCTGCTTGACTGGTTTAACAACCAGGTAAGAAGAAAGAGAAGAGAGAAAGAGAGAGAGAAATGTTTGTGGTGAGAAAAGAAAGAGGATAAAATATGTTGACTTGCTTAACTGGTTTGCTCAAACAGGTAAGAAAGAAAAGGTAAGAAAGGTGCGAAAGAAAGTCTATGAAAGAGAACCAGATGAAGAGAGAGAGAGAAAGCAACTGATTCTTTGTCAGTTTGTACAACTTTTTCAGGTAAGAATAAGATTTTGCTTCTTGTTGATCTTGAAGAGAGGCAAAAAAAACGCCAAGAAAGAAGGAGGAGAAAGAAAAGGCCAAGATGATGATCAAGATGAAGATAATGATGACGATGAGAGAAGAAAGAGAAATAAGACATTTTAAGATAATTTATTAGAGGCTGAAAAAACCAAATACAAAATATACAAATACAGATGAGAAAAGCTTCTATTTTACGAATCGTAATTACTTTTCAATTGGCAACCTTTTTTTTCATCTTCTCATCTCTCCACCATCATTTTCATCATTTTCATCTTTTTTTTTCTCAGAAGTTTTTGATAGAAGAGAGAAAAAAAATTTACAAAAAAGTTGAACCTGGGACGTTGGACCGCCTTGAAATGCTCAAGATGATCTTTTGGTTTAAGCTTGAAATTCATGGTCAAATAAGGCTAGATTAATCCAAGGATAAAATTGCTTTTTAAACTCTTTTGTTTTTTTTGCGTTATTTTATGTCTCAAACTGGCAATCATTTGCTTTTAATTTTGGGTTTACATTTGGGTTTTGTAGTTGATTTTGTATCTTGTCAAAGGTCATTTAAATGGCATTAATCTTAATGGTTTTAAAGGTAAACCAGGAATTGCATTTTATCATTGATCAGGTTTGATCAAGTTTAATGGCTAACAATTTTTATTTCATTTTTTTTGGGTTAAATGTCTCAATAACAAGGATTTAAATGGATTTCCCGTTTTTAAAGCAAATAAATGCTTTAATCATTTCTTAACGCAATTGCCAATCAATTGTTTATTGTTAATTGTCACAAAATTGGAAATTATTTGTTTCTTTTTTTCCCTCTTTTTTTCATCATTTTATAACATTTTCTTCCGGTTATCATTTTTTCACTTCGCTACAACTGTTGACAACCTTTTACTTGACAATCTTGATCATCATTCATTTTAATTATAGTTCAATTAGAAGGTGAATAAAATTGTAATCACTATTGTTGTGGGTGTTGATTAATCATAATCTGTTTCAATGGGCAATCTAACAAGTTAACAATTTTTAAACATGAATACATAATAAGGACAATTTACATTGAAGGATCATTCAACTTTCTTAACCTTGAATGATTCAGACAATTGAAATTAATGAAAAGACGCAAAGTTTTGGACTTTTTTTTGGGTTTCATGTAAAAATGTTTCATTATTGCATCAACTAAGGTTAAAGGTTTGTAACTTTTTTTTGCGCTTTCAAAGTGAAATGCAAGGTAAAAACTACTAAATGACTCATTAAGAAAAGCTATTGATGGATCAACAGGTAAGCAAGGAACAACAGAAAAGGGTTGGAACAGTGAGAGTAACTTGTTGATAGTTTTGCTACTCAACAGGTTGATTGTTTGGACGATCATCTCTTTAAATAAATCATTTCCTCATTTAATCATCTAATTGTCTTTAATAAAGTTCAACAAACATTTGACGTTTGTCAAAACCTCAAAATCTTTTGCAAATCAAAATCAAATTTATGACAAGAAATAGTCAAAGACAAAAGATTTACTCATTGATATGAATTCATGGAAATGTCCAAAGGCATGAATGCAATCAATTCTTTGGCCTTTTCCTTGTTGATTCAAAATAATCGTCAACATTAAGAATAAATTTCGAGTTGAGAGTTGATTGATTTTCATGGAAAATGATTTTCTCAGGAAATTGTTTTTAAAAGTAAATTTGCATTTTTGGACACGAAATTGGGAAAATTTTTATCGAATGAAAACTAATCTGAAAAAAGATTGAAAATTGATTTCTCATCGAATTTGCAATAGAATAAACATTTCAATGTTTGCATGGAAAAGATGTCGACTTATCTTTAAATTTCTTTATCATGAATTAGTGGACTTAAACGGGTCAAAAGTGATGACTAAAGATGAACTTGACTTTAGTTGACACCAAGAATCAGTAAAGATTCTTGTTTTTATCCTGATAAGAGTATTGACTCAAAGTTCAATTGACTTGAATTTAATCATAAAAACAAGCAAAACCTTCGGATTTATTTTCTCCATTATCGCCCAATCAAACAACTGGTTTACAAAGCAAGTGATCTTTATGGTGTTAACTAGTTGAGTTGAAATGTTTTGAGTCACTTTAAACTGCCCAAAGGCTAATCCTAATCATTGGGCTATTTTTTTCATTCATTATTATTCAAATGCGCAGCAAATTGAGCCTCATTCAAAACTTGCAAGTGAACATTGAAATTATCCCCAAAAGTCTCACCTGAATAACCTTTAACCATTGATTGTTATTCAATTTATGATTAGACTTGTTGTTGGTTAAGTGAATAAACAATCAACCGGATCTAAGGTTATTCAAATGTCTAATGATTAAGATGATGATACTGTTGTTGTATTCACAGCAGCACATCAATTCAAATATTGTCAAGGATGTTAAACAAACTCTCAAGGTAAATCAAGGTAAACAAGAAAAAAAAATGAGCAGAAAACTTTGATTGAGAAAATTAATGATTATTAATGGTGAACAATGAACGGCCATTGATCTTAGCTAACTGTGTGATCTTTAAATTGCGAAGGTGATACGGAAATGTAGGTGTTTACTGGTTAAAACCCTTTTCCTTCATCATTCCTCATTTCATGTTTTCTTTTACCTTCTTTTTATGATTATCATTGCGATTGAAAAAATTAAACTCCTTTTGATTGTTCCATTAAATTGTTGATAATATCCATTGACAGAAGCATCAACAATTTAAAAGAAATGAGAAACTTAACAGTTAACCTCGCCTTGTTCAGGCCTTTCCCTCATAACCTAGCCTCTACTCAATCGGCCAATTGTTTTAACATTTAAGTCCAATTAAATTGTGTGTTTCTTATTCCCTGTTAATTGTGCGATAACTTTTGCTCACCAATGAATCTAGTTTTTCTCATTGGAAATTCCCATTTAGCAATCATTAAGATTGTCGACAAACAATTCTGAACAACAGGTAAAAACCAAAGGTAAATAAAAAACTGATAAAATGTTATCCAAAAGGAATCTCATGTCACCTTTCATCTTTATCTTATCTAATTAGTTTTAACAGTTGTTAATGTTTACCTGATTAGACAAGTTTTGTGAGTTTGGTTTGACAATTGTAACATTGAAAGCGAAATGAGAATTGAATTTTTGTTCAGATTTAAATGTTGGCCAACCCAAGGTCAATAAGATCCGCTCCTATGACGGTCAAATTAAATTACTCAGACCGTGAGGTTGAACCGATATCTTAATTGGATCCGTGTTTCAAGCACACATCCTGGTTAGCACGTCCATCGGTAGCCTTGCTTCAATCACGGGCTTTTTGTTTTGGCTGGTTAATGATGACTATGATGGTGATGAGTGTGATGATGATGGCCGGAAGAAGCTAAATTTCACTCTCAATTCTTTCTCAATCTCTCTCTCTCTTCTCTCTTTTAATATCAACCATTCTTTTATTCACCCTGAAGGTATGAATCCTGAATCACGCCCAAAGCATCTCAATTTGTTTAATAACACAGAATTGGACCGGAACTTGGATACTAATTGAAAGGATAGTTACTGACTAACT